GTGAGAGAGGGTTTTACTGTGATCTCCAACCTGGAGACTCGACCAGCGGCTTACGAAAGGTGACCATACCTTTCCCGATGTCAACAGGGCGCCAGAACTTGGCGTTGCACATGGGTGGAAATCATCTCCCTCTGTTCCTTGTTGTCCGGGGTGAGTGGCACTGCACCAGGGCACATCGTCCCCCACACGGACACACCCCTGCCGGCCAGCAACAAAGCAATATGTGCGTGCATCTATGGATGTTGACACAACGTCCCAGAGATGCTTCACAGATAAACTCGATACTTTTTAACGGGAGACAGATCATGATGGTTGGAATTCTTGAGCGAGCCCGGCCGCTTGTGTGCATGGATGTTTTCCACACTTCTGTTGTCTTTCAATCGGCTTCATACTCCACCGTTTTATTGGGTTGTCTGTTGTGGTCATTCGTTACCTATTAACCGAAAAAGCAGGTCAGTTGACAAAGCACCAGTGAAATATTATGGGCCACGGGCCCCAACTCCGTCTCAATCACCAATCTATTGCCTAGCACCCATAAACGGGCGATGGCGCCGAGAGGGAAAGCCCAGCCCGCCCTCCTGCAGGCAAGGATAAAGCGCGTCCTCCGGTGGCTGAGCATGACGGGTGGTCCCTCTCACCTCCAGGGCCGCGTTTCGGTCTAATGCGGCCGGCGCCGGGATTGGCCCAATCCTCCTCGTCTGTAGGCTTCGAAGAAAGAGAGACACCCGATTCTCAGTGGTGGGTGTCGGCATCAACCCCTTGTCAGGAATCGGTCATGCCCTTGAGAGCCGTGCTTGAAGCCACTACCTAGCGGAGGTTCCAAGGCTAAGTTGACTCGCCACCTTCCTGTTGCAATCACTGAGTACCGAGGTACTTGTACCACTAAACTTTACTCGGCGCATTGATTCTATCCTCCTCGATTCGGAGACGCCCGCGCCACCTTGAAGATCAAATTGCTTCAAAGATGCGACTGGAAGAGTAATTGGGGAAGAGACTTGCGGTAGATGAATCCAAAATGATCTTCTTGTCATTTGTTGTTTTCTTCAAGGTGAAACATCCATCCACAGCAGAATAGAATTGGCTATCTAAGGTGAACTTATTTAAGTCATGAACTTGGAAGTAGCGCTTGCAACGCAAGGTTGGCCCAAACAAGCTGGCAGCATGGACGAAATGTAGCAACAGAAAGAGGGGGTTATGAGGGAATTTCAGTAGTGAAATCCTCAGGCTTTCAGTGTATTAGTATGTCGGCGATTCTCCTATTCACGATTGATCACTTGGGACTTGACGAGGACCGTACTTGTAGTGCGCCTGCAAATTAATTCGACAGGCAAATTTAGCACGGAGTGTTTGAGCATGGGGCAAGCAGGCCCGACTAGTTGACCGTTTGGGGCCCAGGCCCTCAGTTTCAAACGATCAAACCCCGCCCTTGGACCTAATAACGTCATGTTGGCGCCTTCAAAGCGGGCTAGCGAAGCTACTTGTATTGAGCTTCAACCGACAGAATTGTGACCAGGAAAGCCGTCAATGGTCCTAAGTAACTCAGTACATCAAAAGTAACTGACACACCAACAAGCGCGCTCTCGACAAGTACTTTAGAGGGTGAGATTGGCCCGTCGTACCACGGTTTTGCTTAGGTTGCAAGGTGTTGCATGTTCAATCCGTAAGGTGCACCCGGTTTGTGAGGGAGGAGATACGATGAATACCCTGGACGGAGGTACGTGAGCTGTGAGGGTAATCGATGAAGCGACTGCATAGCAGGTGTAACGGTCCCATGTCTTGTACGTGTATATTTTTCAATTTCCCGAAACGCCCCCTCCCGGTTTTTCTACCATTCCGATCATCCATTTCTCACCAAACCCTCTGTATTCGACGCTCATGGTTTTGATGGAGAGCCCTCCACTTAGGTTTCAGATCAATTCAAATGCTGCACAGACACATCTCTTGTTCAGTTCTTACAAAACGCCCCGAGAGACAGTACGTGTGCCACCGGGAGAAGCTCGCGGATCTCAAAAGTTAAAGGAGAGGACTTCCCGGTGTATTTAGGAAGATGTTATTATTGCCCTAGTATTTTACCCGTGTCCGGATTTTGTACCTAATATCTTCTTGTTCTATCTTTCAAAGCCGTTGACCGACATCAAGATGAATGCTGTGAAGTCGATGAAGACTGAGTGCTCGGCATAACGGAAAGTGTAGTGGGTGCCATAATATTCTACGAAGTAGGTTACGAAAAGGCTAGTCTATTACTTCGTACTCTGCGCTCAAGCTTTGTTCTAGGCTATGTGGGGGCAATATCAACAGTTTGGGACTGCTGTTGGGATGTTGTTTATAAAAATAAAAAATAAAAATAAAAAAAAGGGGGGAGAGACGGTGCAGCAAGGACCCATTGAATGTGACCGAGTAATCCGAAAAGGGACGGCCGTTCGGGGATCCTTTCAATGGATCGGCCCATTGAGCAAGAATGGGAATATTTCAGGTAACAAAGGCCAGGCAAATCTAGACTAATACTTGCTTGCTTACTCTCAAACAAAAGGCTCACAATGGAAAAGCGGGAAGGCGCCAGTGTACACATTGAAGACCCCTGAACTGAGGTATTTTGATAAAGAAACTCAGGAAGGATTTGAGGGGTTGGTTTGGATTTCAACTGACTTTCAACTAATCAGAAGAAGCCCTGGAATCGGTGTTAAGATGAGGTCAAGAGATGAATGGTCTTGGAGCCAGGCGAAAACGGCAAGGTCCACTTGAGGGAACGCAGGGCCTTGGAACCAACAGGCCCATGGCCTCGATCGGCGAAGAACGTTTAGTGTTGGTACTTTGTCCGATATATTACCCACAGGGAGGAAATCAATGGCTCCATGATCATCGTGTTGTTTGGGTCAGCGAGTCCTGACAGATGGCCGTGGCTTCCAGGGTTACAACCACATCCCTAATTGGTGGTCGGTGCAGTTATTCGTCGATACGATCCCAAGGTACTGGCGGGCAGCTTGGACCATGGAAGCCACCAGGATCAGGCAATACGAGGGAAGAGCTATACTCTCCTCTGGTGAGAGAGCAATATATTTTCTCTCTTCTGTTCGATGAACTCCTGGGACAAGTGTATACAGGTCAGTCAATTGTGGGTCAAGCTCCGTCAATAAGAGGGGGCACATGTCGAGCTTTAAAAATACCATGTTCACTCATCTTCGTCCCCCATTCCCCCATGCATACCCCTTCGCTGACGGGACTCTTGAATTTTTCTTGACGCACCCCTGCCGCTCCAAGATGACGCAGTTTGCGCTCCCCTTCTTTTATACTTCTCAATGACGACTTTCGGGGCTCCTTGCGTTATTGTCTGTCACTCTTTTCTGGCACAAGGAGGCATCGGCTTTCTGCTCCCTTTTCTTTTTCTCTCCTCTCTTCCGAAATATTTCTCTCGCAGTCTCAGAAGATATGCTTGCTCTTGTTGAAGCCTTTCGTTTCTTTTTATTATTCCTTCTTCTTTGAACACTCTATTCATTTCCTTGCACCCCCCTTTCCCCTCTGTTCTTCCTTTGGGGGTGGGGGGGTGGGGAGGAGGGGGTTTCTGAAAAAAGTAACATTGGGCTTCCTAGTTTTACTCTAGGCATGGTCTGCATTTCCTCTCGGTTCTCGCAGCACACCTCTAGGGCTGTCCTTTCTATCAGACCCCCAATGTCCCTCGAAGTGATATGGCTTTTTCTGTGCGCTAAATATACTATTTCCCAGGGTGCGGCAGTCAACTGGCCCACCCCTCCCAATATTTCAACTGGCTCTTACAAGTAGATATGATATACACTACACCCCTAACGGGCCATCAGATTGATGACCCTCAGGATGAGTGGATCAAGGTGATCCAAGATGGGGGCGGAGAGCGTCCATGCTTGACTTGTCGGTACCTTGAACGGAGCTCTGCAAGGCCAAACATGCATACCCTAGGGTTTCTTGGCAGTGCTCTGTCAGGGTACATGGAGGAAAGAAGTACCACCTCAGGGTACCTTCATCAGGTGGTAGCCTCTTCCACTTCAAGGTGATACCTGCACTCTCAGTGTCAGGAGGACATGGAGCTACTCTCCCTGGTTTGGCTCCCGCCCAAGACCTGACCCGAACACCAAGTCCCCCTTCCCAACCCTGCGCTGTCCCACACGACCACGTCGGGTCCATTTCCTCCCTCCTGCGTTCCCATGGGATGGAGTCCCGTGTGTAGGTGTGGGTGCCGTGCCCATGTCTTGGACGGACTGCAGGACCACACCGGCGCACCAATTGCCAAACCCGACCCTGTCAAATATTGTTTTCCGGCTCACCCAGGCTCAAACATCAAGACAAGTATCGTGCCAGCGCGCACATCCAAAGGCGCACTAAAGAAGTTACATCGAGTGGCCCACCCAAAACATCTCAGGCGAGATGTTCTCATCACTTGATCCTGCTCTTTCACCTGCATTTCCATGTTCCTTGTCCTCAGCTTGCCCCGGGGCTTTGCCTGCGGTATACTTACACGCTAGTGTAGAGCAGGTGTGATCAATCAATTCCAATGACTTTTGTTGATTACTCCGCGTTCCCCTGGCCTGGCCGGGCCTGTCTCTTCAGGAAACAGTGCCGCCGTTAGTCGAATATCGTCCCGACTTTGAGTCCCACACACCACACTCACTTCACACTCCACACCCTCACCCACATCCACGCCCATACACCCATACACCCATAAACCCATTCACCACACACCACACACCACCCCACCTCAGATTCGAAGCGGCTATCCAAGCCCGTCATCCACCTTTCTGACTTTGACCCCTTCCCGGCCATTGAGTCTTCCAAGATGATATAACTTCCAATCATCAACCCTCCTTCTTTCAGGTCAAGCCTTTAGACTTACTCACACAACTTCAACCACCACGCTTTCCCTCCTCTCATCCTCGCCAGCACCAGCACCCATGCAGTTATAACAAGCCTTGCTCAACACGACTTGAGCAACCCTCACAAGCAGCAGTTTACTCAAAACGGGCCACGAGAAGATGATGCCCTCAACACTTGCCTACACGGCGCGTTACCCCACCCAGTACGCACATCCCGATCCCGTCCAAGACAGCTGGACAAGGCAAATGGCAGCCTCGCAGTTTGTGAGGAGGTTATCTCGCAGCTCCAACGGCCAGCGATCCGGGTCCACTTTGCGAGTAACAAAGCCTACCAGTGCCAGCAACAGTCCCAGGTCTTCCATGACGACCGGCCGAAGGAGAACGTTGGTTAGCGACGGCAATCTTGCTTGGAGGAAGCAGCAGATGGCGGGCCAAGTCATCCTCGCAACGCCAGATGCAGCAGTCACCGCTGAGCCTGTGAAGCAACGGGCACCAAGGCCAGTAAGCTGGCATCCCGCATCATCCCACTACCAATCCCCAGGTTCCGAGGCGCAACAACACCATTCCCACGCCGCGACGATGTATTGTGCGCCAGCTCAAGACGTCTCGACCAACTATCGGCATCTATCACCTATGCCTTCTGCTTACTCTTGCCAAACGTCTCCTGTTACCTTTTCGCCTCTCACCCTCCCTTCTAGCGGCCTTCCCATCCAGCCCTGTCTGCACACTGACAGCCATACGTGGGGCATCTCCCATCAACAACTGCCCGGTTATGTATCCCCGCCGATGGAGGCATGCAGCATCTCACCAGGTCTCGATGGGACCATGGACTACCACGAGTCGTTTCCCCTCTTCCCTGTCTCCTTGTCTTCCGGTTCATTGATTATTGGTGGTGATGGTCCACGAATTTCCTCTTCCGCTTCGGATTGGAGGGATTTTGTGGAACATGGCTTTGACCGTACCTCGCCGCCTACGCCCGAGAACCTCCCCAGGTCCAGCATATTAAGACCGCGCTCAGCTCCGAGGTGGCCACGCCCTATCAGCAACTGCAGGAATCTGAGGACGAAGGCGAGATTCTTGTCGGTATGGGGCTCTACGACGCTCCGGAGAAGTGCGAGGCCGACCCTGGTCTCAATAACTACCGCTCCACCCTCTCCTCGCTTCTGGGCGGAGGCGCGCCAAAGCTGAACGAATCACCCGGCAAAGGTCTCAAACTTGAGGAGACATGGCAGCCTCCTGAAACCGATGACGAGGATGAAGACGACGAAGATGAAGACGAAGCTCAGGGAGACGACGAGTAACGAGACGACCCCCTGGCTTCCAGAGCACATCATTTCCCCTTCCATCTGACGCAACGAATTTCACTTTTCAAGACGACTTAGTTACCCAGTCATGTATTATTCATTATCACGGCTACGATAGAAACGAGAACCTCAAAGGCTGGTTAAGGTCCCCACAGGAGTGGGTTGAGAAACTTGGCGCATACTTGGGTTTTTTATTTTATTTTCTTTATTATGTCTAAGGAGGCGTTAACAAAGGGGGCTGCGGCTCTATCATCGCAAAGGAGTTCATGGTAGAATAGATAAGGGTTCCTCTTCGAACTATGCCCCCTTCAGTAACGAAGCTCAAGAATTGACGAAAGGCGCCCCTGCCTCTCATTGCTACTTCCACGTTCCCGGACTATTCGTTGCCTGTCGTCTGTCCTGTTATGAGCGATGCTATCTACCTCTGCATACCATGCATGACATTGAGAGGTCAACGGCGTCGCCCAGCTGACGGCGTCTTCAAGCTATGGGATCAAATGGATAATGAAATGAATCAAGGGAGATAGCCTGGGAGGTTGAGCTCGGAGTTTTTGTTAACATATCAACTCATTTCGCTCTTTCTCGGCGAGCAAAATTTGGCGAGCGTTCATGGGCTCGACCTCGAGAAACAGAAACGGATGGGTGCGGCTCTTTCTCATCCTTCTGGTTTATCATAGTACTTTAACGAAATATTAGATGTAAATACACCTTCATTAATTACTCATATCTATTCCACTTTGAAAATCCTGGGCTAAAGAGCCTCGACAAGAAGCTTTAGATCATCTGTCAATATCACATCAGATAGACATAGAGCATAGATTTGGCCAACGGGATTTTTGTAAAGTGAGGGGAGTGAATCAATCGTCAACGTTTGTTTCTGGGTGTTGTAAGGGTGTGTATCTCTCCCTAAAAGGAAGAGGAAGGGGGCTGTGGAAGAAAGAGAAAGGGGGTACAAGAGAAGAAGCCGGAAAGGAGAATGCACTTTCAACTTTTCACTCCTTTCCGAGATTCCCCTTGTTCAAATAATTATTATGGAGCTGGCTGGACGAGGTCTTTGTGAACGAAGTTTTTCATAGTCTGCTGTGGAGCAACAATATTACTCTACAAGTATGTCATTCGTCGCCTCAAAGCTGGCTCGTTGAAAAGCCTTCGACCATAAACACTTACCCTCTTAGCTTAGGAGCACATTGCTCGGAGGGGGTGAATGCGAGACAGAGCCTCATCGAGGGGAGGGACCCCTGTTGTACATGTGGGCAGCAGTGGGCCTGAGCTTCTTTGATCCGTTTCTGGAAAGAGTCTTTTGGGGGCTCTGTGAGTGGTGAGGAAGGACCAGATGGAGTGGGGGAAGGTTTGCTGTCTGGGAGTTTGTGGGTTGTGGGGTGCGGCCAATCCGAATGGTGGGTGTAGGCGGAAAGGATCTTGGGCTGGGGTATTTCTCCAAGTCTTCCTCCCTTGTTGTGGAACAGCTGTCCAGGCCGAAGGTGTTGCTCCAAGCCGCCAGGTCATCTCTCTTCACCTGCCGCTCTCGAGGGCAAAGGCGAACGAGGGTGTATCCTTTGAAAATGGGGATGGCGTGAATATAGATGTGGACCGCCTGGACGCCACTTCACATGGTCTCCGTTCCTTCTGAAAAGGGGGCATGGTCTTGGGGGCGTGTCCGATCTTGGGAGAGGGTGTCCCTATTGTGTGTAGTGAGCACAGGAGGAAACAAATTTCCCTTGGTGGGGAGGAACCGCCGATAAGTACCTCGGTACTTCAGTGTATTTCGCTCATCGGTCTTCCCCCGCCAGTTAGGCTTGCGAGGAAAGGCGGTCGGTGGATGTTGCGATCGGCGGTGGGCAGGGTGCGGAACATGGTGACAAGGACAAGCAAAGAGGCAGAGAGAGGGTAAACGGAAGCCTGGGGTCGTCCGTCCCTGCCTGGTGGTGCTCCTTCGGTTGCATGGGTGAAAGGGAAAGCCACCAGTGACGGGCTGCGGGATGATAGTGTACACAGAGGGTCTTCCATTCCATCCATGGATGAATCGAATGGATCCTGCAGCCCTCAATTGAGGTCGAGAAAGGATCCTCGGTCCATTCGTGGCTAGTCTCCAAGCAAGCGAGAGTGACGGGCGTCCATGGTTGAAGCCATGGTGACCCTCTTCCCTCCGATTACCACATGCCGATGCTTGTCCCGCTCTCACCCTCCCCTTTTATCTTAATTTTATGGAAGAGGAAAGCAACCGATATGATATTACGAAGTATTTCAAGTTGTACCTGTCGATTCGGTTTCTTTCACTTTTCATCACAGGGCATAATCACCACTAGAGTACTCCGTAATTCTACCGGTTCCTTAAACTGAACGTCTCCACCATCAGTTTTCACCGCCACTAGGAAACGAGAACACCCCAGGCTGCCCAATGGTCCATCATTAGTAAGTTTTTTTTTTTTGCCCCAGGGGGCAGCAACGCCAAACATGAATGGATGAGAGGAGAGGCAAAGGAGAAAATTCATTTTTGAAATGGAAAATATTACCGAAAAGCCTCGCTACCTCGAGCATTTCAATCTCTGATATTAAGAATCAACGGCACGCGGCGTCCCAAAAGGAGGGGAAAAGGGGATATGGTCCAATTCATCTTTACCCCGTGGAGGGACCGCCAGGAACTCCTAACCGTACGAGGGCAATTCTACCCTGCGGCGCCAGATTTGTGTGGTGGGCATGTTCCGAAGTCTCCCGGCGCCCCTGAGCCTGGGTCCGGGAGACAGAATATTGCTGCCTTTGGGGACCAAACACACAACCGGCAAGAGCTCCGGCATAGCGCCGTTGCGAGGGTTTCGATGTGGGTGCAGCGAGGCAATTGCCCGCATCTCGTGGAGTCTACGGCACTCTTGGTGGCTGCAATCCTCAGCGATGAGGGGTTCCAAGAAGATCGAGATCATCAAGGCTCTTCTGCCTTCGCGGTTCGGGCGGCGTACTCTACAGCCTTTAGTCGGTATGGCACCCCTCATCCCCCTTCCGCTTTCCTTCCCCTCCCTTTTCTTACCTATCCCTCTCTTTCACCTTCCCTTTTCGTTTCCTTGCAAACTGTTCTCCCTCCTTCACACCAAGCATCTCCTTTGCATTGACCAAGGGACAGGATTGGTATGAAGGTCCTGATCAAGGGCTGGCCCCGTAATGCAGGAACAGCATTACTGGAGCGCTCAGTTAACCCCGTGCCCGCCTCTTTTCCGCGTCTCCCTTACCTGGATCTGAAATGGACGCCGTCATCTAGCAGTGGGTGCGGTGCACATCACGATGGCTTGCGTTGTAGTAACACGTCTTTGTTCACTCCCTGCTCCTGATATGTTCCTAGTAGATGCTCGTCATGGCGTCAAGGGGGATGTGATTATTACACACACACATACACACACACAGACACACACAGTCTCTCTCTCTCCCGCTTACTCTCAACCCGTTACTCCCATCCCTTCGTATTCTACATAATACTCAGGCATATGACTAATATACATGTGCCACAAAGTTTTGTGACTGGGCTCATGGACATGCAACAGGACAAACAGCGCAAGATGAGCATGTTCTCTATCGCCAAGACGATAGGGCTCCCTGCGACCTTCGTAGAGCTACGGCATCAAGCTACACACGAACAGCTTCCGTCTCTCACAAGGCTACGGTCTGCAGCGGACAAAGCGCTGGTGTGGATCTGGGACCATTACTGGCAGCACATAGAAGCCCAGGGCCCCTTCCAGGAGACGCGAACTGATGCCTGTTACGAATCCATGGTTCAATTCCTGAATGAGACTGACACCAAAGATGGGGGCTCCTCCCTTGTAGGTGGCGAAGGTTTCCGGGATCTAATCAGCCGATGGGGCAAGGTCCAGATCTTGAAGACGCTCATGGAGGTCCAAGATCAGGCGGAGGATGGACGGATGTTACTGAAAGCTCTACAAGTGACGCGGTTGCTAATGGAGGCCGACGAGGGTAAGCCGCGCGCTTGTCTCGCAGATCTGAAGGATCCAGATGCGGTGATGGAAGAGATTACTCGGACGCGGCATCAACTAGCAACTGAACCTCACAAAGCATCAAGCAACCAAGAGAACCAGACACACCCTCATGAATTGGCGTCGGATGGGGATATAGGGTGGACTGTGTATAAGAAGTGGGAGCCGACGCCGATCGGTGTTGTCTAGATGGGCCACATCAGGACCGATGCGCGCAGCCGGTCTAACCCTACAGCTCCTTTTCCTTCTTTCTTTTTACGGGGGTTTGCCCTTTCCTTTAGACCTCACATTTAGATACCCGATCGTTCCGGCTCGGTGAGCCGTATTGAAATTCAAGCCCAAGGTAGGGCTTTGGCGAGGAATCATAACCACTTTCGTCCTCTTTCAAAAACGGCGTCTGGAGACTATGCCGACTTGCCCCCAGTATTGTGATTAGTCATACGCGTCGCCCAGACGAGTTGATGCAGGTGTGATTCAAAACCCTCCATTTGGATAGGTCGGAAGCTGTCGGTGCATGACGGCATCCATCCGGTCGTTGCTCATACTGCGCGATAGCACGCTGACGGGTTTTTAGCTTGGTAATACTCACGCCCACCCCTATCATCGACTATCCGTAACTACTCCTCACCTTTCCATTCCCTCTCCACATCGTAGTTTTCGCCAATGCATAGACTTGTAGCGGGCGCTTTTACTAGATCCAGACTCAATCCGCGATTGTTTCCAAAGCATCCTTTATTTCTCGCCAAACAGCCAAGTGTTGTAGGTTGACGCTGGTCCTTCCCGTCCCATCCCTTTTTCTTTCTTTTTTCGCCTCTGTATCCTATGTATTATTGTTCACTACTCCCGTGAAAGGGCGGTCGTTGTTTTCTTTGATGGGAAGAGGGAAATGAGGAAAAGAGCCGAGGCTGCGAAACTAACAGGTCTCGGGCAACATGGACAGCTGCGCAAGATGCATATCCAAAGCATTCCCATGTGTGAGTGATGGCACCAAACCAAGTCGTAGTACCCCTCAAGCCAGGGTAGGGACGCCAGGCTTGAAAGGGCCCCCTTTCCCCTTGCTGCTAACGATGGATTTGCGGCCATAGGGACGGGGACCGGAGATAACTACGCGTATCTTGTTGTGGATGAGAAGACCAAGGATGCCGTGATTATCGATCCCGCACATCCACCCGAGTGAGTAGAGAGACAGGTGGCTCGATACCGACCTTTCAAGGGGAGCTTTCCAAGACATCAAGCTAATGGAAGGTGGGGAGGGAAGGGTTCTTCCAGTGCTAAAGAAGGCACTCGAGTCCGACGGGCTCAATCTCATCTCCATCGTCAACACGCATCAGTATGGTCCCCCTTCCCCTGCCCTTTTGCCGATTTCCGGTGTTCCCTCGACCCCTCAGGGAACGGAGAGCGATAGGACAAGTACAGTATTCTTACATTTCACTCGGTTGACTTAGCCACGGCGACCATGCCGGAGGAAACTTGAGGATAGTAAGTTGGGATGTTTTTCTCTCTACGGGTCTCCCCCATTTCTCCCTTCTTTTGGCGCGGCCGCACCCAAGCCCCTACCCTCCCCTCAGGCATGCCCCGTTTCGAATACCGTTGGCTAACTCGGGAACGATGGTTTTCATCATTGTAGCGCGAGGCTCTCGGGAAGCCGACCCTACCCATCTGGGCGGGTATCAAATCTGAAGGCGTCACGTTTACCCCGGGGCACGAGGAGCAACTCAAGATTGGAAGCATCTCCGTAACGAGCCTTCACACGCCGTGTCACACTCAGGACAGCATCTGCTGGTTCCTCGAGGATGGCAATCACCGCGCCGTCTTTTCGGGTGATACGCTCTTCATCGGCGGTAGGATATAGACCCAAAAGCTTCTTGAATGATGTTCAGTTGGCAGAATCCCAGACGCGCACACACACAGAGATACACCCGCGTGTATATGAGAGAGGGGGAAAGAGAGAGAGCGAGAGAGAGCGAGAGAGAGATCTAACGTTGGTATTTCCCTTAGGATGTGGGAGGTTCTTTGAAGGCACACCTGCGGAGATGCACGTGGCCCTCAACAAGACGCTTGCAGCGTTGCCTGATGACACCCTCGTCTACGTAAGTCAACCTGCGACGCGGCCTCGTTCCATACTAGATTGAGACTTAGCATTCTAACGAAGCATGGGATCTAGCCTGGTCATGAGTACACCAAGTCCAATGTCAAGTTTGCCCTTTCGGTGGTGCAGGACACGCCGGTCCAGAAGCTCTCCTCTTTATGGATGGCAACAAAGAGTCGCAGGGCAAGTTCACGATTGGTGACGAAAAGGTATGGCTTGACGGGTTTTCTTTGCTCGGAATTTCTCTGGGCCTCACACATGTCCTCTTTTCCAAACCCCCGCCCCCCTCTCTCCCCTCTCCCCTTCCGGGGCAATCACCGCACAGAACGTTAACATGCGGGCCAATGATGTCTAGAAACATAATGTGTTTATGCGAGTAGAGGTAAGCCAGAAACCACTACACGGGGTCCCGGTGGACGTAAGTCAATGAATACTAACGACATCGAGCAGGACCCGGAGATTCAAAACGCGGTCGGACACGCAGATCCCGTGCAAGTCATGGCTAAGCTGAGGGAGATGAAGAATAGCTTCAAGTAAGTGAGTCACTCAATGGCCACCAGCCCGGTTCTAAGGGGAGAGCCCACGGGCCGTGAGAACCAGAGGAGAGAAGGAGAAGGGTCATCGCATAGAGGAGTTTGGTTGGCTTGGTTGTAGACGGCAAGGCTTGGGGAAATATGGAGGCTGATTTGGGTCACCAGCCCTGCGAAACAAACCCCCAAGATGTAGCTGCGATACGATTAAACGGATGGTAAAACTTGGAGCTCTAGCTAGGGCTGGGTAGACTTCAATGTTGTTCATTCAACATAGACAATGGGGGCAACCTGGTGCATCCTCTTCGCTCTGCTCCCGCCCATGGTGGTCTTGGAAGAGCCAGAGCTCGTGTCGCTGACTAGTCCTGGTCTGTCGTGACTAAAACGGGGCAAACCGCCCCAGATCGAGAAACAAGAGAAAAGAATCTCATGAGACTCTCTGCCCTTTCCGGCCGTAGTTTACCTTTTCCCCCAAAAGATAACTGAATACAAATTTTCCAGTCTTCTTTGCAGCGACAAATTGTATTTGAAAGTGATTTTAACCCGCTAGATGGACACTGGGGTTGGCCAACTACCCCACCAAGCTCAATCGCACGCACACAGCTCAGATCTAGATGTTGCTAAAAATGCCTGTTCTGGGTGTGTCCAGCACCTTCACCCCGCAGCGTTCTCCTGAATTAATCAAGACCGCTCTCCGCTGTAGCACAGTTGAACCTTGGTGTGTCTCTCCTCCGGAATGCGCACGCATCTAGCTCTCAACTTTTGGGCACCAAGGAGAGACTAGGAAATTCCTGAAACCTACGGCTTCTCTTTTTTTTTTTTTTTTTTTTTTTGTTCTCTGTTTTTTACCTTTCCCCATAACATCGGGCCTGTTCGCTTTATGGAACCGCCACCCAACCATCCCACCTTGTTCACAACGTCGCCACGTCATTCACGGCCTCCCTCGTCCATCACTTTCCCCTGCGCCGCGCCACGCTTTTCGTTCATCCGACCCTCTCCACGCCCCCTGACCTCCCAATTTGTTAACGGACCCCCAAAGCCTACCTCGGGGCATCACGTACGCGCTCTCTGCCTCAAGGACGGTCTAGTCTAGCTTTCCCCCTTTGGCGGAGCCATGGTAAGTTGAAGCCCTCGTTGTTCATTTCCGCGAGCCCCTCAACCCCTTGCTGGCCTTCCAAGGCTCAACGCAAAACCTGCGCCTATCTCTGATTTTTTTCTTCCTCGTTTCGACCGAATAGCCCCCAAAACGGCGCCCCGGAGGCGTGGCCGATGTTAGTAACGCGCCGAAACCGCGGCAGACCAAGCTCGCCAAGGAGCACAACGTCACGGCCCAGGAGGAGGCCGAAATCAAGGAGGCCTTTAGCCTTTTCTCCGAGCCCATGGAAGGCGAGAAGCATGGTGTTATACCCACCAACGATGTGCGCTCCGCCATGATGTAGGTCCCCCTCCCTCCGTCCCCCTTGAGTTCCCTTCCCTCTTGGGCCCCGCCCAATTCCGCTAGCTGAACCGGAGCCCTCACGCTCACACTCTCTCCGCCTTCTCCCTTGCCCGCAGTGCCCTCGGCATCCCCCAAAGACCGCGTTGAGCACTCCGAGTTCCTCTCCATTCTCGACCCCGACGACGAGGGCTACGCCTCGTACGAGCCCTTCTTCGCCATCTGTGCCCTCAAGTTCCACGCCCGCGACCACGACTCAGACGCTCACGCCCGTGAGCTCGACGAGGCTTACCGCCTCTTCACCCACGGCTCCGCCGCCGGGCCCATCACCCTTACCCACCTCCGCAGGGTGGCCGCCCTCCTCAAAGAGGACGTCGCCGACGAGCTCCTAAAGGACATGATCTCAGAGGCCAACAGTGGCCAGGGCACCGCTGTCGGCGTCGCCAAGGACGAGTTCGACGACGTCATGCGCAGGGCCGGCGTGTGGAGGTAATATGATGCCCGGCTTGGCTAGAGTTTTAAGAAGGAGGGTGGAGATGGTTTCCTGACACGGAGAGAAGGGGAGGATGTATGTGTGATTGTGGCTGATATAGAACCTGGAACCCATCGGGAGATCTGTGTACACCACAATATGATTTAATGAGCAATGATACCCTAAAACTATTCCACCACCTTTTTTTCTTTCCCTTTTTCTTCCCCCTTTGTCACTCTTCTGCTTCCTTTTACTAGCACTCTATACCTTCTCCCCAGGTGGCCCCATTTCGCCAGGTTCTCTAGTTATCCTTGGCGGAATGGGTTGGTTTGGATACACGTTCAAACTGGTGCAAGTAGGTGTATCTTTACCTCGGTACACGGGTGCTACTTCCATTGCCCGATGGACTTATACCTAGCCCTTGATGTGCGAGGTGAGGGACAAACTCGCTCGGGGAAGGGAAGGACTGGGGAAAAGCCTTTGCCGTTGGAGGGCTGGTCGCCCGCAATGGAATCGATCGACAAGGCATCCCTGCGCTTCCTGTCCCTAGAGAAATTCATACGAAATCACGAAGCAACGTATTACTTGCACGGTTAGAGAAACTACGACTATACCAACCGGAGTCACATACATGCTGCACACAAGCCATGGGTTTCAACCTCGATTGTTTTCTTCCCTCTACGTATCTCGGACACAAAGGCTAGTCTCAAGGCTCTATCAACTCAATGACCGCCCACGAGCCACTTGGTCGTGAACGTTCGAACCAGCGGGCTAGCACTGCTTCCGTAGCGTCTAGGAGCAATGCGTGCACTAGCACCATCGCTGACTAGAATCCTCCTCGAAAGAAGGAAGGGGGTGGGGGTTGTGAAGGTGCCAACAAAGGGGTGAGGGTGGCTTTAGACAATGAGGGAATTTTGTGGTTGGCGAACGTCCTCTTGTCATGATGTAGCCGCATGTGCGCATCTCAAAGCCTCAATAAACAGTTCGTTGCCCCTTTAACCCCTCCCACATCCGAGGGGCAAGGTCCCTGAGCGAGGGGATCCTAGTAATAGAGGGCTTTTGATCGAATCAAGATGCGAGCCGTGAACTCTAGCTAGGAACAAGCAGGCACGGTGCCTCGTGAGCGGGGCGTTCTGGCTATCTCCCTGCCTAACCGAGGCGTCACGCCCTTTTCTCTTGAATCAAGCACATCTTGCAGACCAACGCTCACGGTTGTCGCAAGTATGCGCATTGCCTCTTTATCATTCATTCGTAATTCAGGCTGGAGCTTTCAAGCTACCATAGGGCCTGTCTATCTCCTCCTGGAAAGGTGGGGGATTGTGCCATCCTCGACTATTTCCTAAATGGACATTTCCTCAGAAAGCAGGGGGTCAAAACAAGTGGGAAGGGGGAGGTGCGGTGATGGCAGGAGATGGTGGTAAGGGGTGGACAGAACGGGGAAATGAAGGGTGAGAAGGGATGTGGTGTAATGACATCTGTTTTGGTTCGGGGTTTTGAGGGTGAAAAAGACAAAGGGAGATGATTGGCCCCCGAGAGGCTCAGGCATTAAAACACTATTGAGGATGTGTGCAAGGTGTGTGTGGATAAATATTGGGTTGGTGTAGCTGGCCGTGTTGTGGGCTGGCAAGAGGTGGGAGGAAGATATAGAGGAGATGGGACCGGGTAGGACCGGACAACGCGAGACAAGGGCGGCGGCGGACGAAGTTTACATATCCATAGAGTCGGCGCCATTGGCAAAGTTGAAACCGCTAGACTGGCCTTCAGGAGCAGAGGCAGCATTGTTGGTGCCGAAACCAAAAGTTCCACCATTCTGGCCAGGCTGGCCCATCTCGTCCGCGCCCTCGTCCTCATCCGAGAAGTACTTCTCGATGATGTTGAATGCCTTCATGTAAATTTCCTCATTCGCATTGTTCTGGCAGTCATGAATCTTCTCCATGCCCCCACACTCTTCAATGAAGAGAGCGTAGCGGTTGATGGCCTCGGGGCCACCAGAGGCCTGCTTGTCGAGGTCGCCAACCTTGAGGATGTTCTCGAGCCCATCAAGAGCGACCTGGATAATCTTGTTATCAGGGCAGGCGAGGAGGTCGCAGAGAGGGCGAATGCAGCCCTGGGAAACGAGGTAGCGAATCTGCTCGGGCTTTTGAAGGCCGCCCGAAGTCGCGTTGCTAATGGCCCAGCAGGCCTCCTTACGAGTCTTGAGGTCGCCATTTTGGAGGAGGTGGATCAAGGGGGACGATGTTGGCCTCGATGACGGCCTGGATCTGGCTCGAGTTGCCAGCTGTGATGTTGGAGATGGTCCAACAGGCTTCCTTTCGGATTCCATCCTTATTGGAGCTCAAGAGAGCGAGAAGGCAGGGCAGGGCGCCGCAGTTGATGATGACCTGGGTCTGGACATCGTCACCAGTGACAATATTGCCGACGGATCGGAGAGCGGGAGTCTGAACCGACGTGGAGGCGTGCATCAAAAGCTCAACCAGACGGCGGGGATTCCAGCTTCGATAACGGCCTGGATCTTGTCGTTTGAGCCGTCAGAAAGGTAGCTGATAGCCCAACACGCGTCAATGAGAACCTCATCGTCAAGAGAGTAGACAAGCTTGGCAAGCACGGGGAGAGCGGGCGAGATGGTGGCCCAGTCGGGCTGGGGTGCCTTGCCACGACAGAAGTTGCTGAGAGTCCACGTGGCATTTCGGAGCATGCTAAGCTTCCGGCTGTCTCCCAACAACGTCAAGAGGGGCTTGAGAGCGCCGCAGGTCAGGACATAATCACGGCAGTGGGGGCTGTCACCGGCAATGTTACCGAGAGCCCAGACAGCCTGTTCGCGGACATCAGGCTCGTGGCTGGAGAGAAGCTCAACGAAGATGGGCACGGCACCAGCCTCAATCACGACCTGGGTCTGGCTAGCGGAGCCGGATGCGATATTAGTCAAAGCCCATGCGGCTTCGAACTGCACGAGGCTGTGAGGAGAACGCAAGAACTCGACAAAGCGTGAGACGACACCAGTCTTGATCACCTCCTCGATGGGGGATTGCGCTCCTTAGAAAGAAGCTTTCGGAATTTTGTCGTGGCCTTGATCTGCTGGTCGATCTCATTGGAGAAGACACCAGCGACCATCTGAGGGAGGTCTTCATTGAGCTGTGGGGATTAAGGCGTATTAGCATCTTCTCTATGAATAGGCGGTCCGGGATGATGGAGGCCGCATTGGAGGGATCGATGAAATATTTGAGTGCGCGACGGCAAGGAAAGTATGAGAGTTATAAAAAAGGAAAAAAAGAAAAAAAGAGGGGAGATGCAAAGGTTTGAAAGAAAGGAACAAGGCAGGGAGGTATCAAGATTGACTGAAGAGGGAAAAAGGTTGGAAAGGATGATAGCTCATGAGTCTGGAGCAAACCTCACAGCCTTTGACCCGATGATGGACTTGAGCAGTATACCCCAGCAGGGCACAAATGCAGCAGCGCAGCAATGTGGGGAAAGAAACCACCAAATGGAGGGGGATTTCCAATTGTGTGAGGTTGTTTGTGTGGTGGGGTCAGCCATTTGTCAAATCCGCCCAGCAGGGGGATTCAAATGAGCCTGGCCTGGTCCTTTGCTAGGACATCTCCCCTCCCCCGCCTTGGTGGATGCGGCAAGATAAAGCTAACAAAGGCAGAAGGGGAAGAAGAGAGTAATAAAAGACACTTCTTTTCTCATAAGAGGCCCAAAGTCATTGCAACGGCTAGCGGCAGGGCAAGATGTAAAGGGGTCGTGCAAGGAAAGTTAGAAAAGAAAGGGAGGTGAATGCTTACTTGGGATTCGGTGGGCGCGGTCTCATCATCACTATCTGGCGCGGCACCAAGGGAGGCACCGAGACGCTCGCCAGTTCCAATACCTCTCCTCTTAGCCAGGTTCTCTTCACGCTTCGACTTTCGAATCTCAACCTGCTGTTCTTCTCGGCGACGGCGGAGCTCTTCAGGCTTGAAGGCATTCTTCGCCTTGAACTGGGTCCGACGATGCTCGGGAATGTATCGGTCGGCCATGGTTGCTGTTGTTGAATATGGTATGAATGGGTATGCGGTGGAACGAAAAGAAGAAGATGATGTTCGCGCGGCGGAATGGTGGGAAATCCAAGTGGTGGATGTCGCGAGGAAAGCGGTTCAAGGTTTCCTTCCGTTTTCAAGGCAGCGAGAAGAGTCGGAGAGGGGCTGAGCTGATTGGATGGTGGCGATTTCTTGTAACGAGCTTTTGTTGGCTCAAATTCGGTAGACCCTTTCAGGAAGGGGACGAAGAGTCAGAAGATGATAATCTCCTCCGTCGCAACACAGCGTGCAGAACGGGTGGTGAAGAGAGAGAGAGAGAGATAGAGGGATATGAATAAGTAAGGGGGAAAAAGGGAGGGGGAAGAGAGAAAAAAGTTTGGGAAGTGGAAAATAGAAGAAGTTGATGTGATGGGAAGTGGGTGGAAGGAGGGGGAGAGGAAGGTGGGGAGAGACGACCCGGCCGAAGACCCCAATTTTCAACACTGTGGATATTTTGTTACTGTTACGAGGGGGTTTCTATTTTTCTCCTTTTGGTGGACCGCTGTTAGGAAGGTTTTTATCCCCGTCCTGGGCGTTGGCGGGGTATTCTCGCCTACCTGAGGAGTAATCTCCCATGGACCCAGCACAGCACGGGGCCCAGCAGTCTAGAATCCAACGGCACATTCGATCCATTGAACATCCAGTATAGATAGAATATCCAGCCTAGGCGTCTCCTAGTATCTCTCCGTTTCTACTTGTAGTTCTGTTTTGTTTCTCTATCTTCACCGTACCTCTGAGTCGGCCCTTGACGGTTGACCTTCCATTGCCGCTGGCTTGTTCGGCTTTGGCGCATTGGCACGGAGGCCATTGGCAGTCCCACGACGGCGCTACCTGGTGTAGGACTCTTTCTGCCTTTCTTTGGTTGGCTTGGAAGCTTCGGGGAAGAGCGGTCAGACTTAGCAGATCGCTTTGTCATGACAATGGAGAGTTTGACAACCATTCATCAAAGGCTAGCACCGAAAAGAATTTAGGGAACCCCACGATGAGCTCGGTTGCCTTTGGAATGCACCAGAACATGAGAACTTGGGTCTCAACCGAAACCACCCACTCTAGATAGCTTGCTAGTCTTCCTTAGATTCATCGGAGAGATACGTGTGGTTTCTAGGTAGAAGTAAAGCGACAAAACTGTCAGACATCAACGGTTTTATAGGATTTTCGTGGCAGGCGGCAGTCAATGGCAGCTTCTTGTTGTCGAGCCAGCACCGGAATTGAGGTGTTCTTCACCGTCCTGGGTCTAGTACGTGCTAAATCCTCAACTAACCATGTGATTGCCCCTCTGGGAAAAGTCGACTCTTAGACCAAAACAACGGGATTGATGGTTTGTTGCTCTCAAAGTGGACTCCGGCGGCGCGGCATTATTATTTTAAAAATTATAAGAAAAAAGGTCCACTCCTCGTGGCAATTATGGCCTCTGCGGGATGGTTCGCGAATCCCCACCTTCGGCGGTGATGGACATACGAAATGGAAAGCTATCCTGTCCATCTACAATTGATTTTTTTGGTATCAATGATCATAACCGAATACATTTTACATATTGATATTGATATTACATATACTGCATGATACTAACCAGCACCTTTTCCTCCCTCCTCCAGCGGACATCTATAAGTAACGAAAGGGGAGCTTCCTGAAGAACCCTCCAGGCCAGGCTTGACGGTCCAGGGAAAGGTGCCACGGACGCAAGTATCCAAGTACATGTGATTGATGAGGGGTATCACCCATCAGGTCACTGGGTGTAACATACAAATATTCGTACTGTGGCCCCGCTTCAAACCTTGTCCTCCTGTTGAGGTGGGGGCAGTACCAACTGAGGAAAGGGCCATCCAGCGGTGGGTACAAGGTGACATTTTGCACGTGTTTTCGCGCAGAGCCCGGGCCGTCTTGTGCTGGACCAGGCCATCGCGACTCCCGTCGTCGAGCTCAAATTCGCGTCGCCGAGCCACTTTTTTCCTTTCTAGACGGCCGGCAACCGGTGTCGCGAGTGAAGCGCATGTCCCTTCCCGTCTTGAAGGGCCATTAAGGTTTGTGCTTTCCTATAAAACGCGTGGCCTTTCACGATCCGCTTTCGCCTTCATGCTTGCCCAGCTTCTCGAGGAGAAAGAGCAAGCATCAGGAGCACACATCCGTGTCCTTGAACATTGTAGTTCGAGCGCTCGCCTGTCCTAACTCGCGTGCCCCGTATTAGCTCATGCTAGTTCTTTATTTTCCTTTCTCTTTCTTTTTATTTTGGTTTTCCAACTAGGAGCGCCATTCTACTCTTTTTACCTAGTCTTGTTTGAAGTTCGTTCCTCACAGGAATCCTGTTGGCCTAGGGATTTACTCATAAATCATTATCTCGTGTGGCTTACAAAAGAGTGCATCGGCCGTGGCCCATAATGTCGACTTACTCGGCACTCGCCGCACCGTCCTCCCCGATGCCGGCCCTTCCTCGACAGGTCATTCCGATCCGTGACATCCTCGAGGAGAAGGTAGATCCCCGACAGCTCGTCAATGTCATCGGACTCGTTCGGGATTTCCGCCCTCCGATTGAGACCCGAGGTGTTGGTATGTTCATGGTTATGCCCTAGAGGGCTTGAGAATCGCCAAAGTTACGCCCCTGAATGAAGCTGATGAGTCGTTGCGGATAGACTGGAAAGCATCCGTTAACCTTTTGACATCTCCACGGCAAATGATGACGATGACTTTGTTCTTACCATATTCAGGCCGCGGGAGCGAATGCCGGATGTTAATGCTGGCGATGTTGTCTTCGTGCAGTCTGCAAGGGTACGTTTAACACAGTACAGTTATCTTTCACCCTTTTGACGGACTAAATGATGTTGACTTGCTCATTCTTTTTTTCCTTTTGGATTTCCAAAGGTCCAACGGCATGGAACAAGTACACTGTCAATATTGACTTCTCGCGGGACGCGAATCTATGTCTTCCGAGGAACCTTGATCCCCAAACTCCCAGGATGTGCCTCCCGGGCACTACGGTCATCCCAGGGCTCGCCTATACCCTCAAAGGACATACTCAATTATGTATCCTCGCTCTACCATACCGTTGATAAGGGCCGTGTTCCCGATGCTGAAAGCTTCGACTTGATGGCCCAGCAAGCCGTCAATGTCAAGCAAAAGTATCGAGAGCTAAAAGACGCCCGCGATGGTCAGTTCTGCGACTTGATTGCCCTTGTTGTGCGAGCCCCATATGATCTTGGCGACTGCGTAACGCTCTGGGTAACGGACTACACGGAGAATAGTGGCTTCTATCCCTTAGCTGAATCATTCGCTGAGGGCTCCGCGAACGGTGAATACGCCGGCTATGCGCCATCATCAGCTAGTCAGAGTGCGCGGCTTGGTCCCGCCGGCAAGATGTCGTTGCAAGTCACCTGTTGGGAGCCCCACGCGAGCGTGATTCGGACTAAGGTGCAGGCAGGCGCCTGGGTCTCGTTGCGCAATGTCCACATTAGGTACGGAAGGAATAATGCCCATTTGGAAGGATTTCTCAGAGAGGACCGAAAGTTTCCTCCAAAGTTAACGTGGACATCCTCCTTCCTCTCGCCGACCTAGAAGAGGTCGACCCGCGGCTGAAGAGTGTCATCCGACGAAAGCACACTTACGAGCGCAACAAGACACGCCAACATAGCCAAAGCTCAACCGAAAAGCCCTCGAAGAAACGACGACCCGCCGAAGAGACCGAGAAAGGTCCACGATTGTCAAGTAAAAAGATGCGGGCACAAAGGCGCGCTAACCTGCAGGCTTCCTATGAACGCGCGAATCAAGAAGTGCCTGATTTGAACCCCGAGGGTAAAGCTGCCTCCGAGAATTTCCCAACAACGACACATGCACTGTATACGCAATGCTGATACCTTCGCAGTCACTTGTGAGAACATGGATGTTCCAGTAACCACGATTGCTTCCATACTTGAGCCCGTATTCTACAACCTAACACTCAGCGGCTCGAGTAGTAGCATTAGAGTACCAGTGCCTTTCAACAATGCAAAGTATCGAGTCATTGCTCGAGTAACGGATTTCTTCCCTCACAACCTGGAAAAGTTCAGCCGCTATCGCAAGCCTAGCGAGTACGAGGTTTTGTCCGATTTTGAAGATGAGTCTGATGACGGCGAGGAGCCCCCACCTCCGCATTGTATTGATGGCGGCGAGGATCCTGCCGAGACCGCAAAGTGGGAGTGGTGTTTCGCTCTCCAACTGGAGGATCTCTCTCCCCAGGGCCGATTAAAACCTGCTCGCGTGTGGGCCTACGTTGACAATGCCGAGGCCCAAGGTTTGTTGGGTCTAGATGCTTCCAAGTAAGCACAAAGACGCCTCATCTATCTTTCTCTTTATCTAGTAAATGCTAATGATTCATGGTAGTCTTCACTCGGACGCCCAGGGACTAATTGACCTCCGGACGCAACTTACCAAACTGTGGGGTAATCTTGAAGAAAGCCAAGTGGAGTTAGAGGGATCTAGCAAGAACCGCAGAGGCGGGCGCAAGGAATCGAAGCAGAGGTTGGAAGACCAGCTACTCCCCGGTTCTGACGCTGAGCTATCCCAAGATGTCAGTGTACAGAGCGACTCTGAGCATAAAGAGGCGTTAGGGACTTCTAGCGCCATGCCCAACCAGCTGTTTTCGTGCTGTATCCGTCAATTTGGCAAAAAGGTTGAAGAAGGCGACTCGGAAAAGGCAGACGCTGGAGAAGGACAGCGTTGGAAGAGGGTCTTTGGACTTTTTGGAACTAGACTTACATATTTAGCCACAGCTTCGCCATGACCTGACACCCCGCGGCTTGGGGTGGGAGAAAATTGAAGAGTCGAGGTCAGACATCGCGCAGACAGATCATTGTGGGAGTCGATAGGATGCGGCGCCTTTTGGCTCCTCAGTCAATTTTGAAGCACCGGAGAGGGGAATGTGGCCACCTCGCCATCTTGGCCATAGTAGGTGGGCGGTCTTTTAAGCGTCTAGCTTGATGTCATTTCTAGTCTATTGCTCTACTAAGCGTAGACGAGTCCGTGTACGAACGATAACTGATGTATTTATAGTGTACGTGGGAGGATTAGGAGTGTTGGGCGTTACCAAATCTTACGGAGACATAGTCTTTCTCAAGGATAGGGCCAGGAATCAAGGAGCGAGGGCGTACTTGGAAGGAGGATGCTGTCGTTTCATTCGAACCAGCAGAGTAGACTGCAAAACATCAATAGGATACATGGGTACATTAATTAAACTCCTCGGCACCTGATAAACGCCAATCAGCCGGCACAACCACCACCGCCACCGCCGCCGCCGAGTACTTGATGTGCACGAAACAGAGGAACCTGGGAGATGACCCACGAAGGAACGAAGGCCGGCTGTGCGGCATCCCAACTATACAAAGAGATTCAGAACAAGTGTCGGCACGCAGCGAAGAAGATCACTAGACGGGGAAGCGAGAGGACAGTGAAAGGGAAATGACAAAAAGAAATTGAAAAGAAAAAAACAAAGGAAAGATAATCAGCCATGCAGAGTCTCTCCAACTTCTTGTCTTTTAAAAGCCCGTGGCGTGATCCTTGAAGATGCGTGTGGATGGAAACAGGCGGCCAAGGTACTGCTGGGAAAGACGTGCGTTAGGGAAGGCGCAGAAAGGCAACGACGCGTTATCATACGGGGCCAGGGGGTGATAGATGAGACAAAGAAAAACACTTGAAAGGGGTAAAACAAGATTATGAATATAGACAACAAGTGCAAGGGGCCAAGAAGGAAAAAGAAGAAAAAGAAAAAAGGTTTCGGGGAGAGGAGGGCCTCGGAGAATCAAAGGTAAGCAATGTCCCCTCTCACGGTGCAAAACATATGGCGAGGAAAGAGGGATAGGACACCAAAGCATCCTAATATTGCCTCTTTGATTTCTTCTCCCTTCGATAGACATAGGCGACTGGCAGGGCTCTCGACAAATTCCTCTTCGCTTTGATTTTCCTTCTTCATTCGGCTTCTTTCCAAGGTATACTGTTGCCATTTCAGTTGTTGTAGAGAGAGGGTAGGTCCTTTTGCCAGCTATCCGGGTCATTACGAAAGTCGACGAAATACAGAGAGAGCGAAGCAGTGGAAAAGGAAACAAGAAAGAGTACACGTCGGGAAAGAGATGCGGGAGCAAGATGTGTACATTGTGGTGTGGTTTACCCTAGTCACCTAGGACAGACTCGTCGTCGGCGATGGGGGCTCAGGCTCGCTCTCTTCCTCGTCCTCCTCTTGCGCCTCTTCCTCGGGCTCGGCGTGGATATCCTCCTCGTCCTCTTCATTATCTTCATCATCGTCACCGAGAAGGACCATAGCCGCGCTCTTTGGGGCTTGTCTAGCTAGCACGGCGTTGCCGTTGTTGGTGGCGCCTGGTGGACCTGCCGCCGAGGCCGGTTTCTTTTGCCTGTCACCTGCCTTTTTGCTGGCAAGCAGGGCAGCCACCTTGGCCTCATCTAGGAAGGCGACGATTTCCTTGTAGTTGTTACCCAGACGCGTCGAGTTGCGGAGGAGGCGCCGCTTGAGACGCTCCCCGGGGGTATGGTCGAGCACCTTGGCTGAGATGGCAAGAACGAGCTTACCCGCGAGCTCGCAGAGATGTTTTTCAGCCTGCAGCTGAGCCGAGAGTCTCTCAGCCGGGGTGAGATTATCGCCGGCGTCTTCGTCCTCGTCGTCCTCGAAGTCGATGGGATCCTCATCCTCGGCGGGGTCGTTGAGCGTCCGCTTGGTCAGCTTAGCAAAGTGTTTCTCTACGCTCTCAAAGATGGCAACAAGCTCCTTGACGAGACCCGGCTCTATGTCCGAGACAAGCCCGGCCACGCGGTCCAAGTTCTGGGCCTTCCAGGCGTGGCTGCTGGCGCTCTCAACCAAGGGCCGGAGCTGGCTGAATAGGACGTAAAAGTCGCAGAAGCTGCCGGTCGCGCTGCGGCAGAGCTCGTCGACAGCGGTGCGTGTCGTGAAGGAGACGACGAGGTTCCTGCGATACTTCTCCTTGAGGTACGAGAGTCCCTCGATGTCCTTGGCGGAGACCTGGCCGCCACTGGCGACGACGTTCATGATAGACCGGATCTTCCACATAAAGTAGAACTGGCAGCTTTCTATCGCGAAACCAACGACCTGGTCCTCAGCCTCGTCGAAATCTGGATCGGACTGGTCAAACTTGCCCCGATGGACAATCTCCACGAGAATGCTGATGAGAGAGGCCGACGAGTCAGCGGACCGCCCTTCCGTCTCCAGTACGTCAACACAGTCCGAAGTGCTCGCGAGTTTGGAGATCTTGGCGAGCACGGTAGCTAGATCAGTCAGCTTGTCCACGTCAAGGTTTCCGCGGCTGGAGAGCTCGCAGTACTTGTCAAAGTTGCGAAGCGCCTCAACAACATTCTCCCAGAGGGCAGCAAGGCGGCCGTCCGTCAATTCCTCCAGCTCGTCGTACTGGCGGGCATGGAGAAGCGCCTTGGTCGCCTCGGCGAGAACGCGCTTGTCGTGGTGTCTGTTGAACTGGGTGCTGATCTCGTCTAGAAGCTTCTCGTACTTACTCGAGTCCTGCCGCAAGGAGGAACAATTCGAGGTCGAGTAGGTGCTCAAGCCGTAAGACTAAGATCGCCGTGTCCGGGTCAGCGCCGTACTTGTTGAGAAGGCGTGGGATGGCGGCGGCGAGTTGAACGGCGGTCTCTTCAGCATCCTCTGCGAGGTCCGCCTTTGTACGCTTCTTGGTGTGGTCGTGATGGGTCGGGTGCAGTGTGAGCTTTGCAGCGGCCGCCAAGATCTCGAGAAGGATCGCTTCCTCTTCCTCGACGGGAGCTATCGCCGACTTGACTACAGATTCGGCACTGGCCTTGCCCCTCTTCGCCTTTGACTTGGCACTTGTGGTGTGATCGTGAAGCAGGTAGCCCGCAATCGCTTCCCAATCCTTTACCTCAGGCATCCTCTCGTAAAGCACCTGGGCAGCGAGGGAGATGCGAGTGTCCGGTAGTGCAGACTGGAGTAGGGCCGTCGACATGTCATAAGCCGCGGCCGGTTCCTGCACGCCCGACGCCTCAATTTGGGCGTCGTACGCGGCTAGATTCTCGGCGAGGCACTTGATGTTGACCCACTCGGCCCTAGGAGTTTGGTAGTCGTCAGCTTCTACACTACCAAAGGCCTCTTCGACAGCGTCGGTGCCACCCATCTCCTCGGTCTTGGCTTCGACCAGCTCTCGCACGCATGCGGTAAAGAAGTTGACAACAGCCTTTCGCACTCGGGGGTCGCTGTCAAAGATGAGTCTTCCCACACTGTCGATCTCATCAGGGTCGAGCATTCCGTTCACCCTCAGCATCTCAATGGCGGAGATAGCGGAAACCCTTACGGAGATATCGGCGTCCTTGGTGGCGATTTCTACGAGACGGGGTCGGAATCGATCGATGAAATGGCCAAGCTGTGACGCGTCTCGCTTGAACATTCTCGTAAGCTGCTTCAAGACCTCATGGCGGGTGGAATGCATGACGTCCGTCAACATCCAACCAAGGTATCGCAAATACTCGGGCTCCATGAAGACCGTGGGCAGTTCCCAAATCCAGTAGCCGAGGGCCTCAACGCACTCGGTGCGAATCTTAGGGTCGATGTCGCGATAGCGGTGAACAAACACGGTATCAAAGAAGTCCCTGATGTAGTTGCCGCAAATTTCACGATAGTTGTTGGCCTGGTCGAGGGCTTTTGCATTTCCAGGGCCTTGGTCTTATTCTTGCCACGCTTGCTCGCCTGGAGCTGCTGCTCTACGCTAGTGATCCTATGGTCAAGGATTGCGGCAACCTCGACTAATCCGGCCTGAAGGGCGAGAGCAATGGTGGTGGCGGTGTGCCTGAAAGGACGTAATGTCGAAGAGGACATGGTGGCTACCCATCTGTGAACATTGTCCATTAGGGACTCGTCGGTATACAATATATCCGTCGTGTGCAGAAGGTTGACCAGGGAGGAAAAGAAGGCGTTAAGAAGGTCTCGGAACGACCTGGTGCTTTTCGCCTTAGAGATCAAGGGATAATCGGTGATTTGTTGCTGGAGGACATGTCAGTTATGCGCGTTTTGGGGCATCTTGTGTCTTTCATTCCTTATAGCTTTCCATATTCTAGCGCAAGGGGCAAGGGAAAAAGGAAAAGAGGCCTGGGTATGATAAAGGCAAAATGGCAAGGTTACTTACGTCTTGCCAGACACTTTGAAGGTCTGCTATTCGGTTCTGGCAGTTATCGGGGTCTCGGATATCATCCTCGGTTACTGAGAGATCGCAGCCACTGCACTGAAGGACACAATTGACAAGCTCTGTGACAGCGGCGCTTGGGTCGGCGCGGAATCGCGTGAGCCACTGCTCCGCAACGGAGTCGACTGAGTCGCCGGATCCGAAGATTTCAGCTACAGAACAAGGCAAGAGGTCAGTAACTTAGCTCAAAGTGGTGAGGAGTGCGTTGCCTTCAACAATGGCCAGAGGCACGAGGGGAGCGATGAGGGAACGGGCGAAGGGCAAAAGGGGGTAGAAAGACAGATGAGAACGCGATGCGTGCACACATCTATGCGTAGGGTGGGGAAAGATGGAAAGAAAGGGAGACGAACCATAGAGTCCGGTTCCGTCTTCTGGCAAGCGCTCGATTCTAACAGACTTCTTCGGTCTAGTGGGCAGGCTAGAAGGGTGTCCGGAGGATGCGCCGTTGGTCTTGACCCTTTTGCTTGCGGGCTTTCTGGGACGGGTAGATTTGGAGGCTTTTTGGTCTTGCGTCGGCGTGCGGGGGCGTCGTCGTGGTCATCGTCATCATCGGGATCGCTAGGATCCTCGTCGTCCAAGTCATCAGACATTTCCTCATCAGAAGCGACAGCAGCAGTATCCTGGTCTACATCATCACCCTCCTGATCAATCCCTCTTTTGCGCTTCGCGGCGGTGTTGTGCGCGGCGTCGGCGGCAAACTTTCGTGTGGGTTTAACGACGCGTCCGGACCGGCGACGCGATTCGGGGCCAGGGGACTGGCTCGGGCTTGATGAATCCATAGTTTTTTGAGGGGGTGAGGGAGGGGGAGGAGGACAAGGTTCCTCTGGCTTTTTTCCTTGTTACCCCCGACGCGATGCAAGCTGTATCAATGGGCAGAAAGCGTCAAGATATCGCGACCGAAGTCGCGCGGGCTCAATGAAAGCAATGTCGCCCGGTGTGAGATTAGGCGACGGGAGGTTCTTTAAGGGTTGGGGAAAGGAAGTTGCGTGCGTGTGTGCGTGTGTGGTGGGCGGGAAAATGGACGTTCCTTGTCGCGCGCGTTGAGATGGAGAAACTGTGTGTACAGTGGAGTCTGTGTGATTAGCCCAAAAGGGCGCTCCTACCGTGCTGTTCGCGCTTTTACACAGTACACATATGCACCAGTCATCATCTCAAGGAAGAGGCTACGGCACAGTATTACGGACACCACTCCTTCCCGAAATCGAAAGAAGGACTTTTCAGGCGCGCCCTGCCCCCTCCCACTTTGTACCTGCCTCTGGTACCCGTCTTGCTTCATGGTAAGCAGGGGGTACATCCTCCGTTATGTGTCTCGCTGTGGCTTGTGCGGCCACGAGGTACTCTCAATACAAGAGAGCAGAGGAAGCCTTGCCTGAAATCAATAGGCCTAGGTACAAAGTACTTGCCGACTTGTCGCGTCCCATTACCATCTTCCAAGTATTAGATCTCATAACGCGCACGCGCGCGAGGTGAGGTCAGAAGAGTACCTCGACGAAACTGGAACATTCCAGGCTAGCTTGGGGAGACATCATATGCAAAGGCAGGAGAAAAAGTGCACGGGTCACCTTGATAGAAGAGAGAGCAGACTGAGGCGTCGGGGTCCAGCTTGGCTGTCCGAAGTATAAGTGGTAGTGCGAGACAGCCATGGGAGAATTGGCCGTCTCCCGCGTGTCGCCTTCGTTCAATGACGATCCGAATTCGCTTGGTAAGGCTGCTGCTGCGGTATCAGGCAAAGGGCTGCTCCAATGGTGGAATTCGGCGAGTTCGACACCTTATGGAGCAGAGCCTTGAGCTCCGTGACCTGACCTAACCTATCTCTGCTTCTGTGAAGTCGTGATTTCGAAAGAGCTCGTCTCAAAGTCAGGCAACACAAAAACAAAGTGCATTCTATGCTTGCTTTTCTCCCATCTCGTGCCTAACCATTCAAGGCCGATATGGGGGACGTTCAATCCAGCCGCGTACATTGAGATGCCGCGTAAAGTGGCGGGAGGTAGACTCGAGGAGTTAAAACATCAATGCTCTGGGGAACAACATGGCTCTTGAAAGAAAACGGTCCACAAAGAGGAAGGCTTTCTCCATTCTTGACACCTGTGACGGAGCGCGCCAGGTTTACGCTCTTCATTGTGTCTTCAGACTAGTACCTCGGCGGTAGACTCGCACCAGATAGTCTGTGTGCCACGCGTGGACGTGCTGGAATGGAGGGCCTTTCAAGCCCAATTTGACGGGCCAATTGATCGATGACTTCGGGGGATGACTGTTACAAGTAGCCTTCTCTTGACATCCATAGATCAATTTCGACTCTGATAGCGCCACCGATAAGGACTTCAATGTTCGCCGATGCGATAATAACTACAGAACAATTGATCAAAGTTTCAGTCACCGGTTACCCAGCGCTTCTAGAACAAAGAACATTTAGGTCACCTTCGGACACCCTTCTTTTCTTCTCCCCGCCCTCAATTGGTAACAAAATCGGTTCAAATTGATCTCGAGGAGATTGGTAGTTCGTGTAATTCTCTTCCCATCTATTCGCTCTTTCCTTTCCTTATCCTTGTGGTCTTTTTTCTTCTTTTTTTCTCTTCTGAATTTGCGCCTCCTTTCCGCCCCTCCGTGTCAGCAAAGGGCACTTATTCTTTCGCATCGGATTTTTATGGATTGATGCCAAGAAAACGGGCCCTCCCGCCGCGCCAAGCTAAGAGTCCACCTCGATAAGAGTCACTCTGTTGTTTGACCACCATCCCTACCAACGTCTCTCTTCTCTTTCCCATTTGGGAGCTTCCTAAGCATTCTATCGAATACCATGCCTTCACCTTTCCCCCGTCGACGTCGCGGCAAGGTCAGGGCCGAATCGTCGCCAAGATCCTGCCGAACGGGGCTACTGGGCTCGAGATCGTAGAGTACCAGTACCCCTTGAAGCTCATCGCCCCCAAACCCGCTCCTCACCACCGGAGCGCCTCGGTATTCCTCCTATCTTACGGCGGTGGCCTCGTCGGGGGTGACCAGGTGACACTTGCGATAGATGTACTCCCAAACGCAAAGTTGAGTCTGGTGACGCAAGGCCACACCAAGGTGTTCAAGTCGGCAAACCCAGATATCGTGACTAGGCAAACCATGACGTTTAATATCCAAGACAAAGCAGCTATTTGCCTGCTACCGGACCCGGTTCAGCCCTTCAAGGACAGCGTGTATGAGCAGGTGCAGATCTTCTCGGTCGCCGAAACCGCGTCAGTTTGCTTGCTGGATTGGGTCACGCAAGGGCGCTCGGCGAGGGGGAGAACTGGAATTTCGTGAGGTGGTACGGTCGCAATGAGATATGGCGGGCCGGAAGCAGCAGCGGTAGTGGCAGTGGCGATTCCGACGAGAAGGGCAAAGGTAGCGAAAAGTCAAGGACCGGCTTCTCGTGAGAGACGCCGTGAAGCTGGACGGGCAAGACCAGCTCCTCGCAGGCAAAGCCCTTCAAGAGGTCATGCACCAGCAAGCCGTGTTCGGCACCCTCATCCTTCGAGGTCGCCTCATGACATCCCTCGCCAACTTCTTCCTCTCCGAATTCGCCGCGCTACCTCGTCTAGGCGCCCGTGGATTCAAGTCATCCAAGCCGCTAGCGGCGCAAGGCAGCGCTGAAGCAGAGCTCGAGGCGTGGAGGGCGCAACGGCTGGCTGCGGAGAAAGAGAACGGTGTCCTGTGGTGCGCCGCGAGTGTTCGGGGCTGCGTGGTGGTCAAGTTTAGCGCAGTCAGCGTTGAAGGTGGAAGGATATGGGTGGGCAGCATGATCACGAGGGAGGGGAGCATAACGGCGAACTTTGGAGAAGAAGCTCTGTTTTGTGTACAGTAATCAGACCGATATGTTCTCCTTTAGTCGACGAGGAGTTTGTAATATGGAAACAAAATCCCCGTGCGTATTTGGTGGTTGGTTTATGTGATGAGAACAATTGTACACGTAATTGTAGCGATCATGCATTAGGATACTGAGTTAACTAGGCTGTGTGGGAGTTATCATAGTATTAATGACGATAATACAGCCATGACGAAAGCCGTCAATGTTACCCTACCCCTGGGACCACCCTTGCTTGGGACGTGTAAGGAAATCGAAGGACTCCAGACAAATGACAATGAGAAGGAATGACGCTTGTACTTTCCGTGCCTGCGCCCTGCACCAACAAGGGCTGAATGGTTGGCCAATGCTTTCAGCGGCGGTTGACCCCGCAGCCCCTCCAAAGCTGCCCCAACTTCGGGGAGAAATCCTTAAAAAGAAAAAAACTTTACGCGGGCAAGCGCAACCGGGGAGCCTATCAGCTCCAAATCTTCAAATCTTGCACCGAAAGGTTTTTTCCTAACTCTCAAACGATCCGCCTTCTTCACGAGGGAACAACCCCCACCACGCCCTTCAGCAAGACCATTTGTCAGTCCTCCACGGCCAAAACGAAAAGGGGGCCGGCACTAACTATCCACAAATTCACGCAGTCGCCATACCACCAACCAGTCTCAAACTCGTAGTCTCTCTCGAGCTTGCCCCCGCACCCTCCCCTGCTCGCCGCGCACTTCACGAGCTACCGGCCACAATTACGCGATAAAACTCTCACCGATATGGTCCGAGGAGCGGGCGCCGGCCGAGGCCGGCCCCGGGGCCGAGGACGAGGGTCGCTGGTGCCTCGACGCCGACTACCGCAGAGCCGATAGCGCCCACCGCAGACATGGCCATTGACGAAGTTACCCAGATGCCAAGCTCCATAACGAGCGAGCCTACCGCTACCACTCAAGCCTACAGGCGCCGACACAAGCCTCAAATGCAACCGCGCTGTCCCGCGAAGCCCCCAAGGCGGCGGCGTCGTCCTCGTCGAGAGGGCGGCTACGGCCCAAGGTCGTGCGGCGAAATGAAGAAGAGAGAGAGAAGCTAGCCCAACAAGAGGCCAAGAAGGACTCGGAGCGGGCGGCGGAGGAGCGTAGACTCAGAGGGCGAGTGCGTTTTAGGGGCCGTCGCGGTCGAGGAAGTCAGTTCAATACCACAGGCCCGCGGCTGAGCAAGGCAGAACCCTCTGGTTTGTTCGCCGACCAGAGAGGGGGTAAGTTCAATCCTCATCAACCCCTTCCCCCACTTCCACCTGGGCTTTCAATCCTTTTTTTCTTCCTGTCCCCTATCTACTAGCCAGGGGGCGAAGGTGGGCAATTTGGATGTACAAGCTAACCTCTTGTTGCATCAATCGTAGTCCCGGCTCTTCCGCGGGGGCTTCAGCTTTGGCGGTAGCGGGCGAGGCGGGTTCATAGGAGGCGGAGCAGGCCGCAGTCGTGGTAACCATCAATTTGAAGGTATTGAAAGGCCCTGGGAGGTGCGGATCAACACCGACAAGCTCGGCTCCTCGACACCGTCAGCCCAAGATGCAGAGGATGCCGAAGAAGAAGAAATGGCATTCATGGCTGTGCACTCTCAACCCGGTCGGAAACCCCTTGGCATCACGCGAAAGGAGGTCAAGGAGGCTGAGACGGTTGTTGTGACTGCTGCTGAACTGGAGGCCCAGATGAATGAGGATGACGACGAGGAAGTGGAGGACCTGTGGGTGGGCGATGCTCCCAAGAGCCCTGCCCCCGTCCCTAAGCCTGACGATAAGGTCTGGTCTGCGGCGCCCGAAGACCACGTTCGCATCAAGACGGAGGATGGTCAAGTACATAGCTTCATTCCTCCTTCCAGCGGCGCCATCGACTTTGATGCCATGAGAAACGTCCCGCTTCCCGAGGACACCGCAGCGGCGGTGGGTCTCAAAGAGCCCGTAGAAGCGACGGGCAGCCGCGTGCCTTCGGTCACGGGGCCTGAAGGATCCAAGCCACCCCGAAAGGCCAAGAAATCAGCGGGTGTCCCAACAGAGGAAGAGGAATGGAAGCAGGATTCGTACGCTTACGTCCTCCAAACGCTGGCCGCCACCTCCTTGCAGGATGAGGAAGAGGCGGCCAAAGAGGAGGGTGACGATGGCGGTGCGGCTAGAGAGGCCACTAACGCACTCAACGATCCCATGCCTTTTCTCTGCAAGTTTGGTCCGATCATGCCGCCCTTGCGACCTAAGGCTCGCCCAGAGCCACTTATTAAGAATGAACCTACGGACACAGTGATGCTTGACCAGTTGTCGGCTGTCGACCTGACGGCTGAGCAGCATGGCAGCAGCGCTATCGAAGCTGGTGAGGGCGAGGATCAAGGGCCGTTTGCCCACAGTGGATTCATCGGTAAGCTCGTTATCCGCAAATCAGGCAAGGCGGAGCTCGACTTTGGGGGCATCCGGTACCAAATGAGCCGTGGCATCAAATCGTCGGGCGTCACGTCCTACATGGTGCTTGAGGAGTCGGAAACGAAGAAGCCTGGGCAAGACGAGTACGCCGGCCGCGCCATTGCCATGGGCACGCTTCTTGGAAAGTTCAACTTTGGTCCCGTGTACAACGAGCAAAAGGAGTGGATCGTCACGGAAGAGGATTTAAAACCCCCGGCGGAGAAGGATAACGCGTAAGGAACCCTCGCCACCGCCTCGCCTTTAACACACCGGTTCCAGATACCCCGCCAAGTACAGATTCTATATCTCATTCCCCTTTAGATACCGGCTAGAACGACCCCTCGTTCCCCGGTTGGAAGAAAGCCCGGATACCCGCCTGAGGGACTTTACCTCTTATTCCTTTTGTTTTGGGCAAATTGTACCTTATTCATCCACAATGCAATCTAGGCGCTATTTTTGAGCCTTTACCTAGGATTTTGAAGGGAGTAAAGGGCGTAATATTCCCCTTAAATGACCTTTTACTTGACCAGATGAATCCGTGAATAAAAAAATAATGTTGAGAAACACGACGATGAGACTTGAGAGAAAAAGGGAACAAGTGAAGAAGCAGCGAAGATCCTGCACTCGTTGCATGCGGTGCCACAGGTATGCATCAACTCAGTCCCGGTACCAAGGATGATCCCTCGGCCTTCCCCACTAAGCACCGAAGCAGGGTCCGGCACAAATACATCTGATTTATAGATATAAGACGGACCCTGCCTTAGAGAAAGGGGGAGAGGGGAGGGAGAGATGAATTGAGGTTGGTAGGGGCCCAAATATGTACAAGGGAACCGGACTTGAGAAGATTCATTCGTAATTTCTTCCTCTCGCCCTGCAACCTTCCCGAAGCTTGCTTCTACATCCATCTCTTGCCCCTTCCACCCAAGGCTAACGAGCTTAACTGAAGCCAGCGGCTGATATATATATATATATATAAGCACGCGGGCTCAAAATAAAGCAGAGAGCAGAGAGCAGAAAGCAAATAGGCGATTCTCAAGCCCAAGGAAGACGGCCCTGCCCAAATAATGACGGGTGACGTCTGCCCCGAGGAGGGCCTCAGAGTCCTCGTGATAGGCGCAGGTCTGGCGGGACTAGCCGTGGCCATATCGACGAAACTAGCCAATCCAGCTCACCAAGTGACCATTCTCGAGGCAGCAAAGGCCCTGCAGGAGATAGGAGTAAGTACTTTTTTCTTCTTGTTTTTCCCACTCAACAACATAGCTTGCCGCCCCATCCTCGACTTCTACCACCCCTAAAACTTCCTCCCCAGTTGTTGCACCCCCGTACTTACTCGTTTCCCGTATCCCACCCCCCTCGCCCTCCCCTTCTCTTTCTGGCCGGAGATTCCCTCCCCCATCTAAACCGCGCGAAGAGAAAAGGATGGGGGCGGGTCGGCTCTAGCCTCGGAAGGACTCCCGGAGGGGTCCGGGAGTTTGGGGGAGGGGTGGGGGACTTTGGGATGGGGGACTTGGTATTTTCCCGATAGGCCGCTCTGCAAATGACACCCAACGCAACCCGGCTCCTAGAGAAGTGGTCCGTCCTGGACGCGCTGCGCCCAGACGTCATCGAGCCCCGCTCGCTCACGGTCCGGAGATATGACGGCACCGAGGTGCTTGCGCACGAGGGCTGCCTGCGCGAGGTCATGGAAGAAAACTACTGTGCCCCGTTCTGGAACGTGCACCGCGTGGACCTGCAGCGCGAGCTAGTGCGCCGGTGTCGGGAGCTCGGGGTCCGCATCGAGCTCGGCCGGCGGGCCGTACGCGTCGACTTTGCCAAGGCAACAGTGGTGCTGGCGGCCAGCGGCCACATGCCTCAGAAGGGAGGGAGGGAGTCGGATGAGGTAATGGCAGCAGAAGTGGGGGCGGAAAGAGAATCCCTGCGGCATGGGGACGTCGTCATCTGCGCCGAGGGCCTCTGGAGCTCCACGCGCGCCCAGTTCCTCGGCGCCGCAAGCCCCAACCCTTCACCCACAGGCGACATTGCCTACCGCATCTGCCTGCATACCAAGGACCTGCGCGGACCCCACCGTGACGAGATTGCCGCCTTTGCGCGCTCCGAGGCCGTCAATTTTGGATCGGGCCCGGCGGCCACGCCGTCTCCTACGCCGTGCGCGGCGGCGAGGCCCTACACGTCGGCCTCCTCATGCCCGACGACGACGACGACGACTCGTTCCCGCCCGGCACCATCCGCGCCGACGCCGACCCTGCCGAAATGCGCGCCCAATTTGCCGCCTGGGACCCCTTCCTCGCCCGCATCCTCTCTGAGGTGGACAGCGTCCAGCGCTGGCGCCTCCTGTGGCTCGAGGCCCCCGCGGACTGGACCTCGCCTGACGGCCGCTTCTTCATGCTCGGCGACGCCTGCCACCCTATGCTCCCGTACCTCGCCCAGGGCGCCAACTCCGCCCTTGAGGACGGCGCCGTCCTCGGCCACCTCCTCGGTAAGATTCGCAATCCCGACGCCGGCAGCTACGCCTCCTGTCAACGCCTCCCTGCCGTGGCCGCCATGTACCAGGCCCTCCGCTCCGGAAGAGGTGCCGAGATCCAGCGCGAGGCGTTTGCTCAGCGCCATGACTTCCACCTGCCCGATGGCGAGCGCCAGGCCGCGAGGGACGAAATATTTCGCACGGCCGCGAGGGGTGACTGGGAGCCCGGAACGGATGACGCGTTCCCCTCGCGGTGGACTTGTCCGCGGGTCCAAAAGTTCCTGTACGGGTACGATGCCTACGCCGAGGCCGAGGCGCTCTACCAGAAGAATCCGTTTTGAAGGGGGGCTGCCCAGCATGGGAGACAATGCGGTCTACAAAAGTGCTAGGGTGCAAAAAGACAGCCAGACAGCCACTGGTATATATAAAAAGAAGTAGTTTTTTTCTTTTTTAAAAATAGTTTTTTTAAATTGTGTAGGGTATCACTTTAGATTATCGGATACAGGCCCGCGAGGCGTATGTCTTCTCCAGTCCTAACCTTCCCATTTCCATTCCCCTGTGACCTCATCCTACACCCCCAAAGCTATCCATACTTTGGCGTCTAGCTCCCCCCTTCCTCTCCCCCAAAAGACGTATAAAGAAAAATAATGTTGAGGAAAAGGAAGAAAGGAAGAGGAAAGAAGGCGGAACGCCTATGGAAGCCTTCCGGGGGCTGTCTAGAGATAAAGAATAAAGAAAAAAAAAAGACCCTCCTACTTGTACAAGATATCCTCGCCACGTATCGGGGGTTTCCCAAAAGAAAGTCCCATTCCTCTATTGGAGGGCGTGCGTGTTCGTTCTACTCCCGGCCGTATCCGTAATATAGGATTTTGTTTTGTGTATCAAACCATTCGCCGTAAACTCCGGGTTGTTGCAAAGGGAAAAAAGTTGTGTCAGCCTCTAACGACTGCAAGGCATCTCTCCAAAAGGAAAGAGACGGAAAAATATATATATAAAAAGAAACATAGAGCGGCATTCCAAGATGAAGAGAGTGCGGAAAGGGTATCCGGCGCCGTGGAAAAGGGGCCCCATCACCGTTACCGGTTATTGGTGCTATGGCCAAGAGGGCCGTGTTGACTCGCTGGGTTCATGCCGATGATGTCAACCGATGACAGGCTCGTGGAGGCGGCGTCGTTGGAATAGGGCGTCGCGGAGCCTCTACTTGAATCACCTCGCCTCCACTGGGTCCGCTCACCCTCAATGACGTACGTTTCGCTAGGAGCAAAGCTTGCGCGTGCATCTTCCCCAGTCGTGACCGCGAGGCCAGGGGCGTTGATGGGATCTGCCTGGCCAAAACGGTCGGCACGGCTGTGTGAAGAAGGGTAGTGGCGGCCTTGGCTAGGCCGAGAGCCAAAGTCGCCATTGACAGACTGGACAGGGTCCATTTCCACGTGATCGAAATGCTTCCCGCCAACCTGGGACTCGAAGTCATCGAGGGGACGTGCCGAGAGCGGTTGGAGATACCGGACTGCATGTTAGTGCTCTTGCCGGAACGTGTGGTTTCGAAGCCCTTGAGGCGCATGACGCGGAGGAGAGGGCGAATGGTTGCTAAGCTAGCGGCAACAATGGCAACACCGGGCTCGATGAGAGTCCAGACCATGGCATCCGTGCCAGCAACTACGGCAAGAAACTATGGTGTTAGAGCAAGGGAAAAAAATAGTGTGGTTCATGGGCCAATCTCGGGGCCAAGGGAGGTAGGTAAGAAAGCGCCACATACATAGGATATCAGCCGTGTCAGTAAGATCGGCCAAGAACTTGAGGCGAATGAGGGTAGCAACGCTCGCACTACAAGAGAAGAAACGCGGATACTGTTAGCAAAAGGACCTCCCCAGACGGGGTTGGGTGTTCAACCGAGGCATGCGACATGCTAGGGAAGGGTGGAGAGAGGAACAAGACTCTACTTACAAGATACCAAGTCCAAGAATCACGATGACGGTGATCTTCGTTTGCTTCGTCATGTCCACATTCCATAGCATGGGAATCGGGAGCAGAGCCTGTGAAAACAACGCCATGCTCTGGTTAGCTTTTCATGGTCACCAACTCGTCTCTTCGCATCCGTCGCGCGAGTACCAGGTCGCAGGTAAAACACGGGCGGATGGAGAGAAAGGAGAGAGGAAAAAGAAAAAAAAAAACAAGGCGAGTGAGTATTCCTTGGATGTCACTCACATAAAGCCAATCGGTCAGGATGGTCATGACGCTAATGGCGTAGGCGGCCGAGACAATCTGGTCCGCAGTAACGCACTTGCTGTTGGGAATGGTGTAGTCCCACTGAGCGGCGACGGGGTTGCACTGGAAGATGTCCCAAAAGAATATGACCGTGCTCCAAATGGTAACAACGAACAAGCTGCCCCAGAGGATGTACTTGTAAACCTTCTGGACAGCGAGGCGCAGGAGGAAGATGCCGATACTGAGCTTGATAAACATCATGTCGAGGACATAGGTAGCTGTCGCTAGGGCTTGCCACTATACGCCGGAAAGACACGGGGTGTTAGTCAACTTTTGGCCTTGCTGCATACCTGCATACCTCTTCAACAAGCGTTGCCCGAGGCTGTCGTGTCGCGGTTTGCGGTTTGCGCCATCTCAGGATGGGGACCAGAGGTATGCAAAGGGAAAGCGGCCACCACGTACCTTGAGAGCTTCGATTTCGGCCTCTTGCGGAAGGGCGGTGTTATGGCGGCCCATGCCATCCCTTACACCAAGCAAGATGAAGGAGCATGATAGGATAAAGACTATCTACAACGCGTAGTCTCAATTAGCCGTCTAGTCCCCGGGGGATGAAGTGCGCAAGACGGAGGAAACCTTCGTCGAGCATGGTGAAGAAGAGGGATACCTGAGCAAAAACCATGAACCAGTCATCCATCTGGAAGCTGTTCGTCATGAATACGCGGACGTAGATTCGCAATAGTACCGATATGAGCGTGAGCCCAAGAAACGCAGAGGCGGTGGCGACGAGAGAGTCGCCGTTATATTCATTGATGTAGGCCATGTTAGACGTGATTGCAGTGGCCTGGGAGATTCGTTTTAGTGTCTGGAGAGGGCTGTCGTCGTCCGCGCGCCCAAGGATGCAGAAGCTTTTTATCGAGTGAAGGAAGGGCGGCCCTGCCGGAGAAGGATGGCGATCTGTTGGATAGGGTTGTAAAAGGCCGGTTCTTTTCTTTCTCCTTCGTCCTTCTCGTTACCGAGACCACATCGTCGATAGAAGGGCCTTCTTTATAACTGGTCAGCTCCGGCTGAGTTAGGGTCGCTGATGTCCTTTTTCGCTTTCTAATCTTCCCTATGCCGTCCACAGTGAACCAAGTCCCTGCTCAAAACGGGAGGAGCTGCGAAGGCTTTCAAGATCCGAAGGGGTATTATGTATATTAGAGGCGAGAAGTGAGAAGAGAGTGTCGGAAGGATCCAACTTGCACCAGGTGTGTGGGGAGGGTGGGCTTGATAAAAGGAAGGAGAAACGAGCAGCTGGGAGACACAGGATGTAAGAGGGGGTGGGCGAGGGTGTGAACGAGGGTGTGGTTTGTGGTAGAAGGAAAGGGTGACAGGACAGGGCGGGATATCAACGTCTCATCTCGTTAGTGAGTGCCCCTCATGCAAAACTAGTGGAAGGAGGGAAGGGAAGTAGGGAAGCAAAGAAAGAAGAAAAAACCGAAGAAGAGAAAAAGATATGTGGATAAAGATAGCTACACCATACCAACGGATGTGTATGTGTGTGGGTGTGTGGGTCCCAGGGGTTTCTAGAGGCAGAGGCCAGGAGAAAACGCGAGATTATCGACCTCTTCGTCTTCTTCCCGGTGCCGAGCCAAAGGGCCGTGTTGGTGGTGACGGGAGGGAGGGTTGATCTAGACGAGGGTTCCGTGGATCTCCTCGAGGACAATAAGCGGCTACTGTTATTTGAGTGATGACTTGTACTGGTCCGCCGCTTGATAATACTTCGCACATACGAAGTACATCCATGTAATAGACTCAAGAGGGATCATTCAAGTGAAGGGGAGCACAGGGACGGGGAACCTTGAGGGGGTTCTGGTCCACCCACTTGGCGGGCTCTCAAACCCTGGTTGTCCCCAGCTTCAAGAGGAGAGGCCCCGGCCAGCCCTGTGGTATGGTGGAGCACGCAGATAAATCTATCGCTTCATCCATACATGGATGGATCGATCCATCGAATTATCGAGTCTCCGCCCCCCAACCACGCTAGTGTTGTGTAGCGGAGGTACAAGCCGTGGCGTCCTCCATCGGGTGGATGCTGATGGCGAAGAGAATGGATCGAGGAGGCGGGATCCAGGATCATGTAAACTTCTTCGTCCTTCTTCTCACGCCCGCCTTTTTCCATGCTGTTGTAGTTGTGCGCGTTTTCATCATCACGAAAGAGGTGTCAAACTACTTCGTAAGATGAGGACGATGATACAAGCACCAACGAGCATTTATGCAGCGGAAGGAAATGGGACATCACATCACCCTCTCTTGCGCGTGGATTGATGGGCTGGTCCAGGTAGGATTCGACCTGTGTGTGCCCTGCCCCGGAATGGACTCTCGTTCCAGAAATCTCACCTCGACTTGAGGGAAAGGGGTGTGCGTGCGCGCGCGTGGTGGATCGGTGGTGCTCGGGGTTGGTGTGTCTGGTACCTTGCTTCAAGAGCTATTGATCCATGTCGGTTGGGAATAGAAAGTCATGGCCCGATGGTCTCCAAGCAATGAGCAGCTATCCCAGCGGTTCGTTTTGCAACGCGTGGGTGGCCGTACCCCTGCAAGACGCGACAGGGGATTGCAGCATGGTTCGGATGCCCTCCGCCGTTCTTCCAGACGCATTGTGACAGGGTACCGTGGCCAAGCTCTGAAGGGGATAAATACTTTCAAGCATTAATACTAACTGTATGAATATTATTACTCAGAAACGCAATGAATGCGCCGCGAGAGCAAAGTCCCTCATTGCTGCTCTTGGTTCTTTTTCTTATCCCTCTTACCGCAGGTCAGGCAAACTTTGGTCTCTTCTTATCTTGATCCCTCGAGATGCACACCCATAATAACCGATAGTTTGAAATGGTTGAACTTCCTTCTCATGGCGGCGTTTTGCCTGTCCACCAAGCGCCCCTTGGCTTGCACCGTTTTGGTGGTGGCGTCGGCTTGTCGACAGATGCATCCTAGTACCAAAGCGTGGAGAACAAGAGAATCTCGAAAGAACCTCGAACGGGTTTCTGTCACCCCGTTGCCCAGACCTTTTCACTGATCCGGCCCATTGTCCCCGTCCCCAGTTTCCACCTGTTAAGAAAGCCCCTCATACCCTAACTAGAGGCCATAGGTCTCTCTTTTTTTTTTTTTTTTTTTTTTGGGCAACATGAAGTCCACACTCGATCAATCCGCCCTCCAGCATAATACGTGTAGTCAGTATTGGCGGTTTTGCCTTCCTTTTCCTCTTCCTTTTTTTTTTTCCTTTTTTTCCTTTTTTTCTTTTTCTTCTCCCTTCTTTTTCCAAACCCCTTCTCTTTCCTTCCACGTCTCCCCTTTAGCTCGAGTGGCTCGCTCGTGCGTCTGCTCACATCCTATTGATTGATGTGCGGCCCTCCCCTCTCCCTCTCGGCATGCGCAGATTCGGGGGATCCATCATTGTAGACCTAAGGTTCAATGCATTGGGAGCATTTAAGTTGTGCGAGGCGGCAAGCTCGACCGTGGACTGCAGGGCCCGGTGCTGTACAACAAGATGAACTGACAGAAGAAGACGAGCAAAGGCAAAATTAGCTCCTTGCACATTGATGTATCCTAAGGAAATATCGCATAGGGCGTGCCTGCAAAGCGTGGCGTTGTGGATCAAGTCAAGCGATCCATTTGCGTCGTCCCACGATGCGCCTGCATGAGAAAAGGTACCTTGCAATATTATCATTTTACAGATATCGGTGCCATCCTTATTCCTTGTACCACCCCGCCGTTGGTGATGGTTCACGTCATTCCAATTGAAGGGAGCGAAAGCGGGCCAACGTGCTTTTTCTTAATTCCCTTCTTCTCTCTCCCGTTTCTCGCTGCACTTGACGCACAAAACACTCGCAGACGGCAGTTGGCCGAAGAAGGAGAGGCCGAGATGCAAGCCCATCGGCAAATTTCACCCCAAACGCGCGAAAACCAAAAGTAAAATAGAAAAGGCATGGCAACGGCTGGCAATTGTAGCATACCGAGTGTATTAGCCTACATGTAGCCAACGGGTGACACCACGATTCGAAAGCTTTCGGACCACGTTGGGGGCCATCTCTGCCGCCTTTCGGTGCTTTCTTTCTTTTTTTTTCTTTATCCCAACAATCCAACGTCCTTTTTCTGGTTGCGCGGCACACGCGCACGTTTCGTCACTGCTCTGACTTATGCAAGCGATGGGAGGAGAAACGGGACAGAAAAGAACAACTGGCGAAAAGGAAACAGGGGTCAGCCTGAGATCTGGGAAGCCAAAGTCCCGAGATGGCATGGCAAGAACGCCAACATCTTTCACTGTCGAGTCCCTCACAGCCTCTTGCTCATAGAAAAAGGGAGTTTCCCCGCTTTTGGAATGCCCTCGCCCGAGACTAGATGACTAGCTTCTTGCCTTTGCCGTCTTCTTTATCTTCTTTATCGAAGCATCGCTCCATATTCAGTAGTGTCGTCCATACAAGTAAGCTTTCAAATGCCTCCCGGAGAGCTCATTCCCAAGCCACCGCCCGGATGATCGCCCGAAGGAGGGTAGAAGGGACGTGCAATCGGAAGTAGATCCTGAGGCTGCACCGCCGGCCCCCGTGTGCGCGCTAGCTCTTGAGGGCAGGGCAGGCAGAGAGAACAGCGCATTGATGTTCTCATCCTCGACTTTTTCTACCCTTCTTCTCTTCTCCTTCTTTCCCTGAACCAAGCCTTTGTCAGACCTCAAGACCCAGGCGCAAGCTCTCCGCTGGCCCACTCCGTTCCGCACTAGTCCCAGAAACCCTCGTTCCCCGAAGAAGAACCCCCAAACGTATTGGATAGCGTTTGGCGCTATTTTGGCCTCGTCTGTGTGTGTCTGTAGTGTATTACGAGGTGGATGGTTTGATGAAGTCCGTTCCAATCTGGTCCCAGCTGCAGCAGCGCCAGCGTAGCGTGGCGATAGTTGACACACGCCCCTTGATGCCTCCTCCACCGCGCCGCGCCGGCCTTGTCTCCCCGGAATGAGGGGCAGAAACCGCCGTACTGCATACATGTCGAAAGATGACGTGCCGCTACAATAACGCGGAGATCGAATGAACTAATGGTTGTTTGACCCGAAGCAAAATGGAGGGCCTCCAGTCCCGAAAAGCACCGAGGGAGGCGGACAAGGGCGGGCATAGGAATCATTCACTCGTCCAATCTTGGTCTATGCCGTAGGCATGGAGGCGGTAGGCAATTCGGCATGTTGGCAAAAGGCGACATGTGAAAACACCCTTCAACGAGGTGAAAACGACCCGAAGCATACCCATCCACTCCATTGTATCCATTATTGATCTATAGAGAAAAATCCAATTGTCCACTTGCGGGCACCCCATGTTTGAGTTATCGTCCTGCAGGCGAGGCGGACAAAGTTGTATTGATGGATCCATAGATGTCTTCAGAGAGTCGGCCAGACGAATCGCTTCCGGAAACAGATCAGTTGGAGCCCTCTATGTTAGGTATAATAGCACGCAACCATTCAGGCAGCGCGCGTCTACAGAGTAACACCGTGCCACTCGCACCCGCATTGGATGGTAAAATGATCCATTATTCCACTGTTGATCGGGACTCGGCTTTTTCTACAAGTACGTATATATGTTTGTATGTATGGATCTGGAGGCGGATGCAACACCCACATGTATGGGGTGTAAGCGAGATCGTCAGTTGCTGTCAGGGCTCTTGGCCTCACACAACAGATAATCTCTATAATATGTGCTGCCTTCCCGGGCAACAAAAAAAGTACAAAAAAGAAAAAAGAAAAAAGACGGGGATTGTCTCTTGCCGTAATTACGCGGGCCGCGCCCATTTCCTCCAAGGAGGGCCGAAAGGGGGGGGGGCTGTCACTTTTTTTTTTTTCCTTCCGGTTTGCCCTCCCTTTTATCCCATTAAAAGATCGCCAGGGACCGTTGGGAGGGGGGAAGGACCGCAGGGACACGCGAAGGGAAGATGCTGCCGAGAAGGAGAAGCGGGTTTAGTTTCCGTGTTGTGCGGAAATTACGCTTGAATGCAACCTCGAAGAAAGCGCAAATCACCCATCTTGCCGATTTCCGTTGATCCCTTTTGCGGCCCTCTTCCCTTCGCGTTTGAAAAGACGAGATCGACCCGGATGCAACTCGAATCTAAAATTCCAAGGTAGGCATTGGGCTGGGAAAGAATGAATGGACGAATGGGAGAGAAAAAGGGAACATTGAAGAATTGAAATGCGTGAAAGCCCAAGTTTTGCTTCTTGCCTTGCCCTCCATTCCCCTGCTGGTTTCGTTGGTCTGTCTCTATCAAGTTTTGTCAACCCTTCCCCGACGTCGGCGAACCTATTCCCTTCCAACTTCGGCTTCCTTGGTCTCCGCGCGTAAAGGACACAAGTTGGACCTGGCGCTGGTAACCATTTTTCTTGGGCATGTTCTGAACCGAGAAGCAACGGCAGGGGTAGAACCGACAACGCGTGAGAGGCAGGGATGAAGGAACAAAGAAAGAACACTTTGAAGGACAAGAAAAGCAAGTTGCTGCACCGTGCCATCCCCCCATCCCCCTACCCCCTTCGCCTTCTCTTGCTGGCCCTGCCCGAGTTTGCAAGGCCTATCTCATTAGGGGACAAGGCGGTTAACCATGGTAACCTCTATCCTTTCATCCCGCTGGTACAAAGGCAGCCGAAGAGTTTGGTGTGACCCAAGACCCCAAGACCCCAAGACCCCAACAACACGAATTGATCAATAATAGGCCGATAACACTGAGCACCAGGAGAGAAGTGCTTTTGGCCACCCTTTGCCCTGTGAAGCTTTGCCAGATTCTCCTCTCTCCTTCCTTTCTATTGTCGCTCGCTGCCTCATCATGCCTCCTCTCTTCACATGCCTCACTTGCGGTTGGCGGGATACAGTCGCTTGCAGGTTTGCAAAAAGAGGCTTAGGCGTTACAGTCCATTGGCTCGGCGCAACGCTGGCGAGGTAGCCGGCCCGGTCTCTTCCGTCGAGGTGGTTCTCCGGATGCTAGCTGCTTGCATACAAGCTGGATGAGACAGATTATCTGGTAACCAGATGCCTGCCTTTCGCCAGGCAAAAGAAGTCGAAACGAAACCGTGACCCCTGAAGGGTGACGAATTCGCAAGGGAAGGCATATCCTCGTCGATATCATATTGTAGTTATGTATAATGCGAGACTAGCCTCAGCCCTCTTCCATGATGCAACTTGTATGCTGTACTGCATAGTGTACACTCCAGTAACCCTGCAATATCCATACCCTGTCAGCCTGTTCCCATGGCCCTCAGGAGGGATGCTTGAACGAGCCACAGTCAAAGGTGGTTTCCGGAATGGGAAAGGGGAACGGGTGTACCGGTCGCTTTCTCTCTTTCTTTCTTTCTTTTATTTATTATTTCTTTCTTTTTCCGTCTCGTTCGGCCCTACAACTCTTCCCCGCGATCTTGGTGCCTCCCCTATCCATGCCCATGTTCATGGCGAGACTCTTCAGCCCGGAACAAGAAGCAGCCGTGCCTCCCACTAGAGCTGCTATTGCGTTGACAAGGGAGCGATGCGACGCAGACAACCAAAACTGCGCGGGACAATGGCTGGCTCCTCTCACTTGACGTTTTCGATCAAGGGTGTCAAGTACTTCATAGCACGCACGGTCGGCGAGCTAGTTGGTGTGCCAAGTTGAAGGGGCTGCGAGGTCCAGTTAGCCCTAACTTGGCTTCGGTGTGCGAGCCGCCATTTGCTTTGAAGTAATAGTAGAGGGTGAGTGGCCCTGGATGGACGCCTAGCTTGAATCCAAGGATGGGGAGGAAGGGCGCCGGTGAGATCTAGTGTATGTGTTGTTCTCAAATCTTTGTCAATGATTCAAATGACGCTAGCGGAATATTTTCTCCTCTGTTTCCTCCTCTCCCGTCGCCAGGTCCGCTCTTCTTGACATCATGTCCTCTTGCTTGATAGTTTTCCTTACACCCTGCCGGGGAGTTCAGATTATTGACAATAAAGCCTTTCCTCGTAAGCTCGAGGTCAGCGAATCGGCTTCTTTCAATTGGAGAAAACCGGGCCTCCAAGGTCCATCTCGTGGAATCAGATCGCGATGGGACCAGCGGATGACTGTTCAGAGTCTAGGGACGAAGAGGGGGAAGCGTAGGTCAGGATCAGGATCGTACAAGTACACTAGGTAATGGTCCACTCGACAGCTAATACTTGTACATCAAAGAGGCGGCCTTATCTTTTGGGCCTTTTCCACTTCCCTGCTCAGGGTTGTGCCGAAATCCGTGGATGGATATCTTTCGTACAAGTATGTAATCGGGCAACGGCAGCAAATTGGCAAGGGGGCCCTAACATGGGGCTGCTTTTGGTTTAGTTGGTTATCAAAAGCGAGTGTGGCTTGCGAAGTTGTCTCATCCACTGATGCTGGTTCTTCAATCGCTTCTTCAATGCCCACCAGCTCGCTCCAGTACCGAACTTGATTGCTTGAGCTGCCGAGTGAGAAGCTCCCAAGTAGTTTCTCCATTGAGCTATTATTTCCTCGACTTCCCTCACCCGTGCTCTGTCCCGATTTAGCTCACGCCAAGAAATCGCTGGAGGAACCCTACGATCTGGGGAGTTAGTCTCCTCCCTTCCGTGTGTGTACAAATATGGATCCATCCATGGATGTGTTCGTCTGTGCGAGTGGGAGAGAAAGGGAGAGACTTTTAAGAGATTAAAAAAGAGAACAGCAGCCGTCATTTCTTGCATTAGTGTGGTTCCTGGTGTATTATTTGTACCAAAGCATGAACGTTCACAACTCTCGGAACATGGCGGAGGTCGCACACCGGGCTCCGCTCGCCGCCGAGAGACCCAACGCTGCAGATGAGTGTGCAGGTGTGCAGGTGTGTGCCAGCGTCGGCAGGCTACGATGCACTGTAACCTCAACCATCGATATTTCCAACACACGGTGAGCGAGTCTGTGGGCTCAGTGTTTCCCACTTGTTTCCGCGAATATTATTTCCCTTTTGCCCACGCGCCGATGCAGGAAGAGTGGACGGTACGGTTGCACGCCGGCTCACCTCACAGTCGTATTCCAAGCTCGCGACGCATCAATACTGTCTAGGGTAGTTCGTATCATGAACGTGAGCCTGACTCAGCACTAATGAGAATCTTTCACGGATGAAATTTAGATTCAAGAATGGGTGCATGGATGGAAGAGATGGGGCCCCTCACAGGTCATTGACGAGAAATGTGGTCATGGTATCAAGGCCCTGATCTCGGAGTGATGTGATGCGCCTCTCCTCTCAATGGCAGAGTTGAACGGAGTCTTTCGGTCCTTAGCGCTTCTTGCTTGAAACCCCACGTACGAAGTATGACAAGTGGTGGAATACAAGAAGGCTATCAACAAACACCCTGTCTCTCCCCGCAAAAAAAAAAAAAAAAAAAAAGGAAGGAAAAAAAGGCGTCAAGGCAAAGAATCACACGAGTTCGGGGGTTCATCAGTTGATGCTTGATCCTGGGCATGGCCCTGTCTGTGTCAACCATCATTTGGCTGGCCATCACAAGGAAGAATCAGCCAGCGTACTCCTTCTTCCAGGGGCTCTGGCTTGCAGTTGCTGTCTGCCAACCGCCAGGGTGCCCCGGCTCCTTGACCCTTGACAGGCGCCATCTGTCGCCAAACGCGTTTGACAAGTTCCCCTCGGGCCTTCGTGGGATTCTGGGTGGAGAAGTGAAGGATCAACCATCGATCTCACGCATCATAGGTAGCTTCTTAACAGATTCACATACAAGCTCTAGCTTTACTTAGTTAGTAGCGAACGTTTGTATCAACCCTCCAAGCCATCCATGCAGATGGATCTAGAGAGCCCACCTTCTATCTCAGGGCTAGACCCCGCCATTGAACCGACTCAAAGGATCAGGATCAGTCAACCAAGTGTGAGAGCGCGTGCGGGACAAAATCGCAAGGCTAGACATCCCACCCCAACGCCCAATCGTGCCTCATCAAATTGCCCCTCACGCACTTGTCATAGCCAAGGAGCGTAATAATCACTTGGAAAGGCTACAAGTATTAACTCTCTTTCTTGCTCCCCTCAGAAACGGCCGTCGGTTTCAGGCAACCCACTTGACCTGGTTCAGCTTCATGCTAACTCTACCTGGGTACGGTACAGAAAATTTAATTCCATCGCCTCCCTAGGCTGGGTCGGCCTTTGAAGCCATCACCCCCAACCTTGTGCGAATTCCGGCACATCGAACCAACCACTTTTCTCTCAGTCAATATTCTTGTATCCAAAACCATGGCCGACGGGCTTGTCTTCACTCTTCACAACTACTCCCACGAGCACGAGCTCCAAAGATTGGCAACTTGGGAGTTTCCGAGCTCGGTGGTGCTAGGCCCTGCAGCTCGCTGGATCGTGTAAGTGTGGGATCAATTAATCTAACCCCCATCTTCCCATACCCGGGCTGAAACTCCCATCCCCCACCCTTCATGAGCGTGGGACAATTGGAGCTACCGGGGTTGGTTCAGGAGCCCGGGTTCGGCTGGGTGCGATGCCGGGCAAAGGAGTTTTTTCTTGTGTTAGGTGGAGGCGAACATGCATTTCCTTTTGCTCGTGATGAGCCGATAGTCATGCTCATATGTTCATTACTAGCTTCATCCATGGTGGTGCATGGAGGGACCCCTCCAACACGTACCAAGATTTCCTCCCGACGATTGAGGCCTTGCTTTCGTCCCACCCCATGCTGCGGCCAGCCATTCGAGGGTTTGCCAGCCTCGACTACCGCCTCTCCAGCCATCCTAACCATGCTCAGGACCCCTCCTCTACCCCCGCGGACAGGCTCCGGTGCGCGAAGCATCCGGATCACATCCGAGACATCTGCCTCGCTCTCCGCTACCTTGATGCCAAGTTCAACATGCGAGATAGGTATATCCTTGTGGGCCATTCAGTCGGTGCCACCTTGGCTTTCCAGCTCCTAATGGGAGACCAAGCGACGAAGGGATTTACCTCCCCAGCAGCCCAGCCTACCGAAGCCGGCGCACTCCCGCTCCCTGCTTCCATCTTAGGTATCGCAGGTATCTACGAGTTTTATGATTTTGCCTATCGCCATGGTGGCCCATACATCCCCATGGTGGAGGGCGCTCTTGGCCCCGATCACTCCAAGTGGAATGATGCCGCGCCCCTCAAAGCGAGCCTTGCCGGTCGATGGACGGGGAACGACTGGCACTTCTATCATACTCGACCGATGATACCTTGGTTGATGGCGACCGCGAAACCACCGCCATGGTAGACCACCTAGTAGCAGAGGGTTTTAAGACCGATCTCACCCTTATTCGAGGAGAACATGACTTTGCCTGGCAAGATGGGCACCAGATTGCAGACCTGGTTGCCCAGATACTCCCGAAACCTCACACCGCAGAATGAAAACCCTTCATTCAAGCCATGATGTCCTATTCGCCTTGCTGGTATCAATAACCTCACCCTTTCACTCTCCCCTCCCAATCGCTAGGAAGTTACGATCTCCAATGTCCCAAACACCAGGCTGGAGACCCGGACGGAAGCCTCAGTCCCTGCCACTCTTACCTCGTTTCCAGACTCCTTTTTCTTTCCTTTTCCCCTGTGTGTAGTAGTTTTTTAACATACGGCGTAGCGTGTGCTTCTAGCTTTCAACTCCTCTCAATCCACCCTAGACTTTTGCCTTGAGCCTCCATCCTGTAATGGAAACACGGGACGCCCCAATCGTAGCCGCCCCGGCAAGTATGACGATGGCGCCCCAGAGTTGGGCGCCGAGATACTCTCCGCCTGATCTATCAATGATAGCGCCGGCGGTCGGTGGCCCCGCCAACGCAGCGAGCCCGAGGAGGGTGGCGACCATACCAAATCTTGTGCCCATCTTGCGGGGATCCGAGGTCAAGCTTGTCAGCGCGCCTCCGAACACGCCCTGAGCAGCCCCATTGGAGAGGCCGAAGAAGACGCAGAAGACGTAGATGCCCGTTTTGGTGGTAACTCCTATCCACGCGAAGAACATGCAGCCTAGTATCGCGGTGGCACATATCACGGTGTTCAGCGGACCCAGGACATTATCGGCCAAGTATCCAACCACAGGTCGGGCCGGAATGCTCATGGCATTAGTGATGAGCAGAAGTTCCACCGACTTAGTTGATGTGAAACCAATCTCTTCGCGGGCATACGTATTGATCTGATCCCTAGTTAATATCGAGTCCTTTCAAAGGACGACAACGTATATGTTGAGAAAGACGAAGGGAAAAAACGGCTACGAAGCTGCGCTAGCCCACGCGCACCGGCAAATGACGAGAGAAAGATCAAGTTTACTTACATAAAAGAACCCAAAATAGAGAGCCCAAAACAAGAAAAAGGTCCCCAGGGTAAACAGGACATAAGCCGGCTCTTTGAAGGCCTCCCACTCCACTAAAGGGCCAGACCTTCGCGGCTTGAGCCTCGGCCTAAGAAGAGCGAGAGAGAGGGCGCAGATAACTAGCGCGACCAGTGCGGCGCATCTCACTGCCCAGGGAAAGCCGATCCGGGGTATCAAGTATTGGACAGTGGCGGGGAAGATGACGCTTCCAGATCCGGTGCCCGTCGCTGCCATGGCGAGGGCAAAAGATCGCCTCTTATAAAAGTAGGAGCTGACAACAGCTACGCCTGGCATAAAGAGCAAACCTAAACCTATTCCTGTGCAAATGCCTTGGGCAAGGAGGATTTGCCAATACTCCGTGGCCAGGCTTGTCATGGCCGTTCCAAACACGGCGAGAGTGGAGCCTCCAATCACAGTGGCCCTGTTGTAGCCAGCGTCCGAGAGACGGCCAGACACAGTACATGTGGCGAAAGTGATTGCGATCTGGATGGAGCCGATCCAAGAAATTTGAGACCGAGGTAACTTCATGGTTTCGGTGTAGTATAGCTGGTAGACACCGAAGGCAGAGGCATACCCCCATGCAAGACAGTTCATAAGATGACTGGAAAGCACCTGCATCCAGGCCACAAGCCCTCCGTCCGGATAGTTGGTGTCATCGTCAGTCGCCGGAGACGCTGGCGTAGACTCGTCGCCTACATCTGAGGTGCGCTCATCTATCCCGTCGCGGCTGGCGATCTTCTCCGTACACGGGCTCGGGGCCTCAGTAGGTTTCCTACCATGGTGGTTTTTTAAGGTTTTGGTTTCGGTTGAGGGAGAGAGGGTGGGTAGAGGCGGTGCGCAGCGAAACACTTAACCAAGTCATTGAGAGGTGAGGGTCTTGGCGGCCAGAGTAACCCGCGGGGCGTGGGACGGGGAAATGTAAAGTTGAAAGCCCTGGACAGACGCACGCATTATGAACTCCTTTGCTTGTGTATCGAGCGTGTCACTAGCTATGGGCCTCAGTTCAGAGTTGCGATCCCCTCTCTCCTTTGTGTATTACTAATTGCCAAACTCTCGACGATTTTTCAGTTCTCAAGGTAGCTCTAGCCGGCAATCCGAAGGAGGAATCGCTCGAGAAGATCCGGCCGAGGGAGGCGAGGAGGAATAAACTAGAGAGGCGGCATAAGCTCGCGTGCAAACGAAAGGGCGTGCAGTGGAAAGGCGGGCACGACTTGCCCCAAGCAGGGCGCGCATGGACAGTGGTACAGATCCCCGGTCCCGGGGAAGAAGCTAGCCTAGTCTGGGCATCGAAATGTGAGTGGACTTGTCAATGACTAGGTCTGTGGGCCTGGGGATTGGTCAATGGGCGGCTCCTCCAGACGGAACGATTTGTCAAAAGTGCAGAATGTCCCATCCATCGCGTTGAGTGATGCGAGAGACCTAGGAGTAAAGGAAGCTTTCCCTTGCTTTGTGATACTGGACATCAAAGACGGTGCGGGGAAGGACGCCGAACCGCCATTGCGGTATATGTATTTTTGAAGGGGAGGAACGGCGCCCACCTCCGCATTTCCTTCCGAAACCGCGGCCCGAGCCATTAAGGATGCAAGAATGATTGCCGACACCCTCGGAAACTCGTGGGCGAATGATCTCTGGGTTTACCTCCCCGACGGGCTCTAGGCATCAAGGGAAGGGCGTCGCCGAGTTCTACGCCCAAGGGGTCCGTTGAATGGCACGACCAAGACCCTTTGATGAAGGTCGGCTAGTCGACTCTCATTCACTGCACTAGTACCCTGACTTTGTACGAGCGGGCCGCAACCGGATGCGCCATCACTCGTCTTGCGAAAAGTGGAATGCAATGCTGTGTGGCCTCGCAGCAAACAGAGAGAAGGGCTGCGTCGGAAACAAGAAATTCGACAAAATTTTATTGATGTCCGGATGACGACGAAATGGTTTAGAGTGTAATAACCCTTTTGGATGGCCCAGCAGCCGGGGGTCAAAGCCATGGTGTGACAAAGGCGAGAAGGGAATGCTCAAGCCGAATGACGGAAGAAAAGTAATGGCGGAGCGCCACCCGGCCTTCGAGGGAGTAGCCTCGATCCATTGTCTCCGCTCTCCGTAGCCTGTCCGGTTGGAGTCGGCCACACTTCCCCGAGTCCCACAAGTCCAAACCCCCTATCCCTCACCCCTTCTTCAGGAATAAGCCCTGGAAATACACTTACGGCTTTCCTCCGAACCCCTTTCACCCTTTCGGTAATGGATACCGCCTTGAATTACCATGCGAGGTATGCCAGATCATCAACAGTCCGTTGAGGGTATCTCACTCCTTGCATGAGCACTTCTTTTGCCCCAGTGCCTGCCTCACCCTCGTATCCAGGAAGAAATATACGAGAATGGCCATTTTATTCCTCTCTCTTTTTATTTCTGAATAGAAGGAAAAGACGATTCCCCTCTTTATGAATGAACATCGAAATATCGCGAATCACTGGTTACTGTATTCCATCATGACTCGACTCATTCCACAATATGCACGTGACATACATGCCCCACTTCCTACGCGGGGTGCAAGGCAGGCAGGGAAAGAGAAATGCATTCTTTGTTTAATATTTCCCAATTTGGACATAGTGTCTAAAAAGCCAAAGGGGGAGTGGGGTCCCACACAGCGGGATTCATCACCCCGACCCCGCTGAAGGAATGTTCCGCACCGCGTCTCGGAAAAACCAATATTCCTTGGGTCAAAGATAACTGCGTCATCAGATCTACCTCAAGGGCCCGGTTTGGTGGGGGTGGGTGGCATTTGGTGGGAGGATGTGCCAATTATTGGTCCGTGTGTTTGTTTTCTTTTCCCAGTCAATTTATGCAAACACTCAAAACAAAATAAAGAAGAAAATAAATAAATAATAGAAAATTGAACACCCTGTTTTTACCTCCACGAAGCCCTCTAAATTGTATATGTCTTCACAGTCACGTAAAAGAACAAAAGTTCCGGATAACAGGCTTTGCGAAAAGGGCGGCGACGTCCTTCATTATCGTCAATCGACTGCTTTTATCCTACTTGTGGATGCGCTGAATGCCTGGTACCTCTCTGGTCCTTGACGCAGAATTCTTGCGAGATGAAAAAAGCGTGTATATGAACCACGCTCTATGTGACAAATTTGCGCGGACTCTCGTCACTCTGCCTCGAAGGCGCATCGACGCCACACAGCGGGACATGTGTGCGCATTTCGGAAGAAACAAACTCGGAAAGAAGCCGGGTTGTTGGAAGACAATATAGATTCCGAGTTTCGTGCACAGGAGAGGGGGCGGGGGAGATGGCGAAGATAAGGCAAAAAACAGCCACCTAGATATTCTTCGGGTCAAAATTGTACTCTAAGATTTGGTTCCTTCATATGTTTCTTCAGACGTCCATCAAGCACGCTCACATAAATCCATTCCAATCTTCTCTTCCCCATGCGGGTCTCCTCTGCGTGCCGGCTGGGTTGCTTCGCTGCCCACTACTATAGTTGTTCTCCCGTCGAGGCTCACAGTCGATCTTCCAAAAGATTAGGGTATCAACGGCGTCGATAACGGTAGAACTAGTGGGAAGGGAGGGTATGGCCAACCCATAACGACCGTAGATAGGTATGGTTGAGCGCGCATCACATACACAGCAACACGAGGATAGAGAAACATAAACCTTTGTGGTTGTTATTTCAAGATTCTGTGAAACAGCGAGGGCAAATAGAACATTAAAATGAAAACCAAAGCTAGAGAGCACTTTCAGGCGCACATACGAAGCAGAAAGACAAGAAAAGGAAAACAGGGAAAGACAACAAAGGAAAAAAACCAGGAAAAAAAGGAAAAGAGAAAAAGAACCAGGACGGGCTGGAGGAGACCTTAGAAAACAAGAAATGGTACCGAAAACCTGAGCTTCTGAGGCTGATACTCAGTTCAATCTTTCGATCCATGATCCTCGTAGGCTCTTATGTCCCCATGCCCCCCTTGCCTGAGCTACTGCACATGGAACCTCTTGCCCTTCCCCCTTGTTTTCCTACGCGCAAGCTTACTTGTAACGCTCTCGCATCAGCCCATCGCAGTGATCGCCCCAAATATTTTTCAGAGTAGAGGGGGGCACAATTCTCCGTGGACACCGCTCTCCAGAATCCCAACGTACGCCACCAAAGATAAGAAAAAGAGAGGGAGGAAATAAAAAGAACAAAAAATCGAACAGCAAGAGGCCGTAGAGTTGAAGCAGGCGAGGTCTAGGACATCGCGATTATACTCCTTCCAGCGTTAGCAGTCGGCCGCATCCGTGGTTGAAGGTTGGTGCCCGATAAAAATGGATAGTGGTGCGAGTTAAAGGGAGCACAAACAATACACAAAACAATGACAACGGAAAAGCCGAACTCCGGGTCGAACCGCACTGGCCAGAACCCCCAAGGTGAACAGAACGTAACATTAATAAGACGAAAACGGAAGGAAGCAGAAAGACGAAAAATTGTTAACAGACCCATACCATCGTGTTTCGCATAGGGAAGGCATCAATAGGCGGGCAAGGCAAGGGGGTGAAAGACAGATTAGGCCAAAGAGACGACGGCGAATCACGGTGCTGGGGCGCCAACACAGGCTGGTTGGCGAGTTGATGATGAGAAAAATCGAAGCTTCAGCCAACGCGCGGACATGAGACGCAGGTGGATGAGGCTCAGGCTACGCCTACCGCTTGCGCTTCTTGGACTTATCTAACATTGAGGCAGTCGAAGTCGTGGCAGCGGGGGCGCGAGGGGCGCAACGACCGCGAGCGGGGCGGTAGTGGGCATGATGGGTGCGGCGGGAGAAGACTCGGCTGCGCTGGAGCAGGCATCTCATCCTTCTTGATGGGCACGCCCATGTGGCGGCCATAGCGGCCCTTGCGACCGTTACCTTCGTCCTCACTGATGCATTGGTCCGCCGAAAGACCGGCATCACGGCACCGGCCACATGGACGTTGGCGATCACAACCCTTCTTGCTCTTGCGACAGCGCTGGCATCTGGGCTTTGTCGACAGATCGGGTTGCTCGTCTTCGATGGAGGGCTGGAGAAGGTTGGAGCCCGTCGAGATGGACGGCTTCCGAGAGGGGAAGCGACGCTGGAGACATGGGAACAGTGGATGGCAGCGCCTTTTGGCTTTGGGGAGCTGGGGGTCGAGCATTACCAGTCTTTGCAACCTTGGGAGCTTTGGGAATCTTCGGCTTGCCAGCAGCACCAAGCGGATTGTTCATCGTCCTTTGAGGAGCAGCCATACTACCCGAAGCGGGGGCGTCTGCATACTGAGCCTCGCTGGCAGGAGGCTGGGGTAGACTCTCACTTGAGGCAAAGCTGGTCTCGGCAAGATTAAAAGTGGGACGACTGACACCGGAATTCAGCTTTTGCCTGCGAGACGGCGGCAAGTCATCCTCACTATCGCTTTCGCCGTCACTAGTAGCTCCGGTCGACGAGGCAGCATCGGCACGGCCGCTGAAAGTGTCATCAAGCGTCGATGCCGAGGTTCTGCCATGAGAAATGTTGGACATTTCACCCAGGCGCATGAGCTGTATCGCCACGTCCTTATCTTCCTCGGACACACAGCTCCCAACCGTTGGGTCCGGCGTAGGGAGAATACCCCCGATGCCATTAATGAGTCCCGCACCATTGGGTCCATATCCTATGCTACAGCGAGAACGGTGCCCATCGGGAGTGGTATATAGGGCTTGGCCATAGCCGCTAGGATAACTTTGGGGAGATTGTAGAGCTCGTGGGTTAGAGAAAGGGTTCGAGGCGCCCGGGGCATATGAAAGAGAAGAGCGGTGTTGATCAAATCGCCGCGCCGGCGATACGGATGGGTTAGAGGTTGCCGCTGGCATTTGCGGGGTGCAAAGAGCGGAAGTTCCTATAGAGGGGAAACCCAAAACATATTAGAAAGGCAAGTTCTCATTTGGATTCGATCATGACCGCCCAAGGTCAAGGAGACAATTTCAAGGCAAAAATGTGTAAGGTAAAGATGAATCAAGAAAGAAGTGGGGGAGGGAAAGCGCCAAAATTTCCGGCTAGAAAGAGATAAAAGGGCACGCTGCTCGAACACAAAGAACCTCTGGTAAGACCAAAAGAGTGAAAGATAATGGGAAAGAAAAGCGTGATGGTCAGAGAGAAGCGGGATAGGGAGAAAGGGAAAGGGAAGGCGAAAAAGAGTTGAAAAAGCTCACCGAGCTCTCAAACTTGGCCCGTTTGCGGCGGCCTCCTTCAACAATGTTCTCGACGCTGATTTCGGTGTTTCCAATTTGATCCTTGGCTTTGCCAGAGGAGGATCCGGGGGCACCGTCGCCGCTACTATAGCCGGTAGGGCTGTCATAGCCATCGGCACCATTTTGGCTACCGGCGTTGCGTGATTTCGAGGGGCGAGGGCGGGCGGGCTTCCCAGCGATAGGGTTCGCACTCGCTGAAGCACTGCGGCGACCGCTAGCATTTCCTGGAGAAAGGCTACGCCTTCGCGATGTCCTTGATGGGGGCCTGGAAATATCTTCATCTATCCGCTGAGGGGGATTGGTGAGGGGCTCCTTCGACGTTGTTGTAGTAAGCTTGAGGACCGCTCGGGGCAGGTTGGTAAGGAGCAGTCCCAAAAGAAGCCGAAGGCGGTGCAGAGGGCTGGGCTGGTTCTTCAATGACTCTGACATAGACAATCATGTTGTTCCGGAAGTTCTCATGTCTGGCGATGAGGGTGTTGCCTTGCTCATCTTCGAAGCTGACCCCCTTGGAGCTTGTAGGGCTTGAGTATAAGCCATAAAAATTCTTCACCGTTGTGACAATGGAATCTGTAGTATCATGGGGATATATTTGAACACGCATGGGGAGGCGCGCGCGGTATTGGGGTGAATCTGTGAAGAGCAGCTCAAATGCGACATTCTTCGGAGTAGCGCTTTGCCTTGGCGACGCACTGCCGTTGATAGGCATGCTAGTCGAGGCGCTGGTCGGAGATACCGAGGCCATGTTTTTGTATGCAATATGAGAGAATGTATATGAATCGAGAAAGGGGAAGGATAAGTTGAGCCTTGGAGAAGTATAGGGGTGATTGAAGTCGATCGAGAGGAGGATGGGTTGAGAGCGAATTGGTCGATCCGGGACTTTGGCGGTGTCGGGCTCTTGCGGTCAATTTTTAACGTCACCAAGGGCGAAAACCAACCACGGCCGACAACTACGGAGTGTTATCGCGAAGCCAAACAAGTCGCTACCGCTTATCGAGAAGACGCCGCCGTCTAGGCGAAGGGCGGACAAGCGCCGAAACGCTTTGAGGTTGAGTCGTCCTGCCCGAGCACGGTCGGAAGCCAAGGAACGCCTGGGCTAGAAGGGGCAAATCTATTGAGCAGGAAAAAGGTCTTCTGGGGTGAGTTGTTAGGATTCGATAAAACCTTGTAGTGCGCAGACGATGGCGAGAGTAACAAGAAGGGATTCAATGGGGAAAAGAGTAGGGGAAGTGTTGAGGATTGAAAAGAGGAGAGGGCAAAACCTCGTCAGTTGACCTTGGTCGCAGAAGCGCTCAGCCAGGCCAAGGCCAGGCGGGAGAACGAACGAGCAGACTGAACGGGCAATAGGGGAGGATATAGAAGGAGAGGGTTGAAAATTGACTCGAGATCCTGATCGCATAGGATGACAGAAACAATCAAACTTACCAGGACGGTTCAGAGTTGGCGTGGAAGGATAGATGGATTCAAGATTGAAATGCTTCGCAACCTGTGTGTAGTGCGAACCAGGAAAATTGAGGAGTCTCTTCTGCCAGAGGTGACGGATGTTGGAGGAGGTAGAAGGTGCACCACAGGTTTGAACGGGCTTAGCAACCGTCTGGCACTTGGAACCATCCTCCAAAGTACTGACCTGGTCCCTAACGTATAGCTTCAAGGTGAAAAGTTACTTGGAAGAGCACAGATTTGGAAGATTGAACGTTTCAATATCACAGACAGTGCTGAGTGGCCGGTACGGCTAACAGTGAGCGCCGGCCAAGGTGGACCAAGTTTCGATCTGTTTTAGTGGTCTTCTAGCGCTTGCAAACATTCTCACCCACTAAGCTTCCCTAAAGCAACACGACGCCAGCCGCCCGCCAGAAGCTGGCGGCAGTTGGAGCACTGGAATTTCAGCGAATCTATTGGAGGGAAGGGCTGATCATCGAGCAGCTCGGTCGGTGGTCACAGTGCGGGCGGGGGCTCCTCCCTCACACACATACAACTGATCAGGTCATTAATTGCACCGTTTTGCCAATCGCCTCTCTTCTTTGGCGCTTCGCGCTGCGCGGATCAAGGTTCGGTGACTACCCCTTCTCCGCCTTTGACGGGCCAAGGCAGGTTGATGCCAACAAGAGGTGGTGATTCCAGGCGCAACTTATCACTATTCCTTTGATTATATATATATAATCTTCTTTGTCCGGCCACAGCTGGCCATTCTTTCGCGAGGTGCCAGTTCAGATTTGAGGCGAAAGGCGCTCAATGTTACGGACAGGTTATGAAACGGTTCCGTTCGGTTCAGGGCCATTCTCGAACGCACAAATGCAAAAGCTTAAAACGAACCCGTTTTCTGAAAGCTGGCCACGCCAGCTGGACACCGCTCAAAAGGTCACCAGGCAAGTCAGTTGAGGGAGAGAACGCTCCAAGCAAGTCAGCAACTTGGGTGGTATTTAAAGATATTATATGCAATGAAGTCGTGGGAGCTCGCTTAAGGTTGAGAGCAAAATGAAGACGAAAATGAAATCCACTCCCTAGATCCCCTTACAGTAAAGGAAAGAACAAAATGAGAGGACAGGAATCGGTATCGGATACCACCAAAAAGAAGAAAAATAGACCAGAGAACTGACAGATCTACAAGTTGCGATGCTTCTTGAAGTCTCGTGGTAATGGCCCTGACGATTGGCGCAGTACACTCCATGGATCAATGGGTGTATGCATCCCCATCTTTCGGCCGCTATCTGACACGGTAAAATGCGCAATCACTGGATCAATTGGCCCCAAAACTCGCGCCCTTGTCCTTCACTCGAGGGAAAAGGAAAAAACTTCGAAACGTCAAGGCGCACGTCGTGGGCATGGACCCGCCTTAGAGCTGGGTGGACTTGTTGAAGTCTCTTCCGGAACATTGAGAGCAATCGAGGAGCTTCCGGGAGACCCGTAAAGGTACAAGAAAACTTGGATGGACTCATGTTGCCCCTCTTGTTGCATTGAGAGGGCCACCAAAGAGCAGACGGAGGGGGCAAAACCGACTAGGGGTTTTTTTCCTTTTTAACCATCATTCACATTCAATCGTTCAGCCGAGCTGGCGCTCATATTCCAACGACTGTGGATAAGCCAAAAGACCAACCATAGAAGCAACAATCGATACGCTGCGCTGCAAAGGTGACAAAACACCTTTCAGAGCTTAGATGGCGGGCCTCGGCCATGGTACACTTTGCGACAATGGGCTTTGCGACCAATGTACTTTTATGTCAATGATGTCGGCGCATGCGATGGACTAATCCCAAACTAGCGCTTCCCCGGTTCGCGAAAACGGAAAAAAGCGATGCAAGGGACTCTGGTTATGGTGGATAAAGAGGTACGCCACCGTGGAAGGAAGTCATGCTCCTCTGTAGTGGGGGCACCTTTCCGCGTTTCTTGGTTTCCTCTCCGTGGCTGAGCACTAGAATTCTTTCGCTTGGATTCGCCTCGAGCCAAGAGTCAAGGGTCGACTCATTGCTGTCATCGATGGGTGCTCGTATGTAGTGCAAGGTGGACGTGCGGAGGCACAAACACCAACCACTATTTACTCATGCCTTGAAGGTTAGAGCGGAAGGGTGAGCCGTCCGTGACCGCATCAATATCCATGCGCCCACGCTCAAACACTTGAACGGTGAGAGCCTAACAGAGATCTTCCCAGTCTCATCCGAAACCTGAACGGCTGCGACTCATTTTCGTTCTGCCAATTAGGGCTGGTACATCCATGACGTCCCCCATCCCACCCATTCACTTACTCGGCAATCCTGCTTCGGCGCAACACTCGTAACAACTCAGGTCCTCTGAGGAGGATTACTCGACAGATTGTGCAGACTTTGATGAATTACCTCCAGTCATCGGTCACGTCAGCTGGCTGGGGTGAACCTCGTCGACAACCTCTCGACGAACCTGGGGGCTAAAGGATTTTGGCCTTGGCCAGACCTCCAATTCTGCACCAGGGCCAGCGCAAACCTGCGGACAAATCAATCCCCTAATATGTCACGGACGGGTGAGCCTGCCCACACCTCCCCTCGGTCGACAATTCCGAGTCCAGTCCGACCGAGGCCACTCCAGCGAATGCGACTCATTACATCTCTCTCCACCTTTCAACCCGATGAAAGGGGACCCTCAGTCTTGGGCGCATATACTGCTGCTGTCTCTCCGTTGTTCTTTATCTGCTACCTTTTTCCTTGCTAAGCTCCTGCCCACGTAACCGCCCACAAGTGCTGCTTCAAAGGGAGGGAATGTGACTAGACCAATATGGTTTCACTCCTTCGAAGGCAACGCCATTTCTCGAATCAATGTTCCGTGTTTTGTTTGTTGTTCCCCAGCCTTTTGTTTTTCTTCTACCTTTCGTGTTTTCGTGCTTTCGACACCGCTCCGCGGCAAAACATTCCCACCCACCAGACCCATTCATGGCAGGTGCCGCGTCGCACCTTCACCGTATTTCGCACCAGGCCAGGTCGATTCGGGATTGGATGTGGCCACGCAGAATTGGCCTCCGATCATCTCATGCTGATAAAACCTATCTCCATCCGGCGTGCTGGCTCTGGCCCTTAACCCGCCAAGATGTGGATGGAGTGGTCACAACAATGGCCAGCCACCTCCCCTCTATCTTCACCACCCCTGATCGGCATCTCTTCGCGCACACGCGCAAGGCTGCCCATTGGTTCGTTTCGAGCTTAATTGGAGAGGGTATTCGGTTGATGTGCGCCCGGTGCAGTAATTCGTCGTGCCTCACAATGGTCGGCCCTAAACCGCCCGCAGGTTTGTGTTTCTTCAAAACGAAGTGATCTTGGCCAATGGTTGCCACATGAGCAGGATTCGCGAAACCCCTTGCGCGTCCTTTCATTGTCGTGACGAGCCGTAACATTTCAACCTAATCTTGTGTTGTTTGAAGAGGAAATTTTGCTTCGAATGGAAGAGTCAAAATAAACAATCCGAAGAACAGCTGGAGCCAACACCACCACCACCTCCTCATTAGCGTAGGTGCGCCCGAAAGGCCAGGCCTCACTTGAAGTAAACCATGGTTTGCCGAGGGCGTTACACAGCCGATGGATGATAAGCCAGGATAGCGTCCTCTCCATTTTAGAGGACATGGTATCAGAATCACCAGAAGAGTGCTCTAGTGTTCGTTAATTGCTTGACGCCGTCGCTTGTAGCATGGCTAAGATGAGAAGCCACGAGCAGAACACGTTGAACCACTGCTCGTCTCACATTAGGTTCATAGGCGCCTATTTACCTCTCTCCAAGATATACTACAAATGTGAAGGTCAAGTTTCCCGTCATCAACTTTCTCGTGCTTCATTCCAGTGTCCAGCCAGTATCGATCCGCGTCGGAAGGCATCAAGATGATTTTGGAGGCTTCATGTTCCGTTTAAAACACAACGCTCGCGCTATGTCTTTCCTCCTATAGCTTAAAGCGAAACGCGAGGCTTGACGTCTGTCCATCAACCACCCAGGCTCAAATAATGAATTCAGCTCTCGAGGAACCCAAATACCCAGTTAAGGATAGTGCAAGAGAGCAGGTTCCTAAAAGCAATATTGCCGTTGAACAAGGCCAGACTCACGCCCTGGCTGTGAGAGGCATCAGGTTGACGGCTCGAGGAACCCATGGCTTAACACCCGCCCCTCGGGATGATGAGCCTTGGCTCTGCCTATCCACCTAAGGGGATGCACATCGAGCATGCCCATGCGTCTTTGGCTTCCAAGTTTGTCTCGGGTTGGGCTGCGGCAAGGCGCCTCGCCCAAAGGAGCGGTCGATCAATGAGCCATTCACAGAAGGCTGTCGTATTGCTCAACTGTGCTCGAGGAAGGGCGCAGAAGTGGAAGGGACGAAGTGGCGGGTGGCTTTGGTTCTGGAACCAGACCTTCAATCGCTGGTGCGCCGCTTGCTCTTTGGCTTTGTTTTCCGTCAACTTCGAGCAGAACGAGGAGGTTTCAAATGCCAATCTGCTACCTCGGTACGTTGTATTACCCTCCCGCTGTCCTCATAGAAACGAGTACATAGCTTCTGGTTCTGAGCACTGATGGCAATTGAAAAGAAAGAACAGAGTCCCCGGGCAACATTTGAATTGAACCGGCCAAGCCTGTCTTCCTACAGTCTCATTTCCCTGGTCCTGGAAGTTCGCTTTCGCTTTTAGGCTCCATTTGTGCCTGGCCATTTAATCTTGTCAAGTGCGGCTAATGGAACTGGAGCCAGGACCGAACTGGCTCTCTCGCTCTCCGCGAATCCCAACGACAATGTGCCGAATCCGCCTACTAGTGTCTTCTATTTCTACGTTTCTTTTCCTCCTCCTCCTCTTATTTTGCGAGTGTCTGGTGAGAAGAGCTTGATCATGGTAGGCAAGGAAGCGTTATATTGACTCCTTTCCCTTGGTAATTTGGATCGAATCGCACTTCCACCAGGCGAATTGTTGAAAGGCTGGGTACCTCGCATCGCCGTCCCACGTCCCGTTCCCGTCTATGGGCATGACTAGCCCCGCGCGGATGTTTCGATGTTCAGTGAGCTATCGCATCAAGTGCAGTATCCCAGGTGGCGTCGGTCCTTACCGCCCAGGTATTAGCAACTTGAACCCGTGTGGCCGTTCAATCATGGTTACGTGAAGCTTATTGGCTCCTCATGCATTCGACCATCCAGATCCTGCCACCCATGTAGACTCATCCCTCGCCAGGAACCACTTGCTGCTATTTCTCCAATTTTACGTCTTCGAAAATGCCGCTTGGCAGGTAGCGTCCGAATGGCGGCTAGCGCGCGCTATCTCCCGGGTGTTCTTGGATTCTCCATGGAATCCGTTGAAAGCGGCTGCCATACATGGGGTATATTCGCCAATTGATGGAGAATAGAGTACGATTGAGCCCTGGATCCATACGAATAGAGTAATAGAAGGAAAGGTAGCGAAGAAGGCAAGAAATGTGCAAATACCTTTTCGAGCCAGAATAGGCGAGCACGACTGGCTGAGGTCCACATAGTAGCCCCGATTCTGTCTTGTTGCTTTGTCTGTCCGGTAACCCATGTGCAAGACACCCAGGCTTTGTTGAAGCACACCATCGTCCTTGGTTCTCTCGACTATACCGAGGTGTGGAGGGCAGAGTGCACGTCCAGCTTTATTATATGGATGGAAGGAAACAAACGAGAGGGCCCTTTCCCTCCAACCGGACCACATTCTATTCCCGGAGCTCCCTAGTTTCACCCATCAACATATGCCAGACAAGGTCGGGTTGAGGAGCTTTGTCAACACGCTAATTTTCCGCAATTGGCGGCGGACACGAGATCAGTTGAGAGCGCACAAGGGTGAGTGCATGGTTCCATATCGTCAGTACAAGTATACTAGAATTTCGCCCTCAACTGCCAGGTGCTGAGAAGGAGAAGCTGAGGCCTCATGTACTCTTGAAAGAAACAGTGCTAATGGCATATTCCAATGAAAAGCTGTTGCTTGCAATCGACTTGATTTGGGGATTTCGTCAAGGAGGTTGTGGCCATTCCAGCTCTAGAATTACGATTCAAACTATCCTTCCTCCTAACCGTAACCAGCCCATGTCTCTCAATCGAAGAGATAGTGAGCTAGTCATGGTCTTAATTCTTTTGATGCTCTTATATGTACGGTATATATCAATCTGAGAACCTTTTCATGAACCCCTTCCTATATTTATCTTGCCTACCCTACCTCCCGCTCCGATAACTCTACTCGTAATCTATGGTGAGGGTAGATAAAGTGAAGGGACACAGAGAGGATAGGTAGAGGAAGTGGCGCGGGCAACCTTTTACCCCTCTCATCCTGTCCATCAGTGATGCCATCCTGCAAAGGACTAGCGTAAACCAGAATGGACGTGGCGACATTTCCTCTGGTGAGGGGCATGCCCATCTTTCTGCAGCACGCTGGAATCGAATGCGCACACTCAGGCAACCCTTACACCGCCTGCAGAACAGGTTGCAAGAGCTCACCCCTGCCCACCTCTATCATCGCACCTGGGAAGGTGTATAGAGAACGATTTCAGCTATTGAGCCGCTTCTCGGCCGATGGAGCACGGGAAAGCCTCAGAGGGAACTAGCCAACTCCCAGATGTCCTGGTTGTGCCTCGGTAGAGCAAGTTGAGTTACAAGTTGGGAAAACAGTATTATGCCAGTCGAGTATCTTCCTAGCCTCCCTCAGCTTCTTGCCTCATACTTTAGTAGTACGGGGAGCCATTGCTTCAAAACGAGCTCGGCAAAGCCAAGGAAAATCGCCGAAACGGGTGGTTTGAAAAGGTTGACCCAACCAATGTCGATGAGTCCGCTGGCTATTACTTGTAGCTCAATTTATTCGACACCAATGCCACCATGACCATAACCTGCGACATGTATCTTCAGACTTAATACCCCAGAGGCAAACTACGGATCAAACCTTTTCCCACAAATTTTAGGCAGCGCATCAACATTCAAGATTTTGTTGTGCAGCGATTCTGTGAATATCTATGGCGGAAAAACGATTGCATTGCTGATCCGTTCTTCTACCATAGCCACCACCGTCTAATAGTTGAGGAAATGGTTCAAACATGAAACGGTTCACCGCTTTGGGTCTAGACTATTATCACGTGTTTTGGTGATTGAGTCGTGTTCTTCGCTTAACAATAAACGCGCTCCGGGTTCCGGAGTTCAAATCCCAAGTTTTGAAAGAGTTCGACACCTGAATAAATCTCATATCGCCTAAAAGGTAAGCCGCTGAGATCGCAGGAATCGACGAGAGTGTAGTGAGGGCTTTCAACGGTTTAAAAGTACTAGTGTTGGCTTAAACAACTCGATTTTACAAAATCAAGCGATTTTGGGAGACGTGACTGGAAATCTGACGCCCCACAATCGGTTAGTTTTCTCGGTGGTGGAGATTCCCCGGAAAATCATCATCGCCATGGCGACGGGATCTCCCACTACAGGCTGCGAGGACCCACATTTTGGCTATAGAATCTGACCAATAATGTGCGCCCATTGAGGGAAGAACTGATTCGGAGGTACCTTCTCCAGCAAATTTGGTGGTGAAGATACATTTGGGCCTTGTGATCCTTGCACAAAAGATGTACCCGCTCGATCAAACTTTAGTGGCCCATTGTTATGCAATGAACAGCACAAAATAAACAAAAGCTTCAATTTTAGACCCTTGAAGGGATGGCCGTCTTGCTCAATCTCCGCCTGGACCATCTCATTCCTTTCTCCTTTCTGATCGAGCTCTCAGCAATCCACGATTTTCACCGAGGAATGGGAAAAAGACCCTCTATCAACAATCGCCCTATTGCTTCAATTCTCCTATCGAATTGGGGGTTTCGGTCCAAGATTACCCTAAGCTAGCATTTTCTTCTGTTTCGTCCCTACCACCTTGTGTCCTCCATCATCAAGACCTCTGGTCTCTTTTGATAGCACTGTCCTAACTCGAACCACCCTCAATCGGAAGGCGTGGCTGTCGTCAAGTAAACACCCATATTTCCAAAACAACACGCGATTCTCGATCAGCGCTTGCTCGTCCGTCATCATTTCTTGCGTTGGCCGTGTTGAAGCGATATCCTGTTCCTCAAACTCGGACCCAACTCAAAACAAGATCACCAACTGTCAATCTCACCCAAAATATCTTCTAGTTTGGCCTACGGGCTTCACTCGCCAGCCTCACCGCGTGTCGCCTCAAGGCTTAGACGCGACTAGCCGGCCACCCGTATTTTATTGCCAGCCGTGAAGGAGAGGCGCGTCTCTTCGAAGAACGCTTCTCACTGTGCCATTTCGCTTCTTGAATAGGCCACGTCCAAGACGCCCTGCAGCGAGCCTATTCCACGCGCGTGTTGACTCCGATTCCAAGCAATCTCGTCAATCGCAGAGCTAGCCGACCTCCGCCAGGTGAAACTATCTGTTGCATACAACAACTTTGTCGCCTTGATTTTCACTACGGATAGAGTCATAACATTACCACGGGACTCATCATGGATGCGAGAGTAAGTCGTTTGCTGACTTGGCCCTTTCCCACCCGTCTTGAAAACTAACCCCTCGCACCCTTTTGACGCCACGGGAAAGAACAAGAGGTGCCCGAGTTTGCGTTGCTGTATCCTATGATTGGTCTACGCGACAAATGATACTTGCGCTTTTGTCCGAGGAACGAGTGTATTGACTTTGTCTCTTTCTAGCCCCAACGCCTTCGCGTTTTCCACCCTCCGGGAACGAGAACCTGCCCCCGACTACCGCAACCTCGACGGCTCACTCACGCGCCAAGTCCATGAGCAGTGCCCCTACCATGACTGGCGGACTGAAAGTAAACGCGAAGCGCACCGCCTTTGCTGACTTGAGCAATACGGTGGCAGCTCAGCTTCTCGTTAATCAGAAGGGGCCTAAGAACACGGTCAAGATGGAAGGCCTGCTCGCCGAAGCCTCCATTGTTAGCGGAACCGACGCGTTCCGTCAGCCCGCGCAGCGTCCGTCGAGGCCTCCTGTCGGTGCTAGTATCCAACCAAAGGTCGTGAACCCTGTTCCGCCTTTGGCGCGATCCGAACTAGTCTTATCTGGTGCTCATGGTGCTGCCACAAGGAAGTCAGCAGTCTCTATCTACAGCGATAGCCAAAATATAGGAAGGGAGCGGGTCACGGCTCATCTCGACCCGTCCACTAGGCGTGAGCCCAGCCTTCGGCAGTACAAGAGTCAGCCTCAACTGAAACCGGAAGCGCCTGTCCTGCGTAGGACTCAGAGCAGGCTACTTGAAACGCTTACTCGCAAGCGGAGGCACTTCCAGTCTTGGCAGATTTGACGGAGGCACTTTACGAGGATGCAGTTGAGCATGTGGCCGAGATGGCACCTGTCGTCTCACATGCTGCCGAGATAGCAGATGGTGTATTGCTCTCTATCTCAACTGGTATCGAGGTTGTGACAGCCCCGGCAGACGACATGCAAGCCGAATTCGTCGACGATAAAATCGCGTCCACTACGTCTTTGTCGGAGCCTGAGGAGTATTGGGACGAAGAGGAAGAAGATGAAGTCTACGACGACCAAGGGTACACCACGGCCCACTCATTCCGCTCCCGCGGCGATCTTACAACAGGGGAGTAACGACACTTCCCCAGCCTAAGATGACCAACAAGGTCCTTCGGGAGCTCGAGGCTGCCAAGGCATATGTGGAAAGCACGCGTCCTCAGTATGATATTGAGGAAGACATGTGGGATATCAGCATGGTCGCTGAGTATAGCGAAGAGATTTTTGAGTATATGCGAGAGCTTGAGGTGAGTCTCCCGTTCCCATGCCTATCAACCAGTTTGCCAGGTATATGGCAATGCATGAATCGATACTAATTAAAAACGCTTCTCATTTTTCCTTGCAGGTACAACTCCTTCCCAACGCGCACTACATGGACATCCAGACCGAAATTCAATGGTCTATGAGATCGGTCTTGATGGACTGGCTTGTTCAAGTCCATCAACGATTTGGTCTTCTACCCGAGACGCTATTTCTTGCTGTCAACTATGTTGATCGATTTCTCTCAAGCAAGGTCGTTTCTCTCGGTAAACTACAGCTTGTCGGTGCTACGGCAATCTTAGTAGCGGCCAAATACGAGGAGATCAACTGCCCTTCCCTACAAGAGATTGTCTACATGGTTGACTCTGGTTACACGGTCCAGGAGGTTGCCAAGGCCGAGCGATTTATGCTTTCCATGCTTCAATATCAACTTGGATGTCCCGGGCCAATGAGCTTTCTACGACGCATCAGCAAGGCTGATGACTACGACCTTGAGACAAGGACGCTAGCGAAATATTTCCTTGAAGTGACAATCATGGATGAGCGGTTCGTGGGTAGCACGAGCAGCTTTCTCGCTGCGGGTGCTCACTGCCTGGCTAGAATGATGCTTCGGAAGGGTGACTGGGTATGTGCCTCCCCCAAAGCAAAACAAAACCCGCCGTTACTCTGCTTATGCTTCTACCAACGATTGATGACATCCTGGTGCCGTTGTAAACCATACTAACGTTACTTGTTTACTTTTAGTCACCCGCTCATGTCCACTACTCGGGTTATACCTGGAATCAGCTGAAGCCGCTCCTTAATATGTTGCTTGACTGTTGCCAAGTGCCTGACCAGCACCACTCCGCAATCTTCGAAAAGTACAATGATAAGAGATTCAAGTACTGTTCGGATTACGTGCAGGATGAGATCAAAACCGGCTTTGAGCTTCCAGGTCACCAGCCCACCATCTTTACTATGATACAACAGGCCGGTTTTTCTTGTGACGGGGCTAGTCCAGCTGCTGCCGAGCATCAGTACCAGTACCCCTTCCCCCAGGCGAGCGAGGCTTAAAACACCTATGGTACCGTGGATCGACCTGTTCTGCTCCTCGGTATTCCCGATGAGATCAGATTGTCTCCAAATACGATGAGCCCCCTACTAATGTGTTATGAATTTACGACTTGTTTCTAGCTCATTTGTTCTTTGTTTATCCTTTCCTCTTCCTCTAGACCTAGCTCAGTTCTCGAGTCTTTACGACAGCCTGCAGACTTGCAGATCTGATCGTGTCAGATGGTTGTAAGAATTGTCCTTGTCCTCACAGGCATCATCAAGTCGACCCCCGATCGTCGAATTGAAATGCACACACGCACACACACGCACACACACACACACTCTCTCTCTCTCTCTCTCTCCCGAAAATGCTTGGCAACTTTCTGTTTCCCGGAGTTTGGGCCCGAATGGCATGGCAAGGGCAGGCGGGCAAAGTTTCTAGAAAGGATCACTCATGAAAGTATCAAAACCAAAAATAGTGAAACATCCTCTCCCTAAGAAAAAGTTTACGAGGAGGCGCAAAGGGTCTTTGTATCTCATACAGCCCGGGAGGGTGGTTTCTTTCTCTCTTTATCATCGGGTACTTTGTTTCTCATGCCTAGCTTAATATTCAATGTTTCAAATGTACTCTTATCCTTTCGCATGAAGTATAGTCTCAAGAGCAATCACTCTACCATGGCCCAGGCAGTCGAGCGAACCTAGCAACAAGTGTGTGACGATGTTCGGGATTGGCCCGCACGCATACGTGAGGTGTGCTGTTTAGGGAGCATTTGTTCGATGATACACACTTTAGCAACCTCTCACTCATTACTTCCAACCAGCCTTTGTACAGGAAAACGAAGCAAAGTCGCTCTTGTAGAGGGACTGAGATAACAGAAAAAGAGGGCAAAGGAAGGCCGGACATGTCGCTAGATTGAGTCGAGGCGTTTTCAACCGCAAGCAAATATCTGGTGAGAAATGGCGCGTACGTCTCTTTAAATACTAAATACGAAGTATGTTGCGGATACCTCGGTGCACACTCCAAGCATGGAGTCTCCCTGGTGAATATATTATTTCAACCTCATCCGTGACATACATGTAGTGAAGGAGATGCTAGGCAGATGTTGCCGGCCTGAATCGTGGGCTAGTGTAGCACTTTGGTGCTCAGTTTGAGATGATAATGAGGTAATTCAAGTTATTCTTGACACCAATGCGCAATTTGGGTTTATCTCTCCCCTTGGGCCGAAAGCTTGCGGGCTTTTCTGGCTTTCCATCAGTTACTTGGGTGATCAATTGATGTTCCGTAAGGACCCGGTCAATCCATCCAGACAGCGCTAATAATATTCCCTGCACAGCAACGTCCACGCCGGAGACAGCACGGGGAGCAGAGACGGATCAATGAGGTACATTTTTAAAGGGCAACCGATCCTGCTTGAACCCTGGACGAAGCTTAGACAGGTCAAGCTCCCTAAAACTGTATGCTTGATCTTATTGGTCATACCTCTGCCTGCCACAACATGTCGTCCTTGTCCCGAACCCAAACAGCCCATGGGATGGCTGGACGGATGGATCATTCAAATTGAGGCTGCAACGCGTGGGGGTTCGGCGCATGGGGGTGCAGGGTCCGTTTTCGCTGCACAAGTGAAAATGGACAAGCCCTCGAGGGGGTTTGAGGAGAGTGTGGTTCGCGTATTACTAAACACCGGGTTTGGGGGTGATTGGGGATACATGTAACCACAAAGCCGAACAGCATGAATGTACATCCTCCGCTTCACCGTTGGTGATGTGAACCCGTGCCTGACCGTTACCTTGATCCCAGAAGGGAAAAGCAAAGCTGAAGACGTAGAGTACGAGAGGAGGCTGGCAAGAAAAAGGAAAGAGAAATCAGTTGATGCAAGTAGAGAAAGACAGCAGGATAATAGAAATTTCCCGGCTGGCTGGCTATCGCGCCGCGCACAGTCTCGAAGCCCGCACCCGCTTCCGATTGTCCATTTGATGGGCACCAACACGCAGCGAGGGATTACCCGGCAGAAATTGCTGGTACGTAAAGGTGAGGCATAATCCAAATCAATCAATGAGTTAATACTCGGTACTTTTAACAAACTAATAAAGCGTCCATCGACCGCCTCTTTCTTCTTCCCCCTGACGGATGCTGGTCCGAGGCATGCTCAAATATGGGGGCTCAAAATGGGGCGGGAAACCGCAAAAGCACCTGGAGGAAGGGGATGGTCTCATGACCAGAAGAGCACATCACCTATTGCAATTCACTATTCACTGTCGAACCGGCAGTAATCCGCCCACTTCCAATGGGTCGTTCAATGGTGCAATGGCATAATCAGTCGTCTTCACCGCTTGATGAATGAATCAATGTTAGAGTATATATTCTTCACCCCTTCCGAACCGCATTCCCTGTTATGAAACAATTCACGGTGGCACTCACTCAATGTGATGGGCCCAGTAGGCCATCAAGGAAAGGGCCCTCTAAGAAAGCGGCGGTGGGCCCGGGGGAAGTGCTCTAGCTGCGAACTGGCTTGCTGTCCGCGATGATACCTTTCGCCGCCGAGGCTTAGGTGAAAGAAAACCTTTGCAACTCTAGGCGCGGGTTAAAAGGCCGCCATCTCAGTGTTGATCTAATTTCCAACCACCAATGGCGGAGGGTTTTGGTAGTGCACGGAGAAGGGACAGGCCAACGAGAGTTCCTCCTGACTAGTTCTAGGGGATATTGGCCCGACTGAGTGCCCGTCATTCACTGTTAGCCATATCAATATAGAGTTTTAGAGCCCTCGAGAAATCAAATGGAAATGGGGGCTGGCACCTGTGCCTGGGGTTGACACCTGTGCCTGGGGCCAGGCACTAAAGTTTTGGCTAATAAGATCAATCTCGAACAAGATCCACACGCCGCCATCCAAGGTCCCACCGGCAAGGTTTGTGGAGTGCGGTGCGATGGAACAGAAGTGAAGGAAAAAAATCCAGGAGACAGAGGGTTTGAGTGGCATTGGCGAATGCGACCTATAGGATATTTGGGGCCGCAGTAGCCTTAAGTCCATGGTGCAATGGTTCGGAGTACTTCACCGCCATCAATTGGTCAAATCATACTCTATAAATCCGCCATCAAATTGATCGAAATGTCGTTCCTCAGAAGCGGATCTGCCCCTCGCCGTGCCCCCCGCCCCCCAATCAACTACATTCCACCCCACTCCGTCCACATGAGTTGAGTGGGAGTATTAGTACTTGCGTCCCAGCCGGTTACTCCAAAAACAGTACGCCCGTCCCACAGTGGTCGGCAAAGACCGTGCCTGCCTTGAGACCCTGACTCCGAGAACGGCTTCTTCTGCGGAAAATCTGGGGCTAAGCCACCCAAAAACGGAAATATTCGCCTCACCGCCTAAATTTTCCAGGGGAGCTGAGCTTGTGCCCCCGTGTCCCTTCCTCATCGCATTGCGCACGCTAGCAGAGTCATACCCAGTAGGAAAACAATTGGGAAAATTTTCTCCTTCCTCTCTGTGCGCGAACAAGTGTGTCCCCAAGAAACAAACGGTCTTTACAGTCTTCGGAGTTTCCTTTATTACTTTATTCTACTTGTTGTTTTTACCTTTTCCCACCCCCTCCTCTTCAAGAAATCCTAGTCCATCGTACTTTTCCATCAGAATCGTATCCTCCCTTCTTCAGCTCCTTTTTCATTTTCTTTTTGCCTAGGGTGGGAGTATTCCGAAAACGGCCCACGAGACAGCTTAGAGTCGCTCGAAGAGATTGTCGCCCTAATACCCCAACCCCCGTTCCTTCTTTTCCCGATCGAGATCCACATCACGCCCTCCACCCTTCACTATCCATAGGGAATAGCCCCAGGTTGATCCATTGATCCCTCTCTATTACTCAGACCTGACCCAAACACCCATTTTCCCCTCCCCCAGACAAAGTGGCTGCCGACCTACAAACTGTAAGTATTTTCTTGCCCCAGGTCCGTCTGGCCCCTTTATAGAATTGTGGTTGCTTGCCCGACAACTTTTGTGCTGCCGAGCCTCCCCTCTGACTCCTCCCACCTCCTAGATTCCTCTGCTCTCCCTTTATAATGCCTAAGGAAGACGTTCGATCGGTATCGGAGGATGCCAGCGGCCTCCCCGCTGGTTCTCACGCGCGATTCCAGAAGAATGCCGTCCAGGACTCTGAAACGGGCGAGCTCTATCTCGGTCCTGAGCAGTTCATCGACGCTGTCGCGCCCGCCGACGAAGATTACGTATGTAGATATATGCCCCTACTCGCCGACCACCCGAACCTACTCAGAGAGGAGATTTGCATCTAGCAGCTCGCGCTGACGTCTTACTTTGTTCCACTCGACTAGCACAAGGTAAAGCGCGAACAGTATAGCATCCTCTTCCACGTCGCGGATCGGAGAGGATCGGGCCAGGTGACTCTAAGCGACTGGACCGCGTTCGAGAATGTCCTACAGAAGCCTGATGCGGAGTATGAAATAGCGTTCCGGCTTTTTGACATCAATCGAACTGGCTCGGTCAACTATGCCGACTTCAAAAACTCTACCAGATGAACAAGGGGGCCGGTAGCATCCCCTTTGATTGGAACTGTGAGTGGGCGAGGCTGTACACCGGCGTTAAGACGCCCCGACAAGAGTTGGACTACAATCAATTCTCCCAGATGCTCCGGGGTCTCCAGGGTGAGAGGATTAGACAGGCTTTCCAGCTCTTTGACACGGATGGGGATGGCTTCATCGAACCCCAGAACTTTGAGCGCATCATTCTCGAGACAGCCAAGCACAAGCTGTCGGATCACGTCATTCAGAACCTCAGCTCCCTATGCAACATTTCCCAGGGCAGTAAAATCTCGTACGCCAATGTCAGGGCGTTCCAAAACATGATCAAGGAGATGGACCTGGTCGAACTCATCGTTCGCAAGGCTTGCGCGAAGAGCGCAGATGGTAAGATCACGCGCACCGAATTCCTCAACCAGGCCGCCAAGACAACGCGCTTTTCTCTCTTCACCCCCATGGAGGCCGATATCCTCTTCCACTTTGCCAGTCTCAGCGAGCCCTCTGGTAGGCTAGGGTTAGTCGACTTTGCCAAGGTCCTCGATCCCTCGTGGCGCCAGGTCTCGTACGAGCCAGAGGATGCGCACAAGTCCAAACCCAAGAGCAACTCGTTCCTTCACAGCGTCCTTGCTTCCTCCTACAGCTTCGCCCTCGGAAGTATCGCTGGTGCTTTTGGTGCCTTCATGGTGTACCCCATTGATCTCGTCAAGACCCGCATGCAGAACCAGCGAAGCGCGCTACCAGGTCAGCGGCTGTATAAGAACTCGATCGACTGTTTCCAGAAGGTCATTCGCAACGAGGGTGTCCTTGGTCTATATTCGGGTGTCCTTCCCCAGCTCGTCGGTGTCGCACCTGAGAAGGCTATCAAGCTGACAGTCAATGACTTGGTTCGAAAACACTTCACTGGCAAGGACGGAAACATTTGGTGGATGCACGAGGTTATCGCCGGTGGTACCGCCGGTGCATGCCAGGTCGTAAGTTCCTCCCTTTCTTCTTCTCCCAGTCACCCGCACACATGGACACATGCACGCAGTTGCTGTACCTTCCGCCTCTTTCCATACCCATTTGCGCATGGCTAACATTGAGGTCTTTCCGCAATAGGTCTTTACCAATCCTCTCGAGATCGTCAAAATCCGGCTCCAGGTGCAGGGAGAAATGGCCAAGGCTGTTGATGGCCCGCCCAAGAGGTCCGCAATCTGGATCGTCAAGAACCTTGGTCTCAAGGGGTTGTACAAGGGTGCCTCAGCTTGTCTCCTCCGTGACGTTCCCTTCTCAGCCATCTACTTCCCTGCCTACAGCCACCTCAAGCGGGATCTCTTTGGCGAGTCGCCGACCAAAAAGCTCAGCGTCTTTGAGCTCTTGACTTCCGGTGCCATCGCCGGTATGCCCGCTGCTTACCTGACTACACCTTGCGACGTTATCAAGACGCGTCTTCAGGTTGAGGCAAGAAAGGGTGAAAGCCAGTATAACGGCCTGCGACACTGCGCCAAGACCATTCTGAAGGAGGAAGGCTTCAAGGCGTTCTTCAAGGGCGGCCCCGCGCGTATCCTTCGATCGTCGCCCCAGTTCGGTTTCACCCTCGCGGCGTATGAGGTGCTGCAGAACACGTTCCCTTTCCCCGGACAGGCGAAGGAAGTGCAGGCCCTCACTGAGGCTTCGGCGACGCTCAAGGAGAAGTATGACCCCACACCATTTGGCAGGAGCCGCAATGCGCTGAAGATTATCCTCGACTTGGACGAGGACTTTGGAAAGCTCAAGTTCCCCAATCAAGCCGCCTGGAAGTCCCTCCCTAGGTCAATGGGTGGTGGTTCTTCTTAAAAAAGAATTTATGTGGAAAAGAAGGAGTGGGGGAGGTCAAGGTTGGCGACTTTCTATCCAATGCCACTCTATATCAACGGACAGGCGGGTTTCCCCGCCTTTTCTTTTCCTCCCAGGGAATTGGTTGGTTGCCCTCGGTTGCGATTGACGGATGATCGGACGGCATATTTTGCGGTTCGGCGTTGTCGGATTTACGGCGCGGCACACGAGGAGGACGGCCCTCCGCCCTCCCTGGCCATTCACTCCACAATTTCTCCCTCATGGTACTTGACCTCGGCAAATGAGGTGCTGCCTTAGCCAGACACGCAAACTCTAAACTTTGATGGCCTCAGTTCTTCAGAGATCTCACACCTGCAAACAAGACTAGGGAGATTGATACGGCTGTTCCCGACTCTCCTCTGCATTCCTCGCGTCCGCTTATTCCCACCTGCCCTAACCATCTCGACCCCCGATGTCCCTCCCCATTATATATATTGATCAGAGTCGGATACTTTTTCAAGATTCACATACCAGCAGCACGTTCCCTTGTCATCTAATTCTAGACAGCTTGCTCTTTCGGCTCCATTCTTGTATTTGGTTTCTTTGTTATTTCCTGCCGGCTTTCATCTGATGTGTTTCCTTTTTTTTTTTTTTCCCTAAACTGCTCTAGTCTTTTTTTCTAGGTGTTTTTGCTCTTCATCTACCAGCATGGGGCCATATAGGAAGGGAGTTGCGTGAGCCCAAAAATGGAAGCGGCATATCTCATTTTACATCATCGATTCCGCTTGCAACTGCACGGCCTCCTTGTTCCACTTATCAACTGTGTGTCTCTATTCTTTACTTGATGTCTTTGTCTATCATGCTATGTGCTCTCTCACTCTCTCCCTCCTCCCTCCCACATTCTCCTATCAAGGCTTTGTCAGTGCTCTCATGACACACACTTGGTGTTGTTGGCTTTGCGTCCCGGTCCGCCCTCAATGTCCAATGCTCGATCTCCTCATCACATCAGGTCTTTTCTATGTTTTGTTATTCTCTCTTCGTCTTGTGTTCATAACCGTACCTATCTAGGGGTTCTCCTTCTCCTTAGCCGATACCAGGCTAATAATTTTGTTGCTGAGGCGGGGGGCCTGATTTGATCAGCGCGGTCGTTGCTTCGCTTTTCCAAAAGACTGCTTCGCTTTTCCAAAAGACCGCAAGGATAGAACTAGCATAGAAAATGCATTATAGGATATATGTAACCACTGTAGCTAGATTTGCTCTTCCCCGCCTTCCTCTCTACATTTTCTCCAAGTTAGACGGAATGCTAAAAGAACATATATATTTTCTAATCTTGATCTCTTATTTAAATTACAGGTAAGAGTGGGAGCGAAAACTCCATAAATGGCAGTAAAGTTAAGAAGTAACCTTACCTCTCCATGTAGCTCTACGTAATATAATTAACTCTAGGTTTAATGACGTGATTGGAGATTTTCACTCCTTTTCCCCTTTCTATTTTTTCCCTTTTTTTCATAGGGAAATAGGAATTATTGGTTCAGCTTAGATACAGCAGAGCCGCTGGAAGCGAACAACAGATTCGGGAACTAGACTAGGTACAAGTAGATAAAAAGGGTTTGGCGCTATGCAGCGTGCCTGAAAGGACTCGAAAACATCATACCTGCAGTGCACATTGGTCAGTAAAGAAGCCTCAATGGTACCAGACTCGATTGATCCATTAGATGGATGGAGCATGAGTTTCCTCTAAAACACCAATAAGTGCTATGTGAAGGTCTGAGAGTATTACACTGGATCAATTGATGTACGGTGCAGTGCAGCTAACCTCACCTTGATTTCCACCAACCTGCTTGCTTCAACAAACCCCCGCCTCTTCCCTTCTTGAATGAGTATATTACATGTAAGATAAGACAAGGGGGAAAAAGCACTACTCACTTTCAACCTCTCACTTTCTTCTTTTCTTGGTCATCATCTTTCCTTTCCTTCCCTTCTTTCGCGCTGCTTAGACCACCACCGGATCCAATATCGCCAACCAGTAGTCATCATTTCCCTCATCAAAGAACGCTGATCGGCGGCTGTATAAGAACCACCGTCTCCTGAAAGGGGTGGGACTTCTGCCCGGCCACGACTTTATCGTCGTTTGAGCCTCGGTTAGCGCGCCGTGCAAAGCTGCCTGCCGCCAACAGTCAGATTGAAGACTCCACGACCCTCGGGTTGGTGGGGTAAAATCCTCAATACAGAGGTTAGGACGCAAAGACGGGCTAGAAAAGAAGGAGACTGAAACAAACGCACGAACGGCTGCGATACCCCCTCAAAGGGCCTACCATCATCCTCCGGGTTCTCGCCACCGCGGCGCCCGCCCATTGCCAAACTATACTCCCTCCCGAGGACCAGCAGACAGCGCTCCGTCGAGGCCAGGCAGCAAGGGCTCGCCGCAAGCCGTAGCCATGGCGCCGCCGTCCACCTCCCCTCCCGCCTCGGCCTTCCTGCCCGTCCTTTCGGGCCTCTTCGGCTGGGTCTACACAATCGCTTGGTCCCTCTCCTTCTACCCACAGCCACTCCTCAACTATCGCCGCCGCTCCACCTCGGGCACAACCGTCGACTTCCCATTCATCAACACCCTGGGCTTCCTCGCCTACTTCTTTTCCACTGCCGCCTTTCTTTGGTCGCCGTTGATCCGCGAGCAGTACGCGGCCCGTCACCACGGCCTCGTCCCCACTGTCCGTGGCAATGATGTCGCCTTTGCCGGCCATGCCCTCGTGCTTTCCTGCATCACGGTCAGCCAATACCACCCCACCCTATGGGGCTTCCGTCCCGGCGGCGCACGCCCCCGGCCCAGCCGCCCTATCTTCGGCGTCGCCCTCGGCTCCCTCCTCGCCGTTGTTCTCGTCTCCTTTGTCGTTATCGCTGCCGCTGGTCCAGATCTTGATCCCGCATCCGACTGGTGCGCCCTCGACATCGTCTACGCCGCCTCCTACGTCAAGCTTCTCATCACCCTCGTCAAGTACACCCCCAAGTCATTGCCAATAGCCGAAACCGCTCTACCCGCGGCTGGTCCATCTGGCAGATCCTACTCGACCTCACCGGCGGCGTCCTTTCCTCGCCCAGCTCGCCATCGACTCCTATCTCCAGCAAGACTGGTCCGGCATCACCGGCAACCCTGTCAAGTTTGGCCTTGGCAACGTCTCCCTCGCCTACGACGCTATCTTCATCACCCAGCATTACTTCCTCTATCCACATGAGAGCCAGTCGCCGCCGCCCACCACCCACTTTGACCCCGACGCTGACACTGACCCCGATGCTGATGTCGACGAACCCCTCCTGCGCCGGCAAGACCTCGAGGATCGACGAGCCCAGTAGTCTACTGATTTCCACACTCTCACGTGCCTAATCGAGCTTGGAGTCCTCTTTCTCCTTCTTTGCGCATCTCATCTCGTCACCCTCGCCTTCCGTCGCTTTGAGCGGAACGCGTCACAATACTCCAGCATGCCTCATCATCTTCTTTCTCTTTTTCTCATACTTGGTTTGTCGATGTTCTTTCCTCGTACTATCCATATATATAATATCTACTTCGAACGAGGTTGATGGAACAACTTAGTTTGAGCGTTTCATCTCCACAGGATGCATAACATATATCCTAGCTAGCCGTCCATCATGTATCATGTGTCATTATTGTATCTCGTCTCCTCTATGCTAAAGCTAGTCTCTATGAAAACAAACAAGCCTGCTGATGGCAACACAACCCGTTTCCAGACCACTCTATCCCGCCTCGTCCTGAAAAAAAAAAAAAAAAAAAAAAAACACTTTAGGGGTATTTTCTTGGAAAGATTCCTCTCCTTCACCTCCTCCCTAGATAGAACACACTATCTCAATATCCTAGCTATGCGCGTATTAGGGCCCCTTTTAGGCCTGGAAGGCCATCCTTCCTCAGGCCAATCTACCATTAACCTTGTACACTCTCCCTGGGGAGAGCGGGGAAGAAACCGGCTCTGGTGGGGACCCTCCCATGCCATCCCTATGAGGGAGGGTGATGGCTGTTGGTTTCTTCGAAGCAACGTCCGGGGCATCGACCATCGCACTAATAGGTCCCCTTGTAGACACCTTTTCGTTGGCAATGAGACCCTTGGTCTGCACAAAAGCACTAGACCGGAAATGGTTGGGACTTCGGCTGTAGTATTTGTCAATAATCGGGTGGACCATGACGGTCTGTTTGTGGATGGTGAGAATAGAGTTTGTTGGAACATTAACCCAGTTTTCTGGCAATTTTAGAAGACGGAGGGGGCACGAGAAGGCGTCAGCACACATGTATAAAATTCGCAGGCATGGGAGATGACCGTCTAAAGAGCGGACGAGCGCTTACCTCGTTCAAACGTCAAAGGCTCGCTCGCAACAAGCACAATATCAGCGCCCTTGTCGCGGCGCTCCATGTAGAAGCTCTGCGATGACGCGGCGGGAGTTGGAGAGGGCTTTTCCTCCCACTGCGTCCCCGAAGAGTAGTATAAGCTGGCGGCCTCATCCGTTGAGCTACTGATGTAGCGCGTGCAGATGACGCTGTGACCGTCCGTCACGGCAAAATTGAGGAGGCTCCTTGTGTCGACACTTTCCGTCTCGATAAGGTCTCGGGAAATCGCGTCGGTGAGTTCGTTGATGGTCTCAATCGTTCTGAGCATGGCCTTCCTAAGCACAGTCGGGCCAAAGCCGCCCTGGGGACTGGAAGTCGGATCATGGCCCATGCGCTCTAGGGTATCGAGGAAGAGCGCAAACGCCCATTCGCTGTCAGTCCCGCCGACCACGCCGAGGTACCACTTGTCGCCGAGACTTTGGCCGAGTCGGCGCTTGATGTGCTTCCAGCCGCCCAGCCCACCGTTGTGCATCCACATAAGCGAGCCATGATAAAATGGGTGGCAGTTATCCTCACTCAGTGTGCCCTCAGTGGTGGCACGGACATGGGCGAAGATAAGGCGCGATGCGGTTTTGGAAGCGATCCGGTGAAGGTTGGTGCAGTTCCAAGCAGGTATGGTGGAGGTGAAGAGGCAGGGAGCAGAACCAAGCTTCGGATCGGTATAGAAGCCTATGCCAAACCCGTCGGCGTTGTTTTGGCCACGTCGAGTATCCTGCTCGGGGGAGACAAACCAAGAGAGTCAGCGAGGAGGTTGACGCGGGCCCCTTCGCGCACACATGCCGTCCCGGCCAAGGGTGTGGCAAGAGGAAAATGGCAAGGCTGGGGCAATTCCAAGCTGCTGGATGGAAGCACTTACCAGGCGAAGGCGAGAGTCAAATGACTGCTTGAGAATCGAATGGCTCGGGTCTAGAATCAGCTTGAGAGAAGAATCTCATCGCTTCCTTTGTAAACCTGGGGAGCATGAGCTTCGGGGATCTTGTGGACTATGCCAAAATAGGAAACGCAACATTCTTACGTACGAGAAAGCGGCACATGGTAAAGACTACGCGCTGCGGAGCTTCGTTCTTATACAAGCAGAGGACTGTCTTTCTTAACGGGACTGGGATGGTAATAGGTTTCGGGATGCCAATCCAATACTCAAAGCCTGCTGCAGTGTGCCCGTCCCACGTGCTACGTGGTAAGCCGCTGAGGCTGCGCGTTGAGGTCGGCTCGCCGCTAATAACTAGTGTGCAGTAGAGAGAGGTTCACAGGGTTGCAGGAGGAGAAAGGCTTTCAGGTGAGAGGGAAAGGGCAGGTGACGGGATGAAGGAAAACCTCGCAAGGCACGAGAAGTTGAGTCACAAGAAGGCGAAGGACACAGAGCCGCAGAAAAAGACAAGTAGACAAGATCGATGACGAAATCGCCAAGTCTCATGTACAAGCTGAAAAGGGGGAAATGGGGGCGATGCTAATAATAATCCAGGCCCTGTTTTGCAATGGGGAGATACAGATAAGAAATGTGTGATGTTTCGGGAGAGGCCTAGGAAGGCGCGATCGATGAATCATTATCTTAATTTTACCACGTCTCGGAACCAACCAGAGCGGTTTGTGGGGAATTGGGCCGGGGGCGGCACATCTGTTAAACCATAACGCAGATGTCTAAAGAGGCGAGGCTACCAATAAGAATTAGCGCAAAAACATGCTGGAAACAAGACACACACACACACACACACACACACACACACACACACACGCACGCGCGCGCTGCGTGCTCGAACTTCTAGATATACCACTCACTGCAACGTGCTCCTATGATATCGAGGAAGACCTCGTCGGTGAGCAGGATGTCCATCTAAAGTGTGCCTTGCAGGCGGTGCCGTCATAGACACCTTTGACTTTGACGAGAAGGAATATATAGATGGATCCAATGGAATGGGGGTCTACACCTAAATATCCCATGTGTCATGGTGTGTAACTCAGTATATATTGGAGGCTGCAGGTGTTGCATCGAGCCTTCAACCTTCTTGAAAAGTCTAGGATGCCAATGAGAGACGCCAAGTGAGAGAGATGGATATTAGATCTATGTAGGGGAGAAAATATATATACCCATTATATAAAGAGTAAAAAGATGCTACACTTAAGGGATTCCGGCATTATCATAATAGTGTCCGTGGACCTATTCGTTGATCCCTGTCCCGAGGCAGCGGCGCATGCTATGTTGAGATATTCCCCACAATCGCCGTATCCCTGTTTCAGTGCTGAACGGAGGCTGAGATGATGCAATTCCAGAGCCTGATCACGGCAAGGAAAATTTTTCAAAGATTTATCCCGTCCTTATTCCGTCCTTATTAAACAGAGCTTTTCAGTTCAAGCACAGTCAGCGCAATTTCCGTTGATGTCTGCGTGGCGCTGGCATGGGGTGGATATCCTTATCAGGCGAAAACAAAATCGAGAGGGAAGCTTGAGGACCAGATGGCAGCTCACTGTTTTCCCTATTCGTGGACTACATCACCCATGAAGAAGTTACAATCGTGAACACGCCTCCTTGATGCCAAGATAGCTTCAAGCGGGTTTGGTGGATCCATCTAGTTTGGAAATGCTGGGCGGCTCAACGCCAGAAGTCGCACAACAACACCGCTGGCCTCCAGCTTTGGGGGAAAGAAGGATGCAGCAGGCCTGAGCAGACGGCAGCAGTGGACGGAGTTGATCTCTCAACCAATACAACGGATCCAATGGATAGATATATCCATCTATAGATATATTGGATCCATTCCATTGTGTTTGTCAATGTAGATAGGCGGGGTGAGGCACCCGAGTCTTTAAAAGGCAATCGATCTCCTATAAACCACCTCCATGTCAGTGCTGAGATAGTGGATGGATCAATTATTGAGAAAGCACGTAATAGTCATGTGCGCCTGCTAGGTGGTGCGTCGCAGGAGCAAGATCCTGCAATACCTCCGTAGACCAATCCTTCACCGAACCCTGGATGTAACGCAAGGATCGAAATCCAGGGTATAAATCCGTGGAGGGTTCTAAATCCAGGGTCTAAAATCCAGGGTCTAAAATCCAGGGTCCCGTGAAAATACATGATCATCCGAAAAGCCCCTCTAGGACATACGAAGCATTATTAAACCCATTAGATCCACAAGTTCCATAGACCTGAACGGGTTGCCATTAGTGTCATAATGGGTGCGAGTTCAAGTTAGCTAGCGTTAGCAACTTGACCATCTGGCTTCGTTGGTGTGATCCTAGTCCCCGAAACCCCCGCAAACATCTCAACCCTAGTGGCACGCCATTATCGCTTGGCCATTTTACAAGACAAAGAGATATGGAGAAAGAAGTATCGCAATTCTTCCTGCAGCGGGTCCAAGAGAAAACTGGGGTTGGCTTATGATCGGAAAAGGAAGTGGAAGAAGAAGGGGAAGAAGAAGACAAAGAAATGAATGAAGAATAAAAGGGAGGAGCACGAGGCTGAAAGCCTATCATGTGGTTCAAGGGGCGAGGATTAAACGAGATCTGCTAGAGTCGGATCGTGAGGGCAATGGATCCATCCATTCGCTGGATTCCCCGATTCGAGCCTGCCCAGCATCCTCAGACTGCACAGCGACACTGCACAGCGACCACTCCGTCCATTGAATTTGCCGCATCTGCCACGTGCAGTCACACTGACCTGATCTGGACCAATCCGCAGTATTCGCTTCTCGAGTGTGGGGAACAACGCCCACCACTCTAATAATATTGATCACATCACACCAACCAACAACGGATTCAAGACATCCTGGGAATGCATCGAATGGTCGACTCACCAATATTTAGCGGGACTCCAACATTTCATACAATGGATCTATAGTGTATAATCATACAATGGATGTATTGCGTTCCAGAGCGCAGTTTTGCTTTCTTCCTTTCACAAAGATCCATACGTAGATACAGCCCGAGCTGCTTTTCACGATGATCAGTTGGCTGCCATGAAGAAGGTAATATATACTACTCTCATCGCGATACCGTGCTTGTCCAAACTCGGATCAGAGCGAGAGGCGAGAGCGATTTCGAAAAGGAACATGGGCAATCCGCGCATGGGACAGACAGGTTCACCACGCCCTCTACTATGGAAACTATCGAATTTGATCAATGATGTGAGATGGATCTATTAAATCCACGAGCCATCGATACTGCTGATGTTCACCCACCCTTCCCCCACCCCCAGCTTCTTCGTGGCGCTGCGAGCTGGTCCGACTCAAAGTTTTCTATTGGCAGGCCTTGTCCGATTTGGACTTAACAACTCCGATCATTGTTGCCCCTCGGTCCTAACCCGTTTTTAAACCAATGAAGGATGAATAGCCATTTGCCGAGTGAGTGAACTTCGCCAAACCCCTGTCCTTATGTTGCGTTCGTCGTCCCAAGGACTTTTCCAGCATTCCTTTTGACCTTTTTCTTTCGGTTTCCCCAATATTCTCTTCGAAATACACCCGACGTATTATACTCCATTATATATGTGCCTTTTAATAAAGCCGCACCGCACATACCCCAACTGTACCTCCACCAGTTCATCGGGATGATTAGCGCTTATTAACGAGTCTGCTCATACCAGCATGTCGCCTGTCGCCATCTCTTTCCCAAGTCGAATGCGACCGATCGATTAACCACTTGCCGTTGCGCATTGCCATCCATCGACTTAACATTACAACCCCGCTACTGGTTCATTGGAGTTTCAAAGCTACAAGTCGGCCGTTTGAGTACAAGTACGGCCAGATCGCCCTTCTGATTTCTAGTACGAGACCTATTTGCTTGAGCGTGCTTCTGATCACAACTTCACCCTCTTCCCTCGCTTTCCCGTCACCTACCGTTTCCCTCCCCGTGATGCTGCTGTCTTGGCTTCTAAATCCTCCCACCCTCCACAATCTCCTTAATCTCACCCGAGCCTCCGCCCTCTAGGCATCACAAACATTACTGGGCTAGTTTTCTATGCATGGGCAACCCGTGGACCACTAGCCCTTTCCACGCTATTCACAACCATTTTCTCATACTCCTTAACCTGATTTGACACCTATCAACTCCCTCTCCACTCCTCCCCTATTCTCTACCTCTACGGCATCTGCTTGAGGGCGGCGTGGCTAGTCGTGTTCAAGATCCCCCGGCCCTCACCGTAACCAATATCCAACCTCACTTCCCCCTTCTCACCGCTCTGTGCTGCCCACCCATTCTGATCCTCAAAAACTCATGCCGTTCTCCGTCTCGCCAGCAGGATCTTCCTCGGCTTCTTGCACCATGAAGCGCCATCAGCAAGGCACACTTTCACAAAGAAGTTCGTTGGAGTCTACCGTATGCGACGACCCCTTTACTCAAATTCCTGATTTAGAAAGCGGAAGGCCTTTGTTGCGTGAGACCCAATCTAGCTTAGAGGAGCCCGACAAAGAGGATCACCTATACCCCCAAGAAGACGACGGTACCTTGGTGATTCGTGGGTATCGCGTCGGCCGTAGTACAGTCTTGTGTGGCGTCGTACTCATCTTTGGAGTGTAAGTTTTTGTTCTCCCTAAATCCTGGTCCCCACTCCCGCCGCTCGCTCGGCTTCCCCAAGACCCTGAGATACCTGCCCTTGATTTGTGTAAGGGCCCGCTTTCTCATGCCTAGCCACCGCAGCTTTATCTTTTCCATAGTGGGCCTCCCTACGTTTGTTGCGCGGCTCATCTATGCAGACTCTCTACGTCGACAAGCCCAATCCGATATCATGTCACTCGCACAACGATTACTGGCGCAGAGAGCCCCTGTTTTCCGCTCTCAAAACAGGCTGCGTGGGTGTAGAGGCCGATGTTTGGCTCGTGGAAGACGACTTGTGGATTGCTCACGAGCGATCAGACCTCAAGAGAGGTGTGACCTTTACGAGCCTGTACGTTGAGCCTCTTGTTAAGCTCCTCGAGCAACGGAACGGTTTCTTTCCTGGCAAAGGTTGGACACATTATGGGGTGTACGAGGACTACCCTGAACAGACCCTAGCCCTTGTCATCGACCTCAAGAGCGAGAGTCTTGAGACTTGGCCTCTCGTGGAGGCTCAGCTCCAGCCTCTCCGAGACCGAGGTTGGCTGACCCATGTCTCCGACGGCAAAGTGCACCCACGCCCCATCACCGTTGTCGGTAGCGGAGCCACCGACTTTTCCACCCTGAGGGCAAACACCACCTTTCGCGATTCCTTCTTCGACGCGCCTTTGAACGCCCTTGAGAATTCGCAATACGACGCTACCAACTCGTATTACGCCAGTGTCTCCTTCACCGAGTATCTAGGCCTCTCTCTGACGGGATTCCTGACGCCGACGCAACTGGAAAAACTGAAAGGAAGTGTTAGGGAGGCCCATGCTAGAGGTCTCAAGGCAAGATATTGGGGCGCTCCGGCCTGGGCTTTGGGTGTCAGGGGCCGGATCTGGAAGATCTTGTCCGACGAGGGCGTTGACATTGTGAATGTTGACGATCTACAGAGCTTCAGAGACTGGGCCACGGCGAGAACGGCGACGGCGGATATGCTCTAGGCGGGTCTGCCCCCTCATCCGTTAAAAAGGGGAGGAAGTAAACAACGAGCGAGAAGAGTGCACATGCGCCGGGGCACGCGATGGGTGGTGGGCTCCACGAACCTGCACAAGCAAGGAGGTGCCACTTCGGAAGGGATACTCACGAGCCTTGAACCGATGGAATGGGAGGAACTATTACATGATACCCACGGATACAATGAGATTTTTTTCCTGATCTTATTTCCCCATCTTCCATGAACGATAACGCTGGCGGGAAAACTGGCCAAGAATCGCCCATGATTTGCCAGATCCAGGGCTAGGAATGTGGTATGATACCGTCGGGCAAGCTTCCCCTCCCCTTACTTCAGCCTATGATGATGGGATGTAATTCTAAGCCGGGCTCCAGCCCTTACATGCGGCGATGGCCCAAGGGTTGCGGTCAGTCATGTAGACGACTCGGCTAGTGGAAGGGGTTGAGGTCGGGGTTGGGGCTGCTGCCTCACCCCCTTGCATAAACCCCTGGATATGTTTCTAGACGAGAAAAGGTTTGAATCAGCAACCAAACCATATGCATATCGCCCTCCTACTACATCTGCAAGGGATACGAAAATGACTCAAGCCGTTGCTCGACCGGGCCCTGAATAGATCCCTGGTCGGAGATACTGCATCATCCTCTTCAACCCCCAATAAACCCTTTGGCCTATTCCACCGAGTCTAGTGTCACCTGCGGCTCTCGGCGCCGCCTATCGAACCCTTGATCCGGGCGAGACAGGTGTGATGGGTTCTCTCGACGATGCCTAGTTTGGCATCCTCCAGGCTCGCCGCGCTCTCCCTTGCATTTTCTTTGTTCTCCTTGCCCCATTATATGCTAGCATGTAAGTGATCAATGCTCCCAATTTTTGACAGAAGGGGAAATAGGCTTCATTCCATCCAACCTCTGCTGCACTCGCTCGACCATGGATCTCCTTCCCCATTACCGGCGAAGGTGTGGGAAACCGGCGTTGAGAGACGAGCGGGGCGAAGAGAAGGGACAAACACCATCAAGGGAGGGAAGGGAAATGAATACCAAACAATGCAAGGATTATATCCTTGCCATTGAATGGAATCTTTGTTCTAGCATGAGGCCGAGGATAGGACGGGGAATGAGATGAAATGAGGCGTCTCTATGGCCTCGGGGTGCACACTCCCAGCCCTCTGGGAAAATCAACCATCCAAGGGATGGGAACTCTCAAGGGCAGGTAACCCCCAAGGACGTCTATCAATCCTCGGGAGGTGACGAGGACCTCAGCTATATAAAGGGTTCATATATCTCCCACTCTTCTGCTACTCTCTGGCTCATCACAACCATCATCATCACCTTCAAACCAATTCACTTCTCCAAAACAACTCTATCCTTCAACGCTCGCTCGGAAACTGAAGCTTCCTAGCTAAACCATCCGCCAACCCAAAACCACAAAAATGGCCGCTCCCTCCTCCAAGCCCGCTTCCTCCAAGCCTCAGAACCCCCAGGGCTCGCACGATAACTGCTCCGCCGTGGCCAAGCCGCAGTATTCTCAAGGCTCGTATCATAGCTGCTCCGTCATGGCCAAGCCGCAGTATTCTCAGGGCTCGTATCACAGCTGCTCCGTCATGTAAACACCCGGTCGCCGGGCGCCCCGCTGCTTTGCCGTAATGAGAGACCTAATTCCGACGGTCTATCGGTAAAGGGGCCGTGGGGCTGGGTGCGTAACGGCGAGCCGGATATGACCGCATGATCCGGCAGACCATGGGTACTTTTCACTCTCGCCACGCCTTCCACAACAATACGCACAGCTGCAGTCACACGGGAACCCAGTAGCCACACTCGCAACAACACGGTTACGGAGCCCTATTCCATTCGTGCGGACGACCCGGCCGCCATTAGCTCTTCTCTTCTTCCCTGGTTCGAAACCTCGGAGCCCTACGCTCAGGGTGTGTTCGGACCAGCCCTTCATCTACTTTGTCAACCGGATGCTTCGTTCAGGAAAAACACAGGGTTGGACTCATACGGCGCAAGCCCTTGTATTCGCGAGCACTCCTTTTGGCACTTTTGTACTCTGTATTTTTCCTATTGAATGTAATAAGAGGACCGGATGCGGAGGACGGAATATTATATACTACTACAAGGATATAAAATGAACTAAACAACCCAATTTTCTGGTCCCTTTTATATCCATTACTTGGTGAATAGTGATTCCACGAGGTCCCTTGACTGCTGCGTCCATCCACTATTGAATTTGGGTGAGAGAATGCGGAGAACATAGACAACCACTAGGATAGCGAACTGATACGAGGGTGTGCTGCTGGGAGTTGCGCGCCTGGACCGCGGTTGAGGATTGGGTTGCTTCAACTCTAGCTTGATGAGGCGATTCCCAACATCCCCTTTCCTAGCCCGGAAGAGGCTGGATAATTTTTATTTTGGAAATTTCTTTTTCTTGATACCACACCCGCTAAATCAACCCTGAATAGACGTATTGATCAGATATCACTGGAACTGCCTAAAAGCGTGTGATATTATAATATTTCTCTCCGACTCGGCATTGGCACTGGTCCTTTTCGGGATTCCTTCACCGCCTAGCCGACTTAGCTCTATGTTCCATTTCTTCCCCACTCTTCTGAGATGGAGAGAAGTTTGAGCGGCAGAATTCAAGCCCACCCAAGAAAAATTTCAGTCATGCTTTAGCAGCCTCTCCCTCCCTCTTGGAACAAGCCCGTGTGTTTTCCCCTCCAAAAAAAAAAGGAAGAGGCGTAGTCTGCAGCGAGGCCCTCATCGATTCCCAGGCTTTTTCTTATTTTCAGTTTTCTTTTACCCGTTTTTGGACCCCCTCTCGTTTTCTGGCCACTGCGCCTTGCTCCGAGCAGCTTTTAAGTGCGGAATCATGGTTACCAAGAGCAAGCTCAAGTTGGCTCTTGCCTACGACAAGGGTGTCGACTTTGCCCAGGTCAAAGAAAAACGGCGACTGAAAGCCCTCCGAAAGGTCAAAGGGAAAGACCAAAGCACACAGTCCGAGGTAGAGACTCAAACAGCGCTGGACGAGCATGGCGAAGATGGGTGGGAGGACGAAGATAGTGAGGGGAGCGCTGTGGAGCCTTCACTTGACATCGAGCGACTCGACGACAGTGATACTTCCGATTCGGAAGTAGAGATGGAAGAGCGGTTACCTCGGCCACCTAAGAAGATCACTCAGACAAAGCCCAAGGCGAACACCAAATCCTCAAAGAAGACGGCAAATTCGGAGGCCATGGTCACTAAAGATCACGGCGGTGAGGAAGAGGAATGGGATGAGGAAGGGGATGAAGACGAGGATGAAGATGATATCCCTGTTTCCGACCTTGAGGATCTTGCGGAGGATGAGAAGGACGACCTGATCCCCACACGCGCCTTACCATTAACAATACTACCGCTCTTCTGGCCTCGCTGAACCGCATAAGAATCCCAGTTGATTCGTCGGCGCTCTTTGCCACCCACCAGTCCATAATTTCTTCCACGCGCACCGCCGACGACATACCGAACGTTTCCGACGATCTGCAGCGTGAGCTCCAGTTTTACAAACAGAGCCGCGATGCTGTGTTGAGGGCGAGGGCCATGCTCCTCAAGGAAGGCGTCCCCTTTACCCGACCTAATGACGTATGTTCTCGGCACCCCCTCCTCTTCTAATACTGCGAACGTGCTTGCTTTACTAACACTGGCCTCCTTTTTCTTTTCATATCCTACAGTACTTTGCGGAGATGGTCAAGAGCGACGAGCATGTGGAAAAATCCGCCAACAGCTTGTTGAGGAAGCGACCGCCAAAAAGGCTGCCGCTGAAGCGCGCAAACTTCGCGATCTTAAAAGTTTGGCAAGCAGGTCCAGATTGCTAAGCTTCAAGAGCGGCAAAAGGCTAAGAAGGATTCCCTTGAGAAGATCAAGGCCCTCAAGAGAAGTGTGTTTCCATCGTATCCGGGTCACCCGCCCAAAGCCCAATACTTCCCTTGACAACCCGTATCGCCTTTCTAGCTAGTCTTGGGCTTGGCCACCCTAATCTCATTGAAACTTGCAAACTGACACTCTGGTCCCCACAACAGAACGCCAGGAATCTGGGAACGGCGCTACGCACGAGGCTGGCGACCTCTTTGATGTGGCCGTTGATAACGAACTAAGATCTCACGATAGCAAGCGTTTTAGAGGTCCAGGAAAAGGGGGTCGCTCGGACGAAAAAGCCCCTAACGCCAAGCGCCAGAAGAAAAATGAAAAATATGGCTTTGGTGGGAAGAAGCGTCACGCCAAGTCCGGCGACGCGTTTAGCTCAGCTGACATCAGTGGTTTCAGTGTTAGCAAAAACAAGGCTGCATTCAAGGGTGCTGGTGGCAAGGCCAAGCGGCCAGGCAAGGCAAGGAGAAAGGCAATAGCCGGGAGGAATTAGGGAGTGTGCGTTTGAGAATTTTTATCGCAGTTTGGCTCTATGTCTGCCTGTTTTTATATTGATTTGCCGGGTATGTCGACTCGGCCTACGAAACACCTGTGCCTAAAAGAAGTCGGAAATCCATGCATGAGACAACTAGACAGGTGTAGAGGATTACTTTTATGTTCTCAAGTCTACACTAGGAAATATTCATTAGGTATGGTATGGGAAATTGCTTTGAAACTGGGGATAAGCCGCGAAAGAGAAACGGCCTTCATATCGATACATTATCATTCGTTCCACGTTAAAAGCACGCCACGTTGGTGGACTAAAGTTCATGGATAATGGAATGGCGCTCTCCTTAGTTGTGTGCTAGACACCTTCGCTGCTTCGTGGCCTTACTCCTTACTTGGCCACCCCCTCGCCCTTCCAGAGAATGTTTCCCTGACCACCAAGCATCCCAGTTAGCACACTTCTAATTAAACTGGCGTCGGCAGAGGAGTAGCTGGGGCTATTCCTTGAACTCGGCGCATCGGGCGATACTATTTGAGGTAGCTGAGTATTGTGCTACTCCTTCTGGAGGTAAGCGCCCTGAGCACAGCGCAACAAACCGAAAAAAACGTGAAAATAGGGCGAGATGAAAGCCGGGGTGATGAGAAAGAAAACAAGACAAAAGCAATCTGCCGCAGATGATGATATGATGACAATAACAATGATGCTGTTGTAAACGTCCCAATGCCAAGCCGTGTATGCTGGAAGACCGGGTGGTATCGAAGAAAGAAACGCCGCAATGATGAGATGTCAAGAAAAAGCTAGGTATGAAAATAGCAAGGTAAAAAGGGAGGGGATGCAGGAACCAAAAAGGGGCTCAAGCGGTATAGTGAGAAGCGCCCCAAGGCCAGCAAAGCAAAGGGCTTTTTGACACACGGCATGCAATATGTAGCATGGGAGCTTTGGAGAGCGGCATGTTTTCATGACACGACTCCTTGAGATATTGAAGATGATAAACCCCTTCATTGTTGCTGGTTTGATCCAGCTGCAATGCACCAGTGGCGATGGAAGGCCCATGCGCTCTTCTGGCATTCCTTGCTGCAGTACTTGGTTCTGCGGCACCGTCGGCATTTAGCGAACTGACGCGTATATTCCTCCCACTTTCCGCACTGGTAGTAGGCACACTGCCGGATACCGCCTCTTGTGTCATCCTTTCTGCAGAGGTTCCTCATAACCACGCCTGCCCAGTATTGCATATCTTGGCTGTGGTATCTGACTGTGAATTTCTCCACAAGGGGGAAGAGATTGAAATCATCAGGAAGAAGGTACTCCTCCTCAAATTGCTCGTCTTCAAGAGGCCCGGATGGAATGTCCTCGCCATCTAATAGATTGATCTCTTTGCCAATCCGCAAACGTGGGACGAGGTGACTTTTGAGGAAGTAAGACCGCAAGGCGCAGTATTTAGAGACATATGCTAATAACTGGAGGGACATCATGACATCCTCCTCACGTGGCATAGCTGCAAGCATTTGTGTATTTGGAACGAAGTGGCGGTCGAGGAGATAGCGAGGGATTCCAGTGTTGGGCATGACTGGTTGAGGAGGAGTTGTGATCACGGGCCGGTTGGGGCTTAGACCAATAGCCGGAACAGGAGCCGTCGTGGGATTGGTGATACTCCCATCTACAATGGGGCCACGGTGGGTGATGTTGAAAGCGCCAGCCTCTTGGGTCTCTGATGCTGTTGGATTACCAAGATCTAGCGTGGTTGCTGCGAGCATACTCTCACCCTCTTCGCCCATGGTGATGTCTTGGATACCAACAGGTGCCTGGATGTCTCCTGCCCCCGACATGTCGGCATCCGGTGCCTCATCGGATTGCATGCTGTCACCGCCCATGTCGTCTGTTTCGGCCGTTGAATTTTGGTGTCGGATCGAGGGACGGCGACGGGAGCGACCGGTGGGAGCAAGTATTGATGTTGGGCGAACGGTTGGCGACCGGATTTGTGGGGGCGGGAGAGGAGTCGTAGGAGATGTTGGTTGTGAAGTGAAGCCTGCCTGGCTGAAGATAGTTGTCCGTTCAATCGCCCGAGCCCATCGGATCCTTCCGCCGCGGGTGCAGTGGACGAAGACCCGGCTGAGGCCAGAGGCTGGATGATGGGGCGGGAGGGGTAGAGATGGCCCGATGACCGTCACCGGAGCGCGGCGCATTGTGCCGCGTATGCAAAGAGCTGGCACCACGGTCAGCCGACGTAGTCCGAGCACGTCGGTCAGGGACGGTGTCTTCGGCCAAGGTGTTTGATGGAGAGGATGAGGAGGCCTGTGAATGATATGTTGCTGTGACATTGAGCGATGGAGGGGGCCTGGCGTCGAAAGGCTCGCTGGTCAGATTCAAGCTGATGGGCACGGTTGGTAAAAGAGGAGGCTTTTCGATGCTCGTGACTTCTGTGGCGATGATCATCAATGTGTTTTGCTTCGCCTCCTCCGCCTTCTCACGGCACTTCTCGACAACTTTGATATAGTTATCTAAGATGGTGGCGATGACAGGGACCATGTCCGCTTCAACAACACGAGTCCTGACGGCTTCCGAGCCCCGGACGCCAATATTGACCACGCATTGGAAGGCAAGATTCCATTTCCACATGCCCATCATGTCTCTGCTGCGGCCCTGTTTGAGAATACATATCAACCTTTCAATTCCCCGTCAACCGTAAGAATATCACGGATACGAGCAGAGGAGGTGGTGAGATAAGCGAGATGATTGAGGGAGTTGATCAGTGGTAACGTTGATGTGCAGTCTAGGGCTCGACGATCGTAGAGGGCGGTTGTGATGCCCACCGACGCCTTGTTGACATTCGGAATGCTAAAATTGACCTCCCGCATCCTGACTAAATCCGGGCGAATGTAATGTTTCGGGGATGTAGATGGGATGAAGAAAGAGGCTGGAAGGGCGGAGTTGGTATTGCAGAGTTTTGCTCAGTCCTGCGACCCAAGGAATAACTGTGATGATATGACCCAAATGCTCCGATCGCCCCTTCCTGGGGAAATAGAGATTTGAGATGTGCAATTCGAAAACGAAATGCGTTGCGTACTGATAGTTTGAAGCGATGGCGAATGGGAGATGATCGTCGAGTGGACTAGGCGGCGTGAATTTCGGTCGAAGGGACGGGGTCGAGATCAAAGGAATCGCTATTTGGTAAACGACAAGTCATCAAAAGTCGAGATTGTTGATGGAGATGGGATAGGCAAGGGCGAAATGTCGAATTGGTAATCGAATAGGAGAAGTGTAGGAACCTGATTTCAGACAGCAGGAAGAAGAAAGGACAGATAAAAAGGCCTGTGTGAGCAAGGAGGGAAAAAGGCGTGATGTTCAAGTGTACGAATGAGGGGGTTTGGTGAAGGGAAGTTGGAGGCGAAAAGGTAGAAGACGGTTGAGGATTTGGCGTTTCAGGCAACGGAGCGCAGGGCAGGGTTGGCACTCAAGGAAAAGTACCTAATTTCTGGGTGTGAGTCTCCCCACTTTGGGGACTCCGTGGCAAAGAGCGATCTATTCAACTATTAGAACCTCCATCCATCCATTCTATTGTATTGATAGTAGGCGTCTCCAGCGCGGCTAAGCACCGGAAGACGGTTCTAGCTTGGCTTTGTCACCCATCAAATCATCAATAGCCAACAACCCCATTGTTTTTGCGCCATTCCGTGGCTGCGTGAAGGCTGAAAAGAATGTGGGACTGAATAAGAGGGATAGATTGATGTTAGCAACCAGAAGGGATGGCTAGAACGAGAATTTTCGAAAACGTCAAATGCTCAATTGGGGGAAATCTGAGGTTACTTAGTAGATTCCGCCTGGTTTTATGCATCAAAAACGTTCAATCAGTCTGTAAGAGCTACCCATTGATTTAAGATCTCTCAATGTTCCTTCTTGCTCGTCACCTTTTGGGGTGGAGTCCAAGGACAAATCGATGGGGGTGGGTTAGCGGGTTGTCGACTGGCTAAAAATCAAGCTTCTTTGTCTGGACTAGCAGACCGCGAACGGTGCTCAAGCAAGGCGCATTTGTTTTCTTTTTCCCTTTTTCTTCTTCCCCCCTCCAGGCAAGGGGGTATGGTCTGGGTGGCATTATTTAATTTTTATTTTATTTATTTTGCAGCCCCTGAGCTGTAGATATTCATGAGAAAGCCACACCCACCCCTTGCCTATTCTCTCCGAGTAAATCGTTATCTTGGCCTCTTTCTCCCTCTCCGCCCTTCAAGACAAGCTAGGGTCTCTCCCCAACAGTGATCATCCTTATCTGTTGTTGGCGTCAATCTACATTACTGGCTAAGGGCGGCTTGAAAAATCCGGGGCTGGTTGAACGTGTAAATTTCTTTTGAGGTTGGGGCGCTGAACTGGATGTGCGGAGGCCCTGAACACCAAATCCCTTTGCCTAACCAACCTCGTGCAGCCTCCTAACTGGCTCGGTAGGTGATGGAACAACCCGGCTTGTCACCCATCGGTGGGACCTCTGCATACATACAAGTACGTTGGCACTTTGGGCATAAACCCGCCTTCAGCGGAGTATGCCCGTCCAGAAACGGTTGGACAAAGAGGAGCGGCGTGACTGATTAGCACAATCCTTCTTTTTCCAGCTGCTTTGATAAAAACATGAAGATGGCTAATCCAAAGTTGACCAATGGTAGGCATTTATAAAAGAGTGATGTTGGGGGGGTTCCATGCTCAGCTTTTGCGTGATTAGTAAGACGGAGTGTCTTTTTCAGTCTCGCTCCAGGTCTCACCTGTGCCACAAAATTTGGGTGCATCAGCTGCTTCGGATCCGAAGTCATGGCAACAGGGGGCTCCGATGCGACCAGTTGTTGTAAGCATCACTTTCTCGCGATATGGGAGGCGAGAAACATAGTCGCCGGGTTCCTTTGGAGAGGGGGTCAAAATCTCCCTTCAGTTTCGGTTGTTTCGGACCTGGAGCTCTAGTGCCCGAAACCACATCATTCCAGTGACTTTAGACTCGGACCACCATCCGTTGCATCAATTAGTCAATACACCATTTTAAAGAGGGTTTCTCCTTGTTATTTTTGAAGGAATGGGAATAGATTATATAATGAATAGAAGCATAATCCTACCTCTTGTGAAGAGGATAGACGGACTAGTCTTCCTGGGCCCGAAAAGCCAAAGCAACACAAGATATTGAATACCTTAATCAAGCCAATGTATCGTTAAAGGAAAAAAAGTGCCTCATCACCTGCTGAGCTTGTAGCCGAAGGCGACACCCTTAGGCTTAGAGACAGTGACTCTAGTCACCAGAGATCTTGGCGTGACGGAAATATTTCATCCCGACCCATGCGACCATGACCCAAATCCACGCCATTACACATGTTAAGATCAGCAAGGCTGGGTAATACCCAACTATGGGTAAAGTTGGGTCATCTTCAAGTTCTGGCGGGGCATATGGCGTGGTGCCTACGTCCCAGGCCCAACTCCAGACACCAAAGCAAGACCCCATGCCGGTAACGAAAACGAACCAAGTGACGATCAAGACAACCCAACCCCAAGTTTCCGTCTCTCCATAGTCCCAGTCTGCTCCCGCGGATGTAACGGATGTTGTTGCCAAACCTACGGTTGAGTACGAAAGCGGTGTCCTCGCGATCTGACTTGGCGGTCTTGTAGAAGTAGACTTTCGATTAGTGAAGAACGAGTCGAGGCCGGAGGATAGAGACATATTTAATCGATAACTAGAAGTTGTAGGTTGAGGCATATGCAACCCTTCATCCTCATCTGTCGTCGAGGCTGATTTGTAGGATAAAGCTGAGTTAGCGATTGGGGTTGGTGTTAGGCGAGGTGAGTCTTCTACCGTGGCTCCTTGGGCTATAGCATCCTCATCATTTGAGCCATAATCTTCTGGGTCGTCTAGTGTTGGCCAGGGAGTGACGTCTGATGCTTCGCTTCGACAATCACTGTCGGAGGCAGGAGGCAAGGCTAGGCCGCCACGGGCGTCCCGGCCACATTGGGAGTGTCGGGGACCGCTTATGAGGTCCTCCATCACGTCCAATTTATCCTTAACAACTTCTCTTCCGAGAACCGCTTTTCTGAGGGATTTTCTCCGTGAGGTATTCTGTTGGGATATGTGGCGTGTAGCTGTTCCGCAGGGTATCCGTTCCGAGCTGGCATATTCCGTCATCCTGGCCTGCCCGGTAAGGTCGGATGAGCGCATGATCCGGATTCGTTAGCGGATTATTTCTATGGTTGGGTGCCTTTCAAAATAGCTCGTAGACTCGACGGATATAAAGGCTATCACTTGGTGTGGATGTTGGTGACAGTGCTTTCGGTGAAGGCTATCGTAGAATGTATGAAATGAAGCCTTGCATAATCGACAGACGTTGGAAACGAGCTACCGTATGACCAGGGACCAACGAGGCCCACCCTGTTGCGTTAGCCGGATGCGTTATCCAACTCCGACAGGTCATATATTATTATAGCACTGTATTATTACCTACTAGCACTCGTGGCCTGAGTGAAGATACAGGTCACTGAGGGACGGCCTTGAGGCCCACCAGAAGGACCCGTCGGCTTGAAGAATCAATATACTCTCGGACGAGAGTATATTAGATTTTTCGCCGATGTCTTGAACTCGGAACTCCGGGAAAAATAGGTTGTGTTCGCATTCTATCACTCAGGCATTGCGGATCTCCACAGAATGTTTTGTCGAGCTGGCAGGTTTATTGACGCGGGATTTTATAGTAAAGCTGAGCAGAAGAGCATAGCTCCGTCACTATCTGAGAGTAACAGCACGTTGATCTCCAGGTCCCCTACTATGTGGTCGCTTACGGCGGCCACGTGACATTCCCAGTGATGCCCGGCAGTAATACCGAGTGCTGTCGTAGGTATTGCACAGTGCGCCGGTGATTGGGTGGTTTCTCCAGTGATCCCTTCTCCTAAGTAAGAACTTCATATATTACTCATACCACACACCACCCTAATATAAAAACCACACTAAAATAAAATCATACTAATAAAATAGAATTTTTTATAACTTAGCTATATTAGCTTTATTTATTATAAAAGTAAAATATTATTATATATATTTCTTTCTCTATTTTATAAAGATATAAAGTTTTTTATAGAAAATCTAAGTAAAATATTAAAATTAATTTAACTTAAGTTAAAAACTTAGATATTTTTAAAAATAATATCTTAAATATAAGAATATCTAAACTCCTTTAAAATATATATATTATCTATTAGTTATTCTTAATATAAAAGAAAAAAGTAACTACTAAAGATTTTTGTTATGCTAAAGCTCCCTGGCAGCTGCAGCCTATAGGTATCAGCTGAAGATCACCCGATGCCTATATGATCACCATCTAGGATCTAGGAAGATATAAAGGGGTCATCTAGTAGATAGGTAGCTAGGAAGGTAGAACTATCTTACTTACTTACTTAGTTCTAATACCTAGCTTCATCTTAATAGTGACTATGGTATTATGTAAGCATGTAATACCATAGCGACCCTTGAGGATTAGTAACCCTCGTAGCCACCAAGTGATCACCCGATCACTTTAGAGATACCACTATCTCTCTAACAGCTTCCTGACAGCTCAGTTGTCAGCAAGCTAGTTGGCACGACCCTTTTATTATAACAATTTTATTTAAATTAAATATATATTTTATAAGATAAATATTAGCTTAATATATCTTTTGAAAATTAGAGAAAATTATAATCTTTAAAATTAAAAAGACCTTTGGAAAACTATATTTTATAATTTATAAAATAATTTAAAATAATTATTTTAATATTATTTATTTAGTAATATCTACTTTTAATTTTCCTCTTCTATATATATTATTTTTAATATAATAAAATATATTTATAAAATAAGAGATATCTTTATTAAATAGAGAAAAAGTCTAAATAATAATAATATATTCTTATAAAATTTAGCTGATAACCTCGGTAGAGATATATCTTATTTAATTTTATTAGTATGATTTTGTTTTAGGGTGGTTTTTATCTTAGGGTAGAGAGCACTACCCCTGCGGGGTGGTGTGTGGCATGAGTATTATAGGCGTCTGCGAGCCAAGGAAGACACGCATCGAGCCACTCAGGCCTAATTGCTTGGCAAGTCCCTATCCTGAAGAAGCGAAGGAACTATTATCTATAAATTATTATCGTGTGTCTAACTACAACTCCCGATCCAACGACTTCTTATCTCTTACGCACACAATTTATGTCAACGACCCACCTTAACACAAGTAGGTCGCCACCGTCTGGTGAGAAGCCCCTTTCCCTCTCTTGAGCGCTTGCTGGATTCTTTTATTAGCTGCAGCCAGCGCCAACGCGACTAATTCCCCACATGGCAGTTCTGGACCGAGGCCACAAGCACCCCATTTCCGTCACGCCTGTGCCGGGTCTTCATGGACTCAAACCCTGTTCTCACCTTACCCTCGCCATCCCCTTCAACGCCGATTATAGTCCTCCCGGCATCCAAAGAAGAAGAAAACGCACCCGAGCCCTCGTGGTTCCCCACCGCCCACGCCCCCAACCTTTTCCTACAGCCGCCCCCAATGGCTAGGAATGAATCCGAAGATGTTGCCGGGTCTGCGGTCCTGAAGAACCCCTTCAACTTCCAGACTCAAGAACTCTCCACTTCCCCGGTTAAACCTGTGAGTTAACATCCTCCTCTCTTGTACTCTTTCGGTTTATGCGGTGTAGCACGAACTGCCTACCTATCTCTAACGTGATTCATAGAATATGGGTAATGTAGGCCAACGCCGGGGCCATAAATATAAACATAGCAGCATCTCTGCCCAGCATCAAATCTTCCAGGAGCCCCCTCCACGACCCCGCCGATCTTACCTGCATCTCTTCCCGTTCCTACCGCTAAGGAGGCATGGCGGAGCATGTATCACGAGCAGCGCGTGAGGCTATATTGGTGTCTGTGTCACCTTGCTGTCGCTATATTTATATTTTTCCGGTCTGAAGGATCTCTCGCCCTTACTGCGTTGTCGCACCTTGTATTCTTCGATGCTGGGAGTGCGGCCATCTGCGTAGCTGTGGATGTTTTGGGTAACTTTGAGGTTTGGAAGCGCAGCAGCATACGCCACCCCTTTGGCCTGGAACGTGCTGAGGTATTGGCAGGATTTGCCTTATCTATATTCTTACTTTTTGGCGGATTTGATCTGGTTTCTCATGGCGTCCGTCACTTTTTGGATGTAGAAGGTTCTCACACATCCCATGGCAATGGCAACCATGATAGGCATGGTCATGGCCACAGCGACGGAATTATTTCAGCAACTAGCCTCACCTGGGCGGCTTCTTTATCGATTGTTGGAACCGCAATATCCGCCTATGGCCTTAGGAATCACGCTCGCATTGCCAAGGTGATGCGTGTTTCCTATCTCGCATCTATGCCGCGCATCCTTTCGAGCCCTTTTCACATCCTCACGCTCTCCTTTTCCCTTCTCCTGCTGATCCTCTCCTGCTTTTCCATTCGGTATTCACAAGGGCTGGATCACCTCATTTGTGCAGCCATTGCTATCTTCATGTTTGGCCTTGGTCTTCGCCTGGCAGTCTCGCAAGGCTTGATGCTGTTGATGTCATATGGAGGTAACAAGAGTGTGGATGGTGTTATTAAGGAAATCGACGCTGATCCTGGTATCGGCCACGTTGAAGAGGCTCAGTTTTGGCAAGTTCACTATGGTCTAGGCATGGCTAACCTCAGGATACGCGTCCCGAAAGGTTCTGATGAGGGGGCCTTAAGCCGGCTCCGGCATCGGGTCGCCTCTCTAGTACAAGATCGACTCGGCGAGGGCTATGGCCAGGGAGGTAGCCTACGATGGGATGTGACGGTACAGATGATGACAGATGCCCATATATAGAGCGAAGCACTGAAATATGGGTATTCAAGGGGTTCCTGCGGTGAATTCCCATTCTCTTCCCTACTATTATTCAGATCTAAAGTTAATTGCTCGTTGTACTTGTTGGGCCACGGTTATGAGCTACACTATCATGGTATCTTTAATGTGTTATATTTGAATGGGTCTCTAGAGGGGTATCTTTCTATCAGATCTAGATTCTTCGAGCGCCTCGCACACATTCTATTACCCGTGTGAGTCACACCCGTATTAGCATCGAGTTCCACGGGAGAGGCCATGAGCGTCGCAAAGGCGACATGTCCAACTAGACACCTAAAATGCAAGTCACTGGTTGACCGAACGGGTAAATCTCTACTCTATACTCACTTCGAGACGAATCTTGATCTACGCTCTAACTCCTTAGACTCCCTCCGCCTCAAGTTATTCATCTTTTCCAGGGCCTTCTCTAGTAGCTCCTTCCGTCGGATCATCTCTAGATGTCGACGAACCTTAGGTCTCTCATAGCAAACCTTTCAACTTCTTCATCGGAGAGCTTGCGGCCAATATTGACATCAAGGGCGTGAGACATGTTGCCATAAAACTCAGAGAGAAGTTCCACGTCTAAGAACAGAACCGAGGTGGCCGTGAGCTTCCTCGCGACTGCATCCAGGAATACTTCTGGACAGTAGATTTTGTTCTTTAAATCTCCACACTGTCTCGACTTCACTGCCTTCAACCGCATAGCTATCATTTCAGCCCGGTCCCGAAGAAATACCGCCTTTTTGCCTAGAAAGGGAGTGTGTCTGTTAGTCATAGGGATGGCGAGAGTTAGGTAGCGATCAAGTCCAACGTACCCTCTGCTAAAAGATCGGCGCTGAAACCACCCGCACCGGTTCGGCTTTCACTGTCGCCATCAACGATAATCTCGCCGCGCCGCGACTTGTCAACAAATGACATTACATCTTTAAGTTTCCGCCATCCACCGACAGAACTTCCCACATCCTTCAGCGCCGACTCGCAAAGCTTAAGTTCCTTCTGAAGGAGAAGGATCGAGTGGTCTTTCCCTTCCCTCCACTCACGATCGTCGATGCTAAGTCGGAATTTATATGGTTTGATCGCATGTTCCACACCATCCACTGTTGGATAAAACCGCTCATTTAAGATAGAAGACGCCGCCTCAATTATTGCCCTTCTAGCGAGTGGGTTGTCTTTGAAACGGGATTCATCGACTAAGCCAACGAAATGCGATTCTAGAGCCTCCTTCAGCGCAACAGTTGATAAGTGGCCCACTCCACACTCTGTTAGAGCAGAGGAGGAGGCGTCCAGCTGCCGAGTCCAGTAAGGGGAGTCCGGATTGGCCTTGGGTAGCTCCGCTAGTGAGCTCTCCGAAGGCTCGGGCGAGACAGGGGAAAGATCCCTGATAGGTTTATTCCAGTATCTTGCTGCTAGCAAGTCAAGAATCTTCTGATCCAATTCATTCTTAAGTAGCTCCTGCATTTGAGGTATGCCAAAAGAATCTTTGAATGTTCTAAACGAGTGCTTGAAATCATCGAGACACTCAGATAGGTAGGTTTCTGCAGAGATGGGTCTATCATTGAATTGGGACTTGAACTTATAGGCGGTGTCCTTGAGCTCTCTTTCAATCGCCTCGCCGGTGGTTCGAAGACTTGCCGACATCGTTTGCTCGAGCACATCAATCAACTTCTTCCTCAAGACGGTGGTTCCGGTGCTCACACCAGCGTTTGGGCCAAACTGTTCCGTGTGAGATGAGAAAAATGCATCCTCATTTTTGGCTATAGCGGTCATGAGATTGCTTGGGCCCTTCTTGAACAGCCCAACGGTTTGCACTGGCGCTTTGGAAACGACCCCGACATAACCAAGACGTAATGGATATTGCCTATCCTTTAGGATGGAAGAACCGCGAACAGGCTCCACAAGGTCCATTTTGGTGACAACACCGATGGTTCGTTCGCCTCTAGGATCAACTCGACGGCTCGCCCTTAGAGCAGTTGAATTGGCAAGATCCACATCGGCCGCGGAGACCGCCAGGATGACGTTAGGTGCCTTTATATACTTATCACATAGCTCAGATATCTTTTGCTTCAATTCCAGGGGTTGATTTTCGCCAACGACTTGGATATAGCCAGGCAAATCGATCAGGGATAGATCGGGGACATTGGGGGAGTAAATAGACAATCTGATGGGGTCGTCTGAGACACAGATAGAGTCTGGCACGGCTTGATTTAATTCCGTTAGTGTCCGTTGGACTGATGAGAAGTCGGTAATTCTTCTTAGGCCCAGGTCAGGAAACTCGCCATAATCAATGGCCGAATCAGGTGTGTTGACAAGGGTTAACTCAATGGGCCTCCGAGTAACCATGTTTGAGCCTTTGGGAAGGAATTCATGCCCAACAATTGCCTCCAGAACTGAGCTCTTCCCTGAGGACTGTGACCCGATCACAACGATTGAGGGTAGCGTGAGGCTGCTCGATTGCCCAACTCTTTGGAGGATGTTTCGAATTTCAATCATTTCTTTGGTCAGTGCCATCATCTGGTCATCCCGATCGATCATAGCATCCGTAGCATCATCCTGCGGCACCTGGTCGTAGAGTAAAGCCGTGCTGGCAACTGTCGCAATGCCAGCACGGCTTTGCTTTGGAGGCTTTTGTCCACCATTCTGATCTTCATTGTTTGAATTTTGAGGCGGGGTATGAAGCATGCCCTGCATCCAATCACCCATAGTCCCTCTCGCATCATCTCTGGTCCGTTCGAACCCTAATGCCGTTTGCTTTGCTATATCTCTTGCACTCTCAAAGAACCCAGTGGCGGTATCGGTAACAACTTCTCGAGTATTATTCAGTACGTTCACGGCGTAATTTCCGGCCTCTGATGATACCGTTAGCAGCAGGATAACAAGTACTGGACCCAAAAGCCTCACGGATTGTCTGGTATTGGACCCAGGCGAATGCTCCCACAGCCACGCCGCCAAACATTGCGGGAATGCGAATGAATTTGGCTGCTAGCTTTGGTAAAAACCGGGCAAATGATGCATTCCTTACTAGGACTGCATTATGGTATGCAGTAAGTTTTGCAGGCCCAGCGCGTCTCAGAGGGGTCGGTCGTAGGAGAGTCGGCAGTGTGCCGAGGCGCTGGACCTGCCGGGCAAGTATGCGCGCACTCATTCGGTTCAGGAGAGCACGATAAAAACGGAGAGAGGCGAGCTTGAGATATAGGCGTGAAGGTTTCAACACGCCCTTTCAGGGCGATTTCTTGATAAATAGCCAAGTCAATAAGACGGCATCAATATTGATTTAGGATATTAGAGATTGTACTGTTGATAGTGACGCGAGAGGGGAGGGAATGAATGATATGAAGAGTTGAGGATGGAACGCTGAGGTGACGCGATGGAACTGATGATGTCGCGGGGAACTTACCTTGGAGATGTTGCTAACACGTGCCGTCGCCTCTTCCTCGGAAAATGATAATGCATCAACGCTCCTTCTGTTAAGTGCATATACTTACTTGTACCGAGATATACCACTCCCAAATGATGCTAACAGTCCCACCTCCAGAAGAAAAAGTTCTCCCAACACCATTCAACCCCAAAATCCATAAGATGCCACACAAACACACACGGAAAGGGACCGATCCCACCGAGTATGTCCTTCTCTATTTCTTATCCTAACCAGGCACTAGACGGAAGCAAAATTGCCTAACAGCGTGCTTATACACAATAGTTATGATCTTCCCCCAACCAAAATAGCAAGCGCACTGGCCCCGCTCTCGAGTCGCAGCCGCGCTGAGACAGGGTCGGCCATCGCGCCCAAAAGTAATAAGCGAAAGAGGCCACGCGGAGGATCCAGGACGGACGATGCCCCTCGGGCTTTCAAAAGACTAATGGCCTTTGCGGCTGGCAAGAAATTCGCGCCAGGTTTGGATAATGGCGATCGAGCAAAGCCGAAGAACTCGGAAACAAGAGTGAAGAGCACTAGCACTATGAATGAAGCTAAAAAGGAAGATGAATCGTTCTCTGCGCCCTCAATACGGCCTGGGAGTCATTATCTGACTTTGCCGCCCGGTCGACGCAGCGATTCCGATTTCAGGGCTCATTGTGAAGACGACCAAAGGGGAAAGGATCCGTTAGGCCTCAAAGTATACCGGACATTAAAAGAAAAGAAGATGCACAGACTATACGATCAATGGCGAGCAGAGGAGCGGAAAATTCAAGAACGCCGTGAAGAACAGCTTGAGCTAGCAGCCGAGCAAGAAATGGAGAACGGGACTTTACTTTCGAACTCGGGTCTCGATCTGTCTGACGGCTGGCATGCCAACGTCCAAGGAAGCAAGGGGAAAAAGAAGCGCAAGGGGAAAAGAACTTGTGCCGAAACGAAGAAGATCCCTGGGAAGAATTAAGGCGTAAACGTGGAGAAGATAAACCCAGGTTACGAGATGTCGCACAAGCTCCCCCATCCTTCCCAAAATCTCAGCGAAGCTCACGATACACGAAGAAACCCGACATTAGCTTTCCTTTCTACCGCGGTACAGGTGCATGTTCAATTGTGTCCAGTAGTGGCTATTGTCTAGCGCTAGCTGTTTTATATTATAGCCATCTCAATCTTGTTGAATAATTTTGGCAGTTTCAAGGATTATTCTGTGTCAATTAATGCTGAACTCACTAGAGCTGTCTTCACAAGATTGTTTGCAAGGATCTCGATTAGTCATTGTCTTTTTGCTACTAGGTAATAAAGTTTCGTGACTTGGGATGAAGCTGAAAACCCCACGAGTCCTTCCCGCTTTCGATCCATCTCTGAATTGACCTTTTTATTCTTTTCCTTACATTTTTTCACACTTGCTACACCTGATGATGCGAACCGCAAATTACATCCACGATGCGCGGGAAACACCTTGAGAGCTCCATAGAAGGCCTAATATTAAGAATCGCGTGTTCCGGATATAAAGGTGAGTCAACCCCAAACAGTGCTTCTCATCCACCGGTCATCCTTGATGCCTGCCCATAACACCCCGGCTCATTCACCCATGTGAAGAGCTTGTATAGAATGTAAATTGGTAAACTAGCCGTTGCACAAAGATACTACCCCCACACCAAGCTAAACAAGTTGCATAGTTCCAGAACATGCCCGGAGATCACAGCTGACTGACTGGATAAACCAGGCTGTTCCATACAGGACTTTCTTACTACATTGTTATCACTTTCAAATGATGCACGGCACTCTCTCAAGGGGCCGAAGGACAGAGCAGCAGAGCCTAGCGACAAGCAATGCTCCCCCAATGGCCACGCTTGTGACGGAGGGAAATAAGAGCATATGGTGCTGGATCACCGCCCGACCGGATGTATCTGTTGGTCACAACAGAGAATGGAACCATCTCAGCCTTGACCAACTGCTTTCAATACTAGAGTATGACATTCAGCTACCCACAGCTGAGCCCGTTCACGCACAAAGCTCCCCGCCAAGCCTTGAACCCACTTTAGATTTATCCCTCCCGCCTGTCAGGCCGAGACTCTATGTCAGTGAAAGCAAGATGTGGAATTGCTTAACAGGCCATGGTGTCGACTATCAGAAAGTCACCAAATTTGAATGGCTAGCACTTGTGGGCATCGCATCGGTGATGGAGGAGGGCATCCTCCAAGGTGACCTCACGAGGCTGGTCAGCCAAGACAAACGCTCACTACCAAAACGAACCGATGCGTTGGCTCGGAAGGGATACATTGTTAAGAGGCCAATATTAGCACGTGGTTGCAAGACAAGTAAGCTTTGGTTAAAGCCCTTCGCTCCCTCTGTTCAAATCCAGAAGCATCCAACCGAAACGATAACGGAGATCTGCAACGCTGATTTTCCGCGCGATGCTATTGTCGGCGATCTTGAACCTGTCCCTTGGCGCCACCACTGGTCAGGAGACACTATCGATTACGCTACGCTCGGCCGGTCGATTATGGGCGTTGTCAAGGAATTTGGTGTTATACGATATCAAGACTTGCGCATGAAACTAGGCGTCGCTGGACATCCTTGGCAGATGAAGGTTGTAACTCGCACTTGTCGTTTCTTCATCGAACTCGGTCTGTTACAATACGTGACAGCAAGTATGGGAAACCGGATCTTTCGTGATTGTATAAAGTTCAAACGGGACATCACACCAGATGACCTAGCTATATTTATCTCCGGTGGGGTTCGGCCTTCAAGTTCGGAAACAATCATGAGCCCAAAAGCTCACCACAAGAATGCCCAAGGATAACTCTATCCAGTCTAGCCCCGCCGAAAGGTGGTGCCCAGAAAAACCCCTGACAATCGCTGTTCTTGAAACCATTCTCTCTTCTGGATCCGGCGGTATCACCAACAAGGGCCTAGCTTTCAATACAATCGGCGTCTTTTTGAGAGGCACATTTCGGCCATATCTACTGCAGTCTCTCTCAAAGACATCCAACCCAACCACCTTGGCCAACTCAGCGCCCGGAAGGAGCATTGCCGCAGCGGCCGCTTTGCCTTCTATAAATTCTTTCCAGATATTCACCCCGATCACGGAGGCCTGTCGTCCGAACGCCCCATATCGGCAGGTGCAAGAACCCCGTCAGCTCACGAAGCCAGTGCGAGGAGGTTACATTCATCTGAGTCCATCTACGGATTCCATTCTCCCCAATGCAGAATTCCGGTCCCAAATTCCAGTGTCCCAAGGTCTGGAACAAGCAACCGCAAGCGGCCCCTTCGTTTCAATCTCAGCATCGGCCGTAAGAAAAGGAGGGTAGAACCGGCAAGCCCGGGTCTAGCTATGTCCGATACTTGCCTGCATATTAAACCTGTACGAAAACGTGGACGCCCGCGCAAGGATCCGATGGCCGAAATAACCCCTGCCAACAAGCCTTCAACGGCACCACACAACAAGCATTTTGTTTGTGATAAGTGTGGGGGTCGTGGAAAAACGATGTTGGTCTAAAATACCACCAAAGGAAATCGCGAACATCGTGCAACCCCGCATTTATAGCAACGCCAACAACCAATCCCGATTATGTAGCCCATCAAGGCCACCCTCGAAAGTCTTTGGGGGCTTCGGGGCGTGCGGTAGAATCCAAGGCTTTAATCAATTTTCGTATTTGGAAAGGCGATACTAGTTTGAGAGCCCGGTCGTTGAGTTTGCAAAAGTCTCAGGCATCCGCTCCTCTGAACGACGGCGATACTATTAACATTACTTCGGATCCCCGCCCAAATCGCAATGTAGTGGCAAACGAAACAATATCTTTCATCGGGGGCATCATCCAGGGCCATCTTTCACAGGGGAAAATGGTCCTCCTCGACTGCTAGATCGACTGAGCAGTCTATGTGTCTCGAGCAAGAAACGACAACACTTAAATCGACGGCCCAAGGCCCCCATCGCACACTCCTCCTCTGAGAGCGTTTCAATCCATAACTATAACAGCGACTTGCTCCCACGGATAACAATGGAACCTCCAACTAGAGATACAACCAAGGCCCTCCAAAATACTGTGGAAGTATCAAACGTGCCCCGTTCCCGATTCTTAGACGCTGCTCTTCCGTACATCGATCACCGGCAACTTTCTATGTCTGAGGATGGAAGCAGCATGGAAATCCCAGGCGGGCTCGAGGATGATCCACCTCAAGTGCCAGAATTCCGGCCATCTTCGCCTTTACGAGACAGCGTGCTAGCTGCTGATGCCAGGGATATTCTACGGGCGAAGGAGATTATCAAATATCTGCTGAAAAACAACTATGGCGCCTTTCCTTCCCGAATATCTCTCTGGCATGCACTCTTAATAGTATGGCACAAAGCCTTTGCTGGTGACAACATCCCGACATACACAATTAGCCAACGCGCGGTAAAAGACCTCATTAAGCGGAAGGAAGTGGTAGAGAACACATTTGCGTTCCGTGATTCCGCTGGCACGATATCTGACTGCTATCTGCTTGTAGAGTCCGGAATAGATCCGAATCTTCCTCAATTCCAAAGGCTCAAAGCCTTGATGAAGGAGGCTCATCCTCGCCCCTTTATTCCCCATGAGTTCGCCCATCCAAGCGCGGAAACTCCATCTACCAATCAGAATTGCGGGCCACAATGGGGCTCCGGTCGCCGAAAACATGTAATGTCTGTCGAAGTCTTAGATGCGCCTATCTATATCTCTCAAGCCACCCGGAAGAGATCTGCCCCAAAGGCCGTGCTTAGAATATCAGAAACAGGAGAAATCGGAAGTATGAAGCGAGTGAGACGTGCTTTTAAAGTAAACACTTCTGCAACATGGCCTCCAGTAACCCCAGACTGGTACCTTATGGGCCGGTACAAACAACTACGATTCTTAAAACCGAATACCCATCTCGGCGAAGAAGGTTTAACCAGCGTGCCGGAGCCGGAGAATGTGGCCTCCGCTAGCCCTACTCATGCCCCTAGCGAAGCATCTCATCACGACAGTCGCGAGCGTGACAGGCGAACAGAACGCTACATCAGTATCAAATTCACAGAGTGTACTAACATCCAAAAGGGCACAATAGAATGGCCTACACCTGACAATGACTTCTTCGAGTTCAAGGGGAGTAGTTTCACTCTCATAGGTCCTACACCAGACCGTGAGGGCGTTACTCAACACATGCGACAACGAACTACTCACTCTAACCTTCACAGAGCATATGGCTCTATGTATGGCTCTTTCTTAGCTCACGAGCAGCCCGACCTTTTATTTGCACGACCTGTTGGTCCAAGCGCTTGCCGTGCGACACCGCTCAGGGGCCGACCAAGAAGTCGGCGTGACCGCCCTCCAAGATTTAGGCTCAAAGAGCGTGTTCTGATGCCAATTAGCAAAATAACTGAGGGGCACCATCAAGAGCTGCGTACGAACAGCATCCTTACTGACGGTTGTGCTCTTGAAGAGGCTCTTACGGTAGCGTTCGTAGCTATCAGGGCCCTTCTCGGAGGATCAAGCAAGGCGATTGATTGGGGACTGCTTATGCGACTTTTCCCAGATCAGAGTTTAAGTGATCTGCGACGGTTCTGGGTGAAGCTCATGAAAGACCGTATACACTTCTTGGCCAGCTTCACCGAGAAATTTCAAGACGCGTTCCTCAAATCTTACGAAAATGGAGAGTTGCCCCCTTTAAATTATGATGACCTCCCTGGCTACGACTGGCAAGCCTTGATTCAATGGGCAATAGAGTTGCGACGCACCAACTTTGTCAGATTGCCAATCAAACAATCATCGGGTACAGCCGTAAAGGGGATACGGGGCTTTACACTCGAGAATCAGCCGATGCAACCTAGACACTGGCATGAGAGGTTTTACCATCATCAAGCGTCTATCTTTAGCCGCTTTGAATTATCGACTTCGGAAAGCGCAGCTCTTCGTTTGCCTTCCTTAGCAAAAGGCGCGCCTGATGCTACCGCGCCTGATGCTGTACAAGTGGCCATATCCTGGGTGCGCGCCCTCTCAACAACGCCCTCAGGGAAATGTCCGCCGGATATTGTGAAGAGTAAACTTGCAACACTTGCCTCAACTCGCGAACAAGTCAATGCAATATTAGATGAGGCCGTCACAAGCCTGAACACTCGGCGAATCATCACAAAACGCATACGTAGCAAGCCTTACATGCTGAGCCGACCGTTTCAAAGCAATCTCGCAAAATTCGGGCACGAGAAAAGTTCCGCGCTGCGTCCGATTTCAAAAATTGCTCGACGAGACCTTTCGTCGGGCAGAGCCCTTCAAAATCCCCTTCCTTGCCGAGGATGGTGCGAATATGGCCCTTCTTAACCTCTATGCATATGGCCGACTCCAGATCTCAGGAACAAACGTGCCAAAAATTCCGCTGGGCTTCAAGCCTGGAAATTATGAGAGTAGGAAAATGCCCAAATCCCACCTCCTTTTCGGGTTGGTTGCGACTCCAAGCGAGAGCTATCTTTTTGATGACGACATCGCCATCTTGAAAGTTGCCAACGACACACGACCTCCGGCAAATGCACCTGATAGGCTCACGCCCTTTGGTGTGACTTTTTGGCGAGATCAACATTACAATGTGGACAAAACTCCTCGGACTAGTGACCTTTATGCTCTCGGTCCGAGGATCCATGCCTTTCTCCATGTTGTCCCTTCAGACAAAGGCCTACCTCGAAGAGTTTGACCTCCAACTACTTGTAAGTTGGGGTAAAGCCGTCGGTCTTTTTGCTGAGGATCCCAAAAGCGGCGGTATCGAGGTGTCGGAGTGGTGGTGGCTCGTGGTGGGCCGGCAAAGGACTTGGTCGGAAACTGAGACGGAGGAATCACAAGAACTCCCAAAAGAAAAGGTCCAGCGGCCTCGAGGCCGGCCACGCAAAAGATTGACTGAAATAGCCATACCAATGTAAACAGGCTACAATCCGAATGGAAGCTTAATTAAGACAGGCAGGATTTGCGAGTCTGAGGTTCACACATTCAATCACCTCTGGCTTTGGGGACCATCATTATCCATAGTGATTGATTCACCTCATAGTGACAAGGGATAGTGTTATCAAGGATAATTACCAAACATCTTTCTGTACCGGTTGCAGAGCTTGCACAGGGAAATGGCGCGTAATCTACCATCCGCGATGCCTCCTGGCGATCTGAGGGGCGCGCGAAGCTGGAGCCTCTTCTTCTTTTCCCCTTTTGGGGCAAGGGGAGTGACTGTCTCGTTACCCGATGCTGGCGTGTATCTCACATCAACAATATATGCAACGACCAGGCACAGAAACAATGCTTCGGCTTCTATCCGCCTCTCCCCCTCCCTATGTAAACGCACGCACCCTCTTGTCATTCCAAAGTGCCCCTCATCCCGCTTTGGGCCACAAAGAATGGCTGCCACGGTCATAACTCCTACCCTCTACGATCGCGGCTTTCGATCACTAGGCGAAGACACTTGTTAGTGGCCAGGCTGGGGATAATAAACAATACGGGAGGAAACTCACGTGCTTAATCTCCTAGAGAGTTGATGAAGCTTCTTGTCGTTTTCTGCATCATACGCTGCTTTCTGTAGAGCGGCATTTCTTTCCTCCTCTTGGTGTCTCACCACTTCTTCATGAGTAGGGGAAGTCTCTCGTTTTGGAGATCAACCTTCCTTGCATCTTCAAAGCTACTAATTGCATTTTTGATGCCCTCCGCTCCAAGCATGAGTGTACCTGCTGGAAGTCGACCACCTGAAACCGTCTTAAGCTCAGTGACGCGCTCGGATTCTTCACGAAGAACTTGGAATACTCTCGATAGTCTACCAATAGCCAGAATCTTGTTTTTGATCGCACGCCTCTTGAATTCTATCGATTCAGGGTCAGACGATGGCAATGGGGGCGATACAGGGCCCGGGGATGTTGATGTGGGCGTCTCTTCCGTGCTATTTAATTCATCTTCCGAACATGTACTCAGAATGGCAATTAGCATGTCGGTGATCTTCTCGCCCACGAAAGGAAGGGACCAGGTGAAGACGTCCATAAAGTTTGGAAGCCAATAAGGATGTGGTGTACAGTTGAATTGCCGAATGTTCATAACATTGTTCTCATACTTTAGAACGGCAGCCTTATTGTTGTAAACATCAAGATAATTGGGTGCTGAGAAGATGGTCATGACACTGGGGAACCCAGTAGTCCGGGTCTTCCTATACATTCGATATCCAGCATCTTGCGCCTCATGTGCCCGAATGACGGAGAGGAGATTATTCTTCTCCAAAAGGCACAGGCAGCAGGGTAAGAGAAGAAATAGGAGCAGCCGCGTACATGGTTGTGGAGAAAGTATTCGCTGGTTTTTCTTGTCCGAAATCCTCGAGAGGGTCGGCCCAAAGAATATCGCACATGAGGCCCTGGGTTGGGGGCTCTCGGAAGCGATCAATATGTCGAAGATCGTCTAAAGTGTGAAGTTCAGGGCTCAGGCCTCCGTGAATGCAGAGGAACTGCTTGTTCATGACAGCGGCTAGGGAAGGCAACAAAAAGACTCCATACAAGCATCGTAGACGGCTTGCGAGTACTTATGCTTGCATTCCAGCTTGAATGTGAAATAATCAGTGAGATGGCGACACTCATGGTTGCCCCGAAGGAGCCACAAGGTCTTAGGATAATGAATCTTCAATGCCCAAAGATAGAGAACACACTCGATACTAAAGTATCCTCGATCCACATAATCGCCAAGAAAAAGATACCTGGTCTCTGCAGGGTCGCCCCCTACTTCGAACAGCTTCATCAGATCATAATATTGGCCGTGGACATCGCCACAAACGGTAATAGGGGCATCCATTTCAAGTAGATTTGGCTCCTCCCGCAGGATCTCGGTGCCGCGTTGAAGTATCCAGAGGGCTTGTTCTTCAGTCAAACGTCCTTCGCGATAGAAGTGCTGCTTCAGGAAGGTGATATTCGGCTTCGTCCGGGTGTCATCGTGAAAGAACTGCTCGTCGGTCGGCTTAGAGGTAGCGGGTGCCTGCACGTCTAGACGGTGTGTAAAATTGTTATGGTCAGTTCATGCCAACAGCAAGTGGTTACCAGGGCATGATGAGATGAAGGGCGCCTTTGGGGTCACTAGATTAAATCGAGTAGTGGCACCGGTCAGGAAGTGCCGGGAAAAACGAACCTTTGCAGACCCGCTCAAGAGTGCTCACTTGAGTACCATCTTCCATGGTATGGATAGTGAAATCGATCTCTGGTACGGGCTTCTTTTGCTGTATCGCCCGGATTGCATTGTCCACTTGCATGGTGCGTCTCTCGTCTTGCGAGATGGGTGCCACAGGCACAGCGGGGGTGTCAGCATCCATGGGGAAAGTGTGCAACTGAAGAGGTTGGTAATCAAGGAAGCTGAAAGGCAGAGGCAGAGGGCCGGAATTGGTGCAGCTAGGGATGGATGATCGATTTCAGTACGTTCGGTCAGTTGAAGGTTGATGAAGTGGGAAAAGGCCTAGACCACGCTAGGCAAGGAGAGAACCGAAACTCGTGAGGTGAGGTGGTGGCAAGGCAGGGAGAAGGGGTTCGGCGGGGTGAACGTGCACAGGCTTCAACCCAGTGGCAGATCAGGGCTCCTGTTGGACTGAATATGCAGTAGAAGACAGCCACCGACAAGCCGAATACGTGTGGGGAAATGGAAGAGCGGGTGACGGGGACAAAATTTAGGAACGGTCCAGGTCTCACGCATGGACAGGCAAAGATGACTTTCGACAATATCGGACTGCCCAACTGAATTCCCATGAGGATAATGGCGGGGAATAAGCACAGCGCCTCGACTCGAGTCCAGCATTGAATTCTCGAGAGCCTGGCAGCCTGGGCGGGGGCGGGGTGGAAGAGGGCGAAGTCACGATAAAAGGACTGTACAGACCAGTACCTGGCCAAGGGCGAAGGACCCCCGCATATTATATTACTAGAATCATTCATTCCCCGTACTTTTTATGTTCCTTAAGCCCTTCAGTACCTAGGTAGAAGAGGCAAGAAACCTCGTGGCTCAAGCTTGAGGCTGACACATATAAACTTGCACAGACAGCAGCCACCTGCCATGGCGGGTGTGGGATGGATAGAACGCAGCATGCTACTTATCGGGGCTTTGTTACCTCGGTACGTGATAGGGACCTCGATATGATAAAAAGCTAATCAACTACCGAGGTAATGGAAACTTCGGTCTACTACCAAAGTTTACTTTGCATGTAATGGATACAAGCCCTCTCCATCGACCGCACTTGTCAGATTCGAGGCAGCCCAGATGTCCTCGTCTACCCAATCACCCGGTCAAAAATCTCCCCACGCGGAAAGTTTGTGTTTCTCCATCGAGAAATAAAATCATCGCGGTTGACTGTGTATTTCTCACAAGAGTAAAAAATTAGCGAACCCAAAAGTTAGGCATCGGAAATGTGTAGCTTGAAATACATACTGTAACCACCACATATTCGGCGTACCCCCTCGAAAGCACTGCGACCATGGAGGACTCTCCAATTATCAAAGACTGTGCAATCTGAGTTAGTTTCACGTCAACGAGGTGGCGAGGAAGACACACTAAGGGGTTGTCCTGGCCGAAGCTGGATCCAACATTCCATGTTTGGGCGAGTCAAGATCGAATGCCACTTCCTCGCCGCATTATACCAATGTGTAGGCGATATGCCTGCATCAAAAGGAACAACCCCACGATCGTCGTTGTTCCAGCGGACACGGCGGAGAGCACCTGTCTCATCGTCCAATTCCAGAACAGGGTATCGCTGGTCCGGCGCAATTGTAATTCCTTGGTTACCGCTAGCGTGCCACGGTAATCTGACAGTAGAGAGGATTTTAAAAGCCTCTGGATCTTCGTCTCTCAGAATGTTCGCCGCATGAAATCCATCCACAAGTAAAGATTCACCCCTAGGATAGCCTCATTCCGCGAATATTTTCGAGGCAGGACATGGGATAAAAGATGAAAGGATTGCAATCCAGCCGGATCTGTGAAGTACGTTGTGTCTGTATGTGCTGGGAGTGCGAGGTTCGTATAGGCGGTGTCTGCGAGCGCAAGATCCGGAACAAAATCGTAAAAACCACCATAGTGTGTAACTCTAACAAAGGCAATCCTCTCGAGTAGTTTTTCCGTTGCGGCTGGATTGGGTGGGCAATCCGACACAAAGGCAAAGCCATACTCACGCTGCCAGATGAACATTTGTTAACACAGACCTATCAAGTTATGCCTCTGTAGGATCACCTGCCTTTACTTACAATAAGCCTTGTTAAATCCCTCACCCCTGATTCCTCCGCCGACTCATTCATGACCTCCCTATACTCAACTATCGGTGGTGTCTGGGCCGCGTCAGCTCCCCAGTAGCAGTAGCTATTACTTCCATGTCAACCCTTTTCCTTAGTGGTAGACAGGTAACCCGAGTACGTACTTGACGTCTTCGCTGGCTCGATGGTCGTTCTGCAAGTAGAAGCGCAAAAGTCCCAGGTATAGTGGCTTTGGTGCCCGTCACCAGACCCTAAATTAACCATGGATGCGTTAGTTTACCTAACGATCTCAGGTTTAATGCCTAAGCATAGGACCTTAGCTAGGACATGCATTTAACGTCAAGGCCTTCGGGGCCGCTGTTCACTTCTGTAGGCTGAATTTCGTGTGGTATCTACATGAAAGGTCTCTTAGCCTTTGCTCGCGAGGGGGCCAGCGGGGCTTACACTAAATGTGTTGAAATTCCTTTGACGCGTATCTTGATTGATACATGATGTGCAGCGGCAGTTATCCCTCGGAGGTCGTTAACTTCACATGCCTCAGATACCTCAACAAGCTTGCCCGCTTAGACGAGTTGAGCACTAAAGAATAAGACGTAGGAAGAACATACCGGAGCCAAATATTCGGTCTGTTAGACGAGGCAAAGGAGAAGGTATTTGGTCAGTCCAACCCTCAACACAGGTGAAGATCTATCCGCGGATAGGCCAAACTCACAATATGTTTCTCCTTAATGGGATGGGCCCAGCGGATGAAATTTCAATACCAGAATCAGACACTATAACCTTCATTGGCCTTATGGCAGTTGATATATAACGCATGGGTTGAAAAACAGGCCATGTTGTAGGACTAGTGACCATTCATTAGACTCAAGAATCATGGCGTGGAAGAGCAAAAACAGGAGCGAGGGGGCACTTGTACCCTTTGAAGAACCGGGAAGATCTTGCTAACACCATTTTGAGTCAAATGGTATTATATTTCACGTGGTGGAAAAAGTGTGAAGATCCCCAGCAGATGTATTGACAAATCTATGCTGTGACTTGATCTAAAGCTCTTGAAGAGAACATTGAATATGTTCCTGGTCACAAGTTTGGTGCCAATCAATCACTATGTGGGTTTTAAGACCTCTTCTCCCAGGCCAGGGTGAGAGAAGTGGTCTGATTCAGCATGCCCCCGCAACTCGTACTTTACAGTCCTATTCAGGACTAGCTAGGTGAAGAGCGGGAAGCGGCAAGTGGCAAGCGGAATTAGAGGATATATCACGCGCATGTGAAATAAGAAAGTGTTTGCGAAAATGTGCAGGTTAAGGGTCCCTTGAACTTGCATTGACGTCGTGCAAGAGAGTGGGGTTGATAAACTGCTACATAGTTAGGCTAGCCTCGGTATCAACGCATCATACAGGCAGTACAAAGGGCATTTTCATCACGCAGGTATCGCCATTAGTATCTTTCCTTCCACGCCATGACCCATAGCAGGAGTAAAGATTCTTGATCAAAATTTTGTTCATCTAATTTTAGTTTGTTTTGATAAAGGGGTTGAATGTTTGAGTACAAGTACAATCGCCTGCCATCTTGAACCCTTAAGATATTGGCCACCTTTTTCTCGCACCCCGAAGCCCCAGAGTGCTCTCATAGTCAGAGAGAGACGGCTTGCATCAACAATCCCAACACCATATATACACATTATGAATCATAGTAAAAAAAAAAAGATGGCGACGGCACCGCCCACCCCTATCACAATAATAGTAAGGGATGTGCTAGCTGGTTTTAGATCTAGACACTATAACCTCTAAGTAGAGCCCAGAATGAGCGTTCGTTATTCTCAATTTCTGGCACCGGCGGTGCGTGTAGTGTAAGACCCCATCGTTCGGTGCCATCGATGAAAAGGCGAAAATGCAGTGCACTCTCGCCTTCACCGACACCCGCTTTTGATATTGTGAACGAACCAAACTTGGAGGTTCCACTATTGATATACCTATTAGAGAATAGATTAGATATCCACCAGGACGACGGGGGCAAGGTATAGTCCAATGTAGGGGCGAGACAAGAACATGAGCGTACTTGAGCATAACATCTCCATCGTCTCTCTGCCTGTAGGTAGGAAGGGGAATGCGAATTGGTTGAGGGGCTGACTGAGAATTCGTGAGGAGCTACTAGATCTGACCATGGTGAGCCCTTTGGGGGAGGGAATCTAGTCGCAGCAAACTCGTGTCGGTCACCGGACACGATGACAATGCCTATGCCCCGTGAACCAGCTTTCCACATTGCTTCCAGTACAAGCGATCGTTCCGCGAGAAACCCGCCCCATGTATCTTTATTGTTGACCGGCCAGTTCTTCGTAAATGGGACGGAAGAGGCAACCACTTTCCATTTGACGCCTTTAGGCTCAGCACGATTGAGCCAGGCGAGGAGATCACCTAACTGCTGATTTCCTAGCATCGTCCTCTCTCTACTGTCGACGGGCGAGTTGACATTAGATCGATAGGTTCGAGTGTCGAGTAAGAAAAAGGAGGCAGGGCCCTGTGTGAATTCATAATAGGTGGCGTTACTTCGTAAGGACCCGGATCCCCGATCCTAGCACGTGGGGGTTAACGGCGCCGTTATAAATATGCCACGGTTCGAACGCTGCTTGGTACACCCCTGTGGTGTTTGAGGACCAGTCATTTTCGATCTCGTGGTCATCAAGAGTATGGATCCAACTGAGATTCTGGGAGACGGGGAGCCAGTCGGGTGATGCATAAACTTGCCGGTACTTCTGGAGATAATCCTCTTCAGTTTTACCAAACCTCCGTGGGACATCAATATATATGAAATCGCCCAAGAAAACCATGAATTGGGCACCGAGTGACGGTAGAGAGCGAGCAAGATGCCTTAAGCCTGGAATGGTAAGAGGCTGGTTTGACAGACTGTACGGGAATCGGGGAGGATACACGATGTCGCGAGGAATGTGAAATTGCCACCATGATACTCGGAAAAATGTCCTGGCCGGGGAGGAGCTATAAACTCTCCGGTGTAGTTGTTAGATGTTCTCCATTCGTAAGCGTGTTGGTGCGAGTCGCTCAGGCGAACAGTCAAGGGAACTGTAAAGTCCGTGTTATTTGCTATTTCCCAGATATCACCACCTTTTGCCATCGCGAGTCATCGAATGGGGAGCGGGGATCTTTCAATCGGATATCAAGTGTAATTGGTAGCTTCGCCATATCCGGCTCGCGGATAAGAAACCGTGCTTCGTTGTGTGACACATAACCCAGGCGAACAAACGAGACGTCATGGCTGGGGTAATATAACCGCGCAGACAGAAAGAAATCCGCGCTCATAAGTACAGCTGCAAGATTGGCGAGGAAAGTAATCATTGATAGAAATGTACTTGTGGGGCTCGGCGTACCCAACAGAATTGTCCGTAAGGGCTGGCTTGATATTGACTTCTGACGGGTAGCAGTGATCTGTCGAGAAGCGATTCGTGGCGCCAGAATTTCCCCTTCTTATGAATTTCTTGAAATGCCGCATGGGATTCCTCGGCAGCAGCTTCGATTTGACCCTGTGGGACATGGCTCTTGAGCTCCAAGAGATAACTATTGGTGAAAGAGGGGACGTAAAGGGCGAATAGAGTAAAGATAGATATGGGGATGGCGGCCTAGAATCCAGCGAAGGCGTCAGATTGGGCTTGGTTCTTCAAAATCTATTCTTGGGTACCTTGACCCGCCGTATGGATCGGGGAGGGTGGTGACCTACAGGTCCCGGGAACTGTAGATTCGCTAGCAGGTTAGCGAAGCCCATGTTCGCAGATAATCGGAATCGCGTACCCATCGAAGAAAAACATATGCTAGTAGCCTTAGAGTCACTGATGTGACCCCTGTCAAAAGCACCGATGAACCCATGGTGGGGATTCCGAACAAGAGTCGAACTAGATTTCGAGCAGAGTTAGGGATTGTAGAAACACCAGTTCGAAGCTAACTGAAGCCTGCAAAGCTCAGGAGAAGAGCTACTCTTGTCACTTCATGGCAATACAAGTTAGCAAATGTTTCCTGAATCCTAAGGAATGATACGATACCTCAAAGACGATATCATCGGGTGTATGTAAACACCTTGGTTGGCTTTGACCGTCAATAACCTCATTGACCTGAGTAGCTATGCTAAGTTGGCCGATGAGCTGTGACGTAACTCCTTCTGTAACATTGGTGAGCAAGTATCTCTCCAGCTGATAACAGCTGCCAATAGTCCATACTTCGGCTCCCAGTGGTGACCGAATAAGCAAGCAGGCCTGCCTTCGGGACAGTGTGTGGCCGGCACATTCTCGTGGCTTGCACTGTTAGTATCAACTTGATGCGTGGCCCCTGGAAATTTGTCCGCTTGTCTTCAACAGCATCACACATCGCTCTCCTTACCCAACCTACCCTCAGCCCGTAAACGACCCTCGCGACAAAATGAATCTCACGCTTTTTATTTGCAGTGTTTTGTCTTTACTTATATCCGAGATTACCGCCACCGCCTTGACTTATAAGCTTGGATCTAGCGAGAAAGCTTGTTTTTACGCGGTAACGAAGAAAGAAGCCGAGAAGATCGCGTTCTACTTCGCGGTGCGCATTCGGAAGCTCCTGCAGCTTTTACTTTCTTAAATACTAATGAGATAGAAACAGGTTCAATCAGGAGGCTCCTTTGATGTTGATTATCTCGTCACCGGGCCCGGGGGTCGTGTGATCCTCAATGGGGAAAAAGAACGCCAGGGTGATTTTGTCTTCACGGCGAACTATCCCGGCGATTACGAGTTTTGTTTTAGCAACGAAATGAGCACATTTGCGGACAAATTCGTCGACTTCGAAATTTCTGTAAGGCCCTAGAAGATCGGTTTGCAATCTTAGTATTCCTTGTCCTTTTGTTCGCTAACAAAATGTTTTCTCACCTGTCTAGGTTGAGAATGAAGCGAGAGCCGAGTTACCCTCAAAGCAAGGAACAACTCCCGAGCATACCACTGTCCTTGAAGAGTCTGTGTATAAGATTTCCAGTCAACTCTCGACCATCTCTCGTAACCAAAAGTACTTCCGTACTCGGGAGAACCGGAATTTTAGCACAGTTCGCAGCACGGAACAAAGGATTGTGAACTTCAGCTTGGTTCAATGCTGTCTAATCGTTTGTATGGGCGCTCTACAAGTATTCATCGTCAGATTTTTCTTCCAGGTATGTTTGCTATTCCGCTCGCAACTATCACCATCTAAGTCGGTACTAATTACATTACATTTCTAGGGGGCGAGGAAGGGCTACGTTTAAAGGCACCATTGAATGGATCGGGTTGCTGTCCAATACCTGCTCCTTGTGGTACTACTACATATACAAATCAAAGAAGCTATCTAGAAGTGAAAGGGTCATTGCCTTCCCGCCCACCATCAGCGTGAACCTACCTAGCTGTGCATTGACATATCACCAGTATATGAGGGCCCTTTTCCTTCAAACATTTCATATCCAACGATTAACTACGAACCTACTCCCAGCTTCTATAATACCTTGGCCTTAAAAACGTAAATTCGAGTGCATCCTCGCCATTAACTGCTCGCGGGCTTCTCTGTTTTGACTTCCAATCTACCGAGGTAATCAATATTCCAACGTGACGTTTTTTTGGTTGTTTGTCTTATTATCAACCCACCCGGAAGTTACTTTGTATGTTGTAATTGTCGATTACATAATCACCAAACTCGGCTCCTCCACCCAAGGTCTTGCCAGGCGAGGCTGATGTTCAGTTCCGATTTTCACACCAATATGTAATTTGGTAGCTACTCGCACCTCGAGCATCAAACATCTGTACTCGTATGCACGAAGCCGTACTCTGTATCAAAGCAATGAATTCTGTTGCGGCATCATTAGCCTCAACACTTCCTAAACCGAAATATCCAGGAGACAATGAGGTTCCTACACAGTCTCAGCAACGCAGCCTCCGGGTCGTTGGCCCAGGGCAACTTCACGAAACACAGATTGTCTTAAGGGTAGGACCCCATCTTCACCTCAAATAGGAGCTTAAACTAAAATGATCTTCTTTTCCGTCGATAGCAATCCGGTCCACCTCCTTACGGGCAAAGAAAAGGCTGGAGACCTCGAAACCCCGAAGATTTTGCAGATGGCGGTGCATTCCCCGAGCTGCCGGTAGCTCAATACCCCTTGGATATGGGTAATAAGTCGGCATCGAAAAGCAACGCCTTGTCCATCCAAGTAGACTCTGAAGGGAAGGTGAAATATGACGCGATTGCAAGACAAGGTCACTCAGATCGACGCATCATACATACTTCGTTCAAGGATTTAATACCACTTCGCCAGAGAGCGGAAGCTGGAGAGATTGATCTATCCCGCCCCAGCCAGGACGAAGTGGAAGCAACTGCTGAGAGGACGAAGAATGCATTAGCAGCGCTAGTCAGCAGCGCTGTCGCAGCGCAAAAGCCGAAGACGGTAAACACAAGTCAACGCCAAACCACATTTGTGAAATACACTCCTGCAAGCCAATTCGGCGATAATGCCAAGAAACAAGACCGAATTATGAAGATTGTCGAGCGGCAGAAGGATCCTATGGAACCGCCCAAATTCAAGCATAAAAAGGTCCCACGAGGACCGCCCTCCCCACCACCGCCAGTTATGCACTCACCCCCAAGAAAACTAACAGCGGAAGACCAAGAAATTTGGAAGATACCACCTCCAGTATCTAATTGGAAAAACCCCAAAGGTTTCACGGTTCCACTAGACAAGCGGCTAGCTGCTGATGGAAGGGGCTTACAAGAAGTGACAATCAATGACAAGTTCGCGCAATTTTCCGAGGCACTCTTTATGGCAGACAGACATGCTCGTGAAGAGGTTCGACAGAGGTCCATCATGCAACAACGGCTCGCTGAGAAAGAAAAGGCCCTGAAAGAAGAAAATTTGCGCGTTTTGGCTGCTCAAGCACGCGAGCAAGGCGTTGTAGATCGGAACCGTCAACGGAGGTCGAGAAGCTGCTCAAGTACAGGAACCCATCCCTATTCTGAATCAGATTCTGAGCACTCTAGCGGTGACTCCGGAAGAAGGGCTAGGGATGAAGCAAGGCGGGAGCGACAAGAAGAAGGCAAAAGACAGCTTCGGCAATCTCGCATGGGGGCTGAACGACGTGTTCAGGTCATGGTCAGAGAGCAAAATCGCGATATCTCGGAGAAGATTGCTTTAGGGCTTGCCAAACCAACCCAGTCTAAAGAGTCGATGTATGACTCAAGATTGTTCAACCAGTCAAGTGGATTTCATACTGGATTTAATGAAGACAATCCATACGACAAGCCTTTATTCACCGCTCAAGACGCCATCAGTAGTATTTATCGGCCGAGGGCAAGCATAGATGAGGAGGACGAAGAAGCTGGCGACAGGGAGATGGAACGGATACAAAGGTCCGCTCGTTTTGGGGAGTTGTTGGGCAGGGGCAAGTTCAAGGGTGCTGAGGAGGCAGAGGTTTGTGTTGACCCCTTCTCCACCCCCAATCCATCGTTTATCATGCACACTAACATACTTTCATCTCTCGTGTTAGGCTCGTGAGGGACCTGTTCAATTTGAAAAGGAAACTGCGGATCCTTTCAACGTGGATAGGTTCCTGTCGGAAGTGGAGCAAGCACCCACAGCTAAACGAGAGTACGGGTTACAAGATGAGGGCAGCTTGCGGAGAACAAAACGGACAAGAGTAGATGATGATGATGCCACTGCGGAAAGCGAGTCTCGCTAATCTTGGAGGACCCAAGGGCTGGTGATGAGTTTGAAAACCCACCAAGTCTAGCTCTCCGTTCATACCTCATTAGCCCACAGTATATTCGCTACTCGGGCGAGGGGACAGTGATATAACAGGTCAGCCCAGATCACGACTGCGCTCGTTTCTAACTATATTGCGTGTTTGGGGTCTGGGACCTGTAAGCGACTACGGAGCCACTTATGTAGCAGGCTTATCCATCAACTCTTGGGTTCTTTTTGCTTCGTAGATTACCCACCTATATACGCACAACTAGGGCCACAACCAATAAATTGGGACTGCCATAAACTCCTGCTAATAATCGTATTACCTTTGGCTGTGCTCGTTTGAGGCGTCGAGTCAACAGCAGATGTTCGGGGCCAGCCCATCATCACCCCTCCGAGGTGGATTTTGCGTTGTCTAGCCAAAAGCACTAACAGGTCCACTATAAAGGCACCTGCTCTGTTCTCTGTTTATGGAAAGCAGTTGAGGCGAAGAATAGACTCCCATTTTACTTAATCAGCTTTAGGTAGAGCGGATTGAGCGAGATAGCTCTCGCCTTTCCCCTACAAACCCATCGCGTTGCCCAAACAAGACTTCTTGTTCAAAAGATGGGTTGACGTGCTTTCAAGTTGCGGTCCATGCTTTCTCACGTGGCCCACGTCATTGTACTCCATTTAGGACTGGAGCGCTGCGGCATACCCGTGCCACCTTGATTTGATCTATCCATCTCACAACTGGATCCAATTCATAAATGTTTACCTCTCTGTCATTCCTCAGTGGTGGTTTTATTTCCTGAAACCAATTTTCACATTCAACTAAATCGCCGGTCTGCCCATACACGCGGGGCACCCGAGCAACCAACAGTTATTTGTCGCGTTGCTGGCGGCTTTTTTTTATCTTATTTTATTTTTACCTTGCCCCGACCCATCAATACACGTGAATGGTATTTTGAGCAGACACCTCGCACTGAGGCAGGATGGCGGGTCCACGGGTCATTGACCATGCAAGGAAGGACGGAAAGCTCGGCGTTTTATCAGGCGTGTATATTCCTGTTTGCCTCAGCATTCTCAGTATCCTTATGTTCCTGAGGTTTGGCCTCATCCTTGGCCAGATCGGTTTGGTTGGGATCATTGGTATGATGACGCAAGCCTGTCCATTCGCTTTCTTCACATCTTGACAAATACTAGGCCTCCTCGTTACAGCATATCTTGTTGACTTCATCACCACCTTGTCCCTCTCAGCCATCGCGTCTAATGGTGAAGTTAAAGGAGGAGGCGCCTATTATCTAATTTCTCGGTCTCTAGGCCCCGAATTTGGGGGCTCTATAGGTTTATTATTCTACCTCTCCCAGGTTCTCAACACGGCCCTCAACATTGTTGGACTTATCGATTGCATGAGGTTGAACCTAGGTTCGGTTTTCCGCAAGGATACTGGCAGGGCTACGCTTTGCAAACCCTTGCTCTTTTCGCGTGTACCGCGCTCTGCATGGCGGGAAGCGCGATTTTTGCGAAGGCTAGCAACGCTCTCCTAGTCATCCTCTCCGCTGCTATTCTGACCATCCCAGTCTCAGCTCTTGTTAAGAAGCCCTTTCAAGACGAAGAACTAGGCCTAGAATTTACCGGCCTCAGTTTACGTACTCTGCTTGATAATCTGCTACCACACTCGGAGGAAAAATCATTCCACGGTTTAGCGACCTTCCGAGATCTCTTCGGCATTCTCTTCCCAGCCACCTCTGGAATATTTGCAGGGGCTTCGATGTCGGGCGATTTGCTTAACCCGAGCAAGGCTATTCCAAAAGGAACTCTCTGGGCCATGTTGACCACCTTCATCACATATCTCGTTGTTATACTATCGATGGCTGCCACTACCACGCATGATTCCTTTCTCAAAAATGCGAATGTCATACCCTATACTAACATCTCGCCACCCCTAATCTTCGCTGGAGAGTGCGCCGTGACCGTGTTTTCCGCCCTCATGGGAGTAATAGGTTCCGCTAAGCTTCTCCAGGCTTTGTCTAGGGATAGGCTGCTACCCGGCTTATCGTTATTTGGCCTTGGCACAAAGAATGGAGACGAGCCCATCTTCGCGATGCTTTTAACCTATGCTATCGCTCAATTTGCGCTTCTTGCCGACCTAAACCAGATAGCTACATTTATCTCCATGGGATACCAGGTTCGACTGTCTTTTCCCGAACGCTGCCCACTAACACCACGCTGCTTGCGTCGCGGACTTAGCTATCTAACCATCTCCGTGTTGACAGATGACCTTTTTGTGATGAATCTTGCGTGCTTCCTCCTCAAAGTTGGCTCGGCGCCAAATTTTCGCCCTGCGTTCAATTTTTTAGTTGGCAAACTGCATTTGTGGGCTCTCTGATGTCCACAGCTGCCATGTTTTTCATTGACGAAACTTACGCGGCTGCATCAGTATGCTTCGTTATCTTCCTCTTCTCCCTCATACATTACCTCTCCCCCAAAAGGTGGGGAGATGTATCCCAAAGTCTGATCTATCATCAAGTTCGCAAGTATCTACTGAGGCTCAAGCCTGAGCATATAAAGTTCTGGCGACCCCAAATTATACTTTTGATAAACAATCCAAGGCACCAAACGCGGCTCATCCAGCTTTGCAACTCAATGAAGAAAGGGGCTCTCTACATTTTGGGCCATGTCATCGTTACGGACGACTTCAATACTGGTGTTCATGAAGCTAAATTACAGCAGCATGCATGGTCAAACTTCATTTCTGAGATCCCCGCTTGAAGGCTTTTGTTCAGTTAACCATGTCTCCTTCCATCACATGGGGCATCAGAAACCTTATCCTATCTGCTGGTCTTGGGGGCATGCGTCCTAATATCGCCGTCCTTGGGTTTTATAATATGGATGAGCTTAGGCGCACCCAACCTCTTGCTTCGGTTCCTCTTCCTCCGCTATCCCCCACTTCATATAAAGCCAAGGCACCCGTCTCGAAGACGGCTAGCCGCCGGCGGGGACACCTCAGCTCGCCTTCTGGAAGGTTTCCTTCCCACTGATGTGATACGTACCGAGGGAATGATGTCAGCAACAGACTATATGACGATACTTGAGGACCTTGCTCTGCGCTACAAGCTTAATGTCGCTGTAGGGGTTGGCTGTGAGCAACTAGAGATGCCAAGACATAGCGGGCCCAATTCCAAAAATATATTGATCTTTGGCCGATTCAAATGTCGGCCGAAATACACTCAGATGGGAAAAACCTTCTAACCACCAATTTCGATACCTGCAAGTGTTCTCATATTGGCTTTTCGCCTCATTATTGCATTGATCTTATACTGACTGGCTTGGTGACGAATGTGTAGATACCTTGATTCTGCAGCTAGGATACATCTTGAATAGTGTACCGGCATGGAGACATGCCTTTAACTTGCGTGTTCTCGTCTTCGTTGAGTATGAAAATGAGGTAGAAGAAGAGGTGGCAAGGTTAAAGGCACTGCTTGAAAAGCTTCGCATTGACGCGACCACTTGCGTCTTTTGGCTTGCTTCTAAAGAGCTTCGTACTTACGAAACCATCATCAACGGGAGTTGTGAAGACGGTGCATTCAATGATGTAGTAGAATCTACATTATCTGGTGAAGACTGGTGGGAGGAACTAAAAGACCTTCGGGGAGGCGAGCAGAATATCAACAGACCGGGGGCAGGTCCTCCGGCGTCTCTGGCCAGTCCTCTGACTCATAGGGACCAGCGCGCGGGTGTTGCACACCGCCGTCCAAGTATGGTAGACATGCGCGACCTGCACCCAAAACCAAACGTATCAATGCTTTCACGGCTTGGTGTCAATGTTGGTATTCATACTCATCGTCTAGGTGATGATATCTTTGAAGACCAACTCGACCAGCTTGATACACTTGATACTGATGGGGAAACCAGCGAAATTGATGCAAAGGAAGATATGTCAGACTCAGATACTGAGATAAGACCTCCTGATCCTGCGAGCGAGGGTGATGCTGAGGCTACAGAATCCTCAACTCAACCTTTGCTAGGCTCCTTCTTCCGCCGTCGGAGCCTTGGGGATGTTCTCCGAGCTCATAAACTAACTAGGGCCGAGCATAGAGCTGATCGTGAACCGCACGAACTGTCGCGTAACAAAAATAATCACCCCTTGTCGTATGGGACCGTGTCAGGGCTTACATCTTTCCCCAGAGAATTCACCGGGGCCCCGCCTGCGGACGACTACCATGTGCGGCCTTTAACGCCGTCCCAAAATGTGGATGAGAGCAGAAAACAGAGCAATTCGTCTTGTCTGGTACCTTCTCGCGCAGCGGATGATGGTGATAAGCATCGGGCGTCACGGCTACAAGGACCCATTGGGAACCCAGACATAGCCCATGTTGAGGCTCCTCCGGGCAAGGCTCGGCTACAATCACCCACATGCCAACTAGGCTTGCGCGCTCTCACAGCTAAGAGTAGTAGTACCGCGACGCGCAGCCTTGATTGCAACGCGGCCACGGGGCGCTGGAGACAGGAGGGAGATAGCTCACCTTCGATGCAAAGTCGACCTGCTCTTTCCCGACAGAGCTCGGCCATGCGCTTCTCAAGCAAGCCCCTACCAGAAACTATGACGGACGTGGAAGGCCATTCGGGGCCGACCATCATGTTCGCTGATTCCGACCGTATTTCGGCCATAACATCCACCCAAAGACCGACATTATCTAGGCAATCATCTGCGAGTGCGTCATTGAGACGGCAGCGAGTAGATTCGCCATTTCCGCTCTCGCGGAAACAAAGATTCCTTTTTCACGCAACCAACATGATGAGCACCAAAGGACAGGTCACCCCGAAGTCGACCCCGATAAAAAAATAGACATTGCCAGGCTCGTGGAGAGCTTTAGGGATCAATCCCCGACAAGTCAGGCTACCGAAGGTTCGACGTATTCGACGCAAAGTCTACCTCTTTCGTTCAACGACTTGCCAAGTCGAGCCCAACATCTCATTTTGAACGAGTTAATGCGCAATCACAGTACAGATACGGCCTTGGTCTTCACAACGCTGCCGATACCAAGCGAGGGGACATGCCTAGATGAAAACGCAACACTAAGGTATCTTTCTGATATCGAGGTCTTATGCCACGACCTGCCCCCAATGCTCCTTGTATTGAGCAATAGTATGTCGGTTACTGTGGGCCTGTAGAGTGCGAATCGAGCATCGATGTAATGGCTTTCAGCTTTGCGTCTTCGAGTTACACATGAGAAGAGAGTCTCCCTCGGCGCAGCTCGTCAATTCTAAGTAACTGAGCTGAAATCTACGCATCATATTAGTAATATTGTAAATGGATAAATGGAAAAGAGGGTATTAGAACTTAGTATAAGAGCTATGATTACCTCGGTAGATTCCCTTCTCACTATTCTGAACCCCTGTCGATTCTCTGCCAAATTCCGTGATGCACGGTCATTTTGAAACTCTGAGCACAAGGAACTCTTTTTCTCCTTGACAGCCAGTAGAATTGGTGGGGCTGAGGCTCAGGTTTGGCTCCCATTATGAGGTGTTAACGATGAATCAAGGTAGCACACTTGGGCCACATGCATACTTACTAGTAGATTTCTTTTGAAGCACGAGGCCTCTATCACCCAACGACCCATACCGGCGAAAATTCTAGTTGTGTCTGGTCTCAGTCGCAGATCCCGTTTTCTAACCGCGGGTGGCCTCGAGGCCCCTGCCACGGGCCCCTTTAGTTGACAATGCTTCGGGCCCAAGTTTCAGGCTACGAAATACCTTAAAGGAGCAAGTAGATAAATGGCCTGCTTCCCCTGCCCTCTCCACTAAAAGCATATATTGAGTTGATTCTGGTCACCCAAGTCTCCTGAACAGGATCGTCTCTCGTCAACTTGCCCATTCCCATCCAACCTAACATTTGAAATCACGGTCAAGTAGGCTTTGCTGGTTATCAAGCCATAATGGTTAACGTCGGTCAGTCCTATCATACCGTTTTCCTCTGTGAAAGGCAGCGCAAGGTCATTAACTATTACAAAAGATTCCCTTCTTGATGGTGGTTATATACCCCAATCCATTATAAGACTCGGCATTCGCAGAAACTGCCGGGAGAGGCTAGCTTCTATCTCGAGTCACTCGCTCTCGTTGGCAGTGGAACGGAAGCTAGCTTACGTTGAAAGACTGCGAGCTCGTCCCATAGCCTTGGAGACTGAGACTGCAAACAAGCAACATTATGAGGTTGGAACGGGCGTTCTCGCTTGCTGCCTAGGACCTCGGATGAAGTATTCATGCTGCCTTTATCCGGAAGGAACCGAGACTATCGCCCAGGCCGAGGTTGCCATGCTTGAAACATATGTGACGAAGGCTGAGATCCAAGATGGTATGAATATACTCGACTTAGGGTACGTAGATTTGTCGGACGAGGTTTACCTAGGAAGCAACCCCTAGGCGTAGTGTTGGAAGCCCGGGCATATATCTAACTTATCTGTAGGTGTGGGTGGGGATCGTGTGCTCTCTATTTTGCTGAGATTTTCCCAAACTCCAAGATTACCGCGATTTCCAACTCCCGAACACAGAAGCAGTACATTGATGCTAAGGCGAGAGATCATGGTATCTCGAATCTTGAAGTAATCACGGGCAATATCGTGGATTTCGAGTTCGAGCTCGAATCCTTTGATCGAGTGGTCTCAGTTGAAGTGAGTACTAATAGGGATCATCGCCAATCCCGGGCGGGCGCCCTTGCGACGCGTAGCAAAAATGGAGACAGACGCAAATCTGAAGGTCATACTTGAGAACACGAATTGACTAGTCGATAGCTTTTTGAGCATATGAAGAATTACGAATTACTGATGGCGAAGATTGCGAGGTCGTTGAAGCCAGGTGGTAAACTCTTCGTCCATATCTTTGCCCATCGGCTGACCCCTATGATTATGAGGAGGGGTGGATGTCCACCCATTTCTTCACTGGTGGGACTATGCCCTCGGCGGATCTACTTCTTTACTTTCAAGCAGACCTCAACATCGAAAAGCAGTGGTGGATCAACGGTAAACATTATTCGAAGACATGCGAAGTAAGTCAGATATCGCGTCAACCCCATCGAGTAATGTGTACCCCAAAATTGTTATGCCCTTAAAATAGCGCTGGTACTAATTTGCTACCACGTCCGCAGGATTGGCTCAGGCAGATGAGGCAACATAAAACGCAGATCTGGCCGCATCTGTGCCAAACGTATGGCGATAATAAAGCAGAGATATGGTTCAATCGGTGGAAAGTATTTTATATGGCATGCTCTGAGCTATTTGCATACCAGGGTGGTGATACATGGGGTGTCGCGCATTATCTCTTTGTAAAGCCCACAAGCAATTAGCCATGAAGTACAAAGCAATGAATCATATTCGAGGTATCATTAGTATCCAGTGTCTAAATAGAGGACTTGAGAGTGAGTTTGAGCAGGGTGGCTTTAGTATTTCACGGCGAAAACGAGTGCTAATATTTGGTGAATCGTGAACATGCTTGTGCCACCGAACTTTCCCACTGTATAACACGATTCCATTTAGTGGTCCCAGGGGTGTTTCCATCCGAGTAGCACCGGGCCTGGCCAAGGTCTTCGTTAGCATATGGAATAGAGGCGTCTCACGGATGGAAAGAACCCACCGTCTTTCTTCGCTCGGTACATGAGCTGTGTACGATTGAATTAGCTTCAACAATTATAAGAACAGAGCAATTTAATCTGAACGTACGAAAAACCACATGCCAGCCCCAAGGGCTTTTGCCGTGACTCGATATATCAACCCAGCATGTGCGACGGGCGGTGCTCGGCCTGGCGAGAACATGTTGGTGGTCGGATATTGGTTCAATTCGATGAAGCTAATTTCCTGAAGCTCGCGATTATGTTAGAAGAGAATGATAAATGTAATTGAGGGGAAGGATTCGTTCGGCTCTTCACCTCTAGGGTAGGCTCATGAGGCCGGTGGACGCTTCGTTCTGAGTTGATGAGATGTGAAAGATGAGAGTTCAGTGACAAACGGCTCCAAATTGTTTGAGGTCCGTGGCAATACATTACATAATCATGGTAAACGGGTGGGGAAGTCAGACATGTGAATTGAATCAACAGCTGGCTTGCCTGAAGGCATTGATTAGCTCAGCGGCCGAGTGGCTTGGGCTTGCAAACGTGGAACTGCTTTTATGGACAGCTTGCCTTGGTCAAAGAACAACAAGCTGACTGTCCGGTCTTCTTCATATTATGGCGTCCGTGAAATTTAACACTAAGTCGCCGACAATTCGGCGAATATGTGAGCTATCCGCTCTGGTGATTAATGGCTTGATTTCAAGAGCTAGTGCTAACTGTACGATACAGTAAAGGAGGCCCAGGAGCTTGCCGGGGCACCTTCCCGAGACTACACTGCTGCCCCACTAGAGTCTGACCTGTTCGAGTGGCACTTCACCCTCAAAGGGCCTCCAAACTCGGTATATAGTGAAGGCATCTACCACGGTCGTATCGTCCTGCCGCCTGCGTACCCCCTTCGACCACCGAGCTTTAGGTTCATGACACCCAGTGGTCGGTTTGAAGCAAATCGGGAAATCTGCCTGAGCATAAGTGGCCACCATGAAGAGACTTGGCAGCCGGCGTGGGGTGTTCGTACGGCACTCGTGGCGTAAGCTTCTACGTGCTAACGCGCTTATCAAGGTGTCCATCCTAACCTGCGTTTCATGGTAGATTAAGAAGTTTTATGGAAACGGACGCAAAGGGCCAGCTAGGAGGCCTAGATACAACCGACCAGGTCCGAAAACAGCTGGCTACCGAGTCGCTTACCTACCTCTGTCCGGCTTGTGGCAAGTCCAACAGAGAGATTATAAAAGAGTGCCAGGAAAGGGTAGAATCGGGCGCTGTTACTCCCGACGTCGATGTCGAGGTGCCATCCGAACTAACAATGGGCTGGAAAGATGAGATGGGACGCAGGGCTAGTGATCTGGCACCCAAGACTAGCCACAAAAACCAACCTCAAAACCAATGCCACTCCTCTTCCGGCCGGCCCGTTGATACGACTTTAAGACACCCTCGTTCCTCAGACTATGCTACCGACTCCAGTTCATCCCCCAGGTTGACACGCGTGATCCAGGAGCAAGAATGATTATGGTCAACCGACCTGGCCCGTCGTATGTACCCGGAGTCCCACGTTGGCTTGACCAGCTTATCCTTCTACTTTTCGTCATCCTAGCGGCAGCCCTCATTCACCGATTCACGGCCACGGCACCTGTCCAAATATGATAGACTTTTTCGTGGAGGGACACGAGGAGCGGAAAGCCGGCGATGAGTGACTTTCAGTGCGCCTATGGGGGCTTCTGCTCTTTCGTAGTTTTATCAAGAGCTAAAGGTGCCTTGATGGTAGTAGCTTTATTGATGTTGCTCTCAAAGCTTGAGCTTGTCAGAGTCTAGACAGGGTGTCCAGCACCCGGCGCTTGCCAGAGTTAGAAATTTGGTGTGCTTGCCGGATTTCATCAATGGCTACCTAGCTTGCCTCACGAGGTGGACCCACGCTATGCATTGTGCCTTTTTACATCCATTGAACCGCAACACGCGTACGACATAGAAAGAGAACATCGTTGATATGGTTCCGCCCTTTCCCGCTGAATGCAACGTACAACGATTAGGAGTATATTACAGAAACTGAAGAACTCACTTCTTAGGAAGGGGCTCCCGCTGCACCTTGGACAACATGGCTAAGTTTAGGTAGCCATATCCTCTAAGATAAGTTTATACTCTTTCCTTCTTTTAGGCCGTTTCATAATTCGTAACTTCAGGGTACCAAGTATCCGCACCAGCCATGGGAATAGCACCTTATCAGCAATGCAGGCGACGAGAAAGTAACAAGCGCCAAGAATAATTGTAAATAACTGGAAGTCCCAGCGCGTTTTTGTTAGTTGCATCAGCCTCTTGAGGGGGCAATAGGCCCAAGAACCATGTGCAACGTGATGAGTGAGGCGATGAAAACGGTTATTACGAATGGCCCTGTAACAGGATTAGTGATCCCAGACAACTGGTAGAGGGGTGACCGAAGAGTTACAGTTATGTTTTAGTGACTGTCGAAAGGGCGGCCCTGCATTGAGGATGACGCCAGAGAAGATGTACTCGAAACAGGACACTAAAAATAGGGCAGTATTCTCCGAATTCTTTATATTCGGCTTTCTGTGCTTAACTTTCGGGGGAATATACCTGTTTATGAGATGTCAAATAGCAGCGCTTTACTGGCAACGTCAATTCGAAGCTTCATCTTACCAGGGTTGTTTTTTTACGACGAGAAAGGCTACAGTTTGCAAAAGAAGACAGAGGACCATATGCCCTAACAGAGGGACAAGGATCTTTCTTGACACTAGATTTGCTGTTGGCCGCTTTCTAGAGAGTGTAGGGTGAGGCCCGGCCCAACTCACTTGGAGATTTAGGTTAGTAATGGGAGCGGTTGTGAATAGGTAAGAGGAGACTTACTAAGGATCGCAATGGGTAGTATGAGAAAAAGGTCGATGAAAAGAAACTGCAAACACTGTTAAATCTAGAAAGAAGAAGTTGACAATAAAAGGGGAGCTAACGGAGAGGAATTCGAGATCCTCACGGAGAGCTCACGGGACTCACCTGAAAGTCGCCTAGATTTGAAGCCGACGCGTAAAGGAAGCTGACCGTGGTGAACTGGATCGCGGAGTAGAGGCTCATATACTTGAAGCAGCTAAAACTGGTGACAAGTGATGCACGGCCCTCCCTATTCACAGGCGTGGAGGGTTAGACAGGATTCAGTTCGCAGGGCAAAGGCAGTAGCAGGTGGCAGCTAGGCCGTGGAGCGCGGAAACTAGGTATGCACATACCGTATGATCTCAGGTACGCAACTAATATCAAAAATCCTTGATGTGAAAGGGGCAGCAACGGAAGCTTCCGCTTCCGAGAGCGAAATTCCGACATCGGCGGCCTTCAGCGCACCACAGTCATTGGCACCATCGCCACAAAAGCCACACGAGTAGCCAAGACTTTGTAGCTTTTCGACGAGTTCATGTTTCTCATCAGGCGACATGCGGGCGTAAACACGTCCTTGGACAAGGAGCTGGATTCGACCAGTCAGCCTTAGTATCGAATTAGAGATATTGGGCCTCGTTGTGCACTCACTCGTTGCAGCACTATGGCAGGCGCGAAATCCACGATCCAACGGAATATGTCCCCAGTAACGGCTATGGAGTAATTTCTAACATTCATGATATCGTACGGCAAAGAGGCATCCAATTGAGCGGGCAGGTGATAGGGCTATCGATAGAGGCTACAGTATTAGCTGAACATAAAGGACAGGCTTCGATAGAAAGGGGGCTCACGGTCAGAGTTTCGCGATTCAACAGGTACAGTGAATTGTCAATACTCTCCCATTGCAGAATGGCCTGACGATCTTGGGTGGAACCTGCTTCTACTGTTAGCGCCGCTCGACTAGACAGCATTGATTCTTACCCTCAAGAAATCGAGGGACAAAACAATGTGCATGCTTGTCTATCAGCCCACTTTTTCGGGCAACACTAATTGCTGTTAGTATATTGTCTCCTGTAACCATCGTCGTCGCTATATCTGCATTCCGGATTTCGTCAAGTACGGCTGCAGAAGCCTGCTTCAGCTTGTTTTCGAATATAATAAAGCCGATAAACTCTAAATCGGCTTCTACCTCCTCCCTCTTCATTTTTGGGCTCTCAGCCAACTTAGTCGAGGGATATGCTTTGTTGCGCAGCCGATAACCCTATAACCTTGATGGGTATAGTACGAAAGAAGCTCATCGTAATTTGCAGGAACTGGTGAAATGTCAGCAGTGGAGTACATTACAAAGGCTTCTCTCCAAGAAATAACACTGAGCGTGAAGGGCAATACTCACAGGACTTGGCCGTGCATATTTCCTTGAGACTTTCAGGCGCACCCTTAGTGTACACGTCACCACTCGGCTTCCCAAAATGCCTTACAACAACACTAGTCCGGCGAAGCTGGGGCACAAATTCGAATGACCTCAATATCCCTAGCTCGAGCGAAGGCTATTTAGAGTTAGTTCAGCAGTGTTAGCGATCGTTGACTCAAGAAGGAAAGGATATAGAGTACGACGCATACATCGAAGCCAGTGCCAGCATTCAAGTGCATGTGGCGAGGGGGTCTCGCGATGGGCGGCGCAATGCCACCCTGATCTTCATCATGATGCTCTCCCGTGCCTTGGTCTCCTTCCTCGAAATCCCAACCGGTGAAGCTGAACATCTTTAGGTCAAGAGGATCGCCAACCAGCTCACCATCAACAGATCTAAGGGAGTGGCAGGTGGTCATCGTAAACAGAGCAGAGCGATAACTGTTACAGCCGTTGCTCTGGTGTCCATGCTGGAGAGCGAGCGCGGTCAGCTGCTCAGATTGAGAGACAGTTTCGCAAAAGCCCTTTCTGGAGACCGTTCTTCTCCAGATACAACCCGCACCCCGAGAATATCCAAGCCATCCTCCGTTAGCGTTCCAGTCTTGTCGAAACACATTATATCCAGCTTTCCCCGACATTGACTCGCTGGGGGCTGATGCAAAAGATCTGTTTCTTTTAAGACGTGAGATGGCGAAACTTGTACCAATGGCTAGAGTGGCAGGAAGGGCCGGCGGTACTACAATTGTGACGAGGTCCAGTGCCCGTATGATAATCACATGCCACTCTACCCTTAGGCGTACGAAGTTGATGAGTGACGCAATAAAACCAAAGAGAGCCACCCCGGCCATGACACTTATATACCGGAAGGAGTCCCGGTAAAACTTAAAGCCGGACGGTTTAGGAAATAACATTGAACGAATCAATGATCCCTTTGTTGTATCGAACCCTGTGCGCACCACAAGACCAAGTGCAACTGCTTCCCCTCCCGAGTCTTCTTGGGGACGGCGAGCACGAATAATCTTTGTGCCACAGAAGAGGAAATGGCGGGCCATCGCAGGGGTCAAAGTTGATGCTGCAAGGTCCATTTGGTGGAGCATCCCTCCTGTAGCAGGGAATTTTGAGACAGGCACCGATTCTCCTATTAAGGTGAGGATGGCCGTTAGTTTACGGAGTTGTATACGAGAGTAGTGCGGGTTCCAAGAAGTACGTTACCAGTGAGCATGCTTTCGTTCACTATGCAATCACCGCTAAGCAAGACACTATCGGCGGGAAACCGTGCCAGCGCTGGGTCGCTGACTTCGTATACATCACCCACTGCCATTTCCGCAGAAGAGATATATCGCCCTGAGGTTCACCACCATTCGTGAGTCGCAGATCGAATGAGCTTGAAAAGATGCCTCCAAGAGTCCAGTCAGTTTCCAGGGACTTACAAAATCCGTTTCTTAGGACGCGGACATCACACTCGAAACGGGAGATTTCTTTGAGTCGCCGCATGGTCTTATTCGGCGTCAGTTTTGGTTTATTTTGTGTAAACAGAGTGCCGTATAGCATACCGCCCGGGTTTCAAGCAAAGTTGTAGTTATACTACCAAGAGAGATGAGGAATATGCAAACTGCATAGTAGTAGTACTCATCTAATGACCAGAGAATCAAGCTAGCGACTTGGAAAACATAAAAGGGTGGAGAACCTAAATGATGGGCGTCAGTTTCTATTGCAAATCGATGACATATCCGTACACAGGGCAATACATACCTCATCTACCATCAGTTTTGATATTGATTTTTGGTCAATGTCAATCACATTGAGGCCAAAGAGAGTCTCACGAAAGGAGCGCTCTTCAGCGTCGATTCCAGAACGGGCCAATCGCGCGTTGGCCCAGGCCGGGTCCTTCCAGCCGTGAAAAACGACAAAGCTGTCTTGTCCAGGATGGAAGAACAGGGATATATACCGATAGCTTACAACTCGCAGAGTTGGTAAGACCGGGTCATCATCATCATTGATTCCGAAAGAAACTGATTTGTCTGGGGAGCCAAATATAGTGGATAAAGGACGTCCATAGGGCTTGTCCTCAATTTGAACGACCATCATCTCTCCCCATTGATTCTATATTCCGTGACTAGGAGTTAAAGGCAGGTCAAAATAGTATATGTATCAGAACGACCACATACCTCGACAACTACCCAGGGACATGTGCCCAAAGAGCAAGGGCTACCGACGAGCCAGATGTACCAACGGGGCAACCACCGCAGTAACAGGTACCCTAACCCTAGAGTACAGACACAGAGCAAGAGGTAAGCAAAATAGCCGGTTGCACTCGTGCGAAAGCCAGCTATAGCGATAGTTAGATCTTCGTTTGCTAGATACGCCTTTTGACTGGTGCGTCGAGTTATCCGGCTGGATGCGAAAGATGCTGCACTGTTACGACGTAATAGATGGGCGCGGACAGAGCTCCTTGATAAAAGGGATGAACGGCGACGCGATGACCGATCAGATTCAGTACCATCACCCTCACTAATAATGAAACTATGCGAATCATCATTCTCATCTCCGTAGTTAATACCAATGCTTTCAAAGTCGATGTTGTTTTCTAGTTCAGTATCGGTGAGCGTGCTAGGGTCCTCGGATTCTAAATGGTAGGTAAAACTCGTGACAGAATTTGATCGTGGTCGACGATGAGAAAACGCGGAGAGGCTAGTGGGGAGACTTTCGGCGATAGGTCCAGAAAACACCTATAATTACAACAGTAAGGCCCTAGATCTTGAGTTTAGGTGGTTTAGGTGAGTCTCAAACCTCATCTTGCGCCATCTCTACATCTTCAAACACACTAGCATTACTTCTTTGCGAGTTGCGGCGAGATCGAGGGACAAGCTCCGCAGTGATGCCGGGCGCCTCACGAGAAGGGGAACACCAGTTCCTGAATCCATTATCTCTTCACCAAGGTCAATCACAATGAAGGCTGGACTGAATAATTAGCGAAGATGAAGCGCACTAAAGTGCTGCTTGAGCTCCGTGAACCGCGAATCAGTCACGAAATCGGTTCCAGATAGCAATCCCACTGCGTCTGTGGAAAAACATTCGAGGCGATATGATGGATAATAAGATGTATGTATAGCGGCCTTCAACAAGCCATGATACTAGCCCGATGGTTAAGGGAGTTGACAATGAAAAATCGAAGCACAACGAAGCTAACTATGGGTTGAGATTGGGGCGAGAGTTATGGGACATACATGTAGGGAGGTTGAGTGACGTCGATTCCTGAGAACTTTGAGAACCCTGATAATTGCATTACCTTGGGAATCTAGCAAAGTACGGCATGTATATAAGAGATGTGAGACAAAGCGGTGTGAAAGGCAAATCCAGTAACAGGGTTTCCAGGACTCGCTAGAGGTCGCTTCTTCTTTATTGGCGGTGGTCCATGTTGTTGGCTGAAGGACTAGCCCAGGGCTTCTTCAACAGACTGAGTACAACATTGGTGTATTTGTAGAGGAAAAAAATTGACCCATTGATAGCGCCGCTCAGGTCAACTCATCCTCCTTCATCCTCGCCCATTTATTCTTTGTTCCTCCTCCACCTCAACCTTCCCCGCCAAATTTCACAATATTCGTTCAGCACTCTCTCCTCGATATGGCTGAGCCCATCCCCAACAAGCGCCCAGAATCGGGCACTGCACCGTAGGTCTCTTTACATACCCTACCTTTTTCTTTATTCTTACAAAAACAAAACCCCCTCCCCGAAAAAGAGCGAGCCGGAGGGCCCCTCTTTCCGTTGCCTTTTCTCTATCAAATGCGACATCCTCAAACTTCACCCAAAGTTGAAGGCTTTGCTCCATGAATTCATCATATCTTTGCCACCAGCCCATGAGCTAGGCCCTCAGCTGATTTTATCCTAATATAGGACACCGCAGAATACTCCTGCTAATAATGCACCGATTTCCTCGCACGCCCAACAGCCAGGCGTCGCGAGCATCAAAGAAGGTGAGCTTTCAAACCGCCCACCCTCCCCTCTCTCCTTTAACATTTAACCAAGTCGCATGAGGCCACGACTAATCAAGTGCCTTGACGTACTAGAGGATCTCGACCGCGCGGCCGCATCTATCTTCGCACAGGACCCAAGAATTCTGCAGATGATTCAAGGGCGTCTGGGTAGTCTGGTCGGCCGATCTTCGGGCTATATAGAGTCGCTTCCTCCATCCGTTCGTCGTCGCGTGGCCGGTTTGAAAGGTATCCAGACTGAACACGCTAAACTTGAGGCTGAGTTTCAGGAGGAAGTCCTGCAGCTCGAAAAGAAGTACTTCGCCAAGTTTACGCCCTTGTACGAAAAAAGAGCCTCCATCGTCAACGGAAAGGCGGAACCTTCGGATGAAGAAATTCAACAGGGCGAGAAGGCCGATGATGATTCTGGGGACAATGATCAACCTCCAAAGGCAGTTGAGAAAGAAACCGATTCATCTTCCGAATCTGTGTCTGGAATTCCGGAATTTTGGCTTTCCGCAATGAAAAATCAAATATCTCTTGCGGAGATGATAACGGATCGGGATGAGGCGGCTCTGAAGCATCTAGTAGACATCCGAATGGAGTACCTCGACAAGCCAGGATTCCGTCTGATTTTGAGTTCTCCGACAACGATTTCTTCACAAACCAGGCAATTACGAAGACTTACTTCTACCAAACCGAGAGTGGATATGGTGGCGATTTTATTTATGACCATGCCGAGGGCGACAAGATCGAGTGGAAGAGCGGAAGGGATTTGACAGTACGCACCGAGAGCAAGAAGCAGCGAAATAAGAGTGAGTTTCGCCATACGAACGGGCATAGTAGCATACGATTCTCACATTCTTCTTCAGATACAAAGCAGACGCGCGTTGTCAAGAAAACCGTACCGACAGAATCATTTTTCAACTTCTTCTCGCCGCCAATTGCCCCCGAAGATGATGAAGAAGAAGCCGACCCTGATATCGAAATTCGACTGGAACTAGACTACCAATTAGGCGAGGATATCAAAGAAAAGTTGATTCCTCGCGCCATCGACTGGTTCACTGGCGAAGCCCTGCAGTACGAGGAAATGGATGACGAAGATCTAGAAGGAATTCAATACGACGACGATGATGACGACGATGACGATGACGACGCAAGTGATGATCAAGATGAAGAAGAAGATTCTGATGACGAGGTAAGGCAGCACCTGGCTCTTCAATCTCATCGGCAGCTAACAAGGACTCAGGATGATGCAGGCAGACCGAACAAAGAGGCGGCGGAGTGTAAACAGAGTTGATATTGTTCTTAGAAGGAATACTGTTCTTTAAGTTGTCAATTTCCTGCTGACAGGGAAGTCCAGTTCTCCAGCTGTTATGTGCGGGATACTCCAGCATCCCTTGTCATGAAAGCTCATGCCAGTGCTGCTAACTTAGTCATCACCGTCCGGTAAGGCAAATGTAGTAGACAGAGACAGTTGGCAGGACATATAAATCAATCTACCAAGTCAGTTTGGGCCGAACTTGCAAAACCAACCTTCTATACATGGGTAGAATTCGTAGAGATTATCAGGAATAGCCTTGGATACGCATCTGAAAGGCTGGTTTGAAGCCCGCGAGTTGGCGTCTGATAGTGCTCCTTGAGAGACTCTCCCCTTTTGACTTGTTATCAATAGATGACAGTGCTATAACCAGGTTTCCCCTTCCCAAGATAACTTCGGTGAACGAAAGAATGCAGCGCACTACTACCTCGTTAGTATCGATATCTCAGATTCTCAAAGTGTGAACAACCAATCATTAATCTACGCACTCGAGCTAAGAAAAATTCGACGCGCCCCGAAAAATTCAGTCCACGAATTACCCCGCGTGCTATGGTGGATACCTTATTGTTCATTAAGACAGCCTGAGGATCCATCGGATTCAGCTGATATATCTCATAAGCCTTGGTGGCAATTCCCCTTTTGAAGAGGGGAAGGTGGGGTGAGTGTGGCGGGGTCAGGTCCAGTCTCCCGTCTTTTGAAGGAACGAGCCACAGCCGACAATAATCTAGACAATCTTTGATCATCGTGTCAATGACTCAGCTCTCTGTTACTCTTGCTAAAATATTTGACTTTTTTTTTTGGGGGGCGGGGTTGTTTGGGGGTTTTTTTCCACCGTCTTGTCCTAAAAAGAAGGATCAAATCGAGTCTCACGCTTGAACCATTCATAGTCTAAAGCTCCAAAAAATTTATGATTTTGTACGGTTCATTCAACGTCTAATACTCAGATAATCAACTATATTGTTAAAATGTCAGCCACCCCAGCTCAGGATATCGAAGCGACTCATAGGGTCTCGTACAGCCTAAGCTTTTCCAATTCACCGACCATGAGTTTCAATTCCCCTCCTGTGGGTTCCTCGGCGCCAATTTGGGCGGAAGGTCCTTGAAACAGTTGACACCCTTCAACTCTCAAAATATCAAAATTCTTCTTCTAGAAAACATCAACGAGACAGGAAGGAATATCCTAACTGCGCAGGGCTATCAGGTAGAAGCCCTGAAGACGTCGCTGCCAGAAGCTGAACTCATAGAAAAGATCCGGTGAGTCGATTGCTGAATATATACCTCTATGTCAGTGGTTGGTATGTCGTCTTCTAACCCGGTTGGATAAACAGACATGTCCACGTCATTGGCATTCGGTCCAAAACGAAGCTTACCGAGACCATTCTACGTGAAGCAAAGAATCTACTTGTTATCGGCTGCTTCTGTATCGGAACCAACCAAGTTGACCTCGATTATGCAGCTAAGCAGGGAATCGCTGTTTTCAACTCGCCTTTGCAAATTCTCGTAGTGTGGCCGAGTTGGTAATCGCCGAGGTAATCGCGTTAGCTCGTCAACTCTGCGATCGTTCCATGGAGATACATCGGGGATTTTGGAATAAAGTCAGTCAAAACTGCTGGGAGGTCAGGGGCAAGACATTGGGTACGCTGCACTCTGCTGGTTTGCTTGTCCGCGTGGACTAATTTCTGCTAGGGATCGTCGGATACGGCCACATCGGCTCTCAGCTGTCGGTATTGGCGGAAGCCATGGGCATGAAAGTGATATATTACGATGTGGTGAGTCTGATGGCGCTTGGAACGGCACAGCAAGTCTCTTCCCTGGACGCACTTCTGGCAGAGGCCGATTTCGTAACTCTCCATGTTCCGGACCTGTCCGAAACCCGGAACATGATTTCCCACGCGCAACTTTCAAAAATGAAGGCAGGGTCGTATCTCATCAATGCAAGCCGCGGAACAGTTGTTGATATTCCTGCTCTAATCGATGCCATGTCATGCGGTCACATCGCTGGCGCGGCACTTGATGTGTATCCTAATGAACCAGCAGCTAATGGCGAGTACTTCAACAACAATCTCAATGCGTGGGGCGAACAACTTCGTGCCCTCAACAATCTTATCCTTACGCCTCATATTGGTGGGAGTACTGAGGAGGCCCAGCGGGCAATCGGCATTGAGGGTGCGTCGGCTTTTTCTTCTCGTCTGATCCGCTTGTGAGTATAGCGCAAACTAAAACTGTGAATCTACAGTTGGAGAAGCCCTCGTGCGTTATATAAATGAAGGGACAACCCTTGGAAGCGTGAACCTCCCTGAAACGAACCTGAGGTCTCTCACATCTGACGAACCTGACCATGCGAGGGTATGCCCATCGGTGCATCCTACCTTGTCTTGAAGTGCTTGCTAATGGTCTCCCCTAGGTTATCTACATTCACCATAACGTGCCCGGCGTATTAAGGAAGGGTAATTGAAAGCTTGATGAAAGAATCAATCATGCGGCTGCAGGGGCTAACCGGCTCCATTTAGTTAACGCAATTCTTGGTAACCACAATGTCGACAAGCAGATCAGTGATAGCAAAGGCGAGGTAAGCGCCATCTAGCAGTATGCCCTCATGCCGATACGATTCTAATTTCGTCGACAAACAGACTGCGTACCTCATGGCGGATATTAGTGATGTCAAGGCTCATGATCTTAAGGAGATCTCTGAACAACTTGATGCACTTAGTTGTAAGTCCTGCATCTTGTCAACAACCCCACACACATGTCCCCATTGCCTTGAAAACCCAAATCAAACTGACACAATCCATCAATAGCTCGAATACTTACCAGGATCTTGTACTGATGCCTTTCATAGCCTGGCAAGGGCCGGGAACGGCTTACAGAATGGAATACAGGAAAACCGATTCAAGTAACGGAGCATTCACAATCTGAGCAGAGATAAATTGACAAGAATATCAAGGCGTCTTAGGTGCCGGAAACTAAAAAGGACTTCTGGTGATTTGCGAACTTGTGTCATAAAAAACGTTGGCTCAATTATGAAGAAAAGCACTTCCATCCTGGCAATTGCAAACCACTTCGTGGATGTTATTCATGAAACTGGATTGATTTTGAAGCCCTCCACAATACGGGACAATATGGAGGAGGTACTTATACAACATGCATTTAAACAAAATAGTAAATTTCTGACTGCTCTCTTGTTTCATCTTGCTTAAATAAACACGAAACAGCAACTTGCTGCGAAAATGATCAAGCATACAGACGCGTGCTGGACAAAAGTTGTCAGTGCGCCGATCCATTGCCCCTTTCCAAGCGTCCAATAAAGCACCACAGCTCAACCTCAGTCTCCTCCTCATAATCAAAGGGCGATTTTCACCACTCCTTTTCTTGTTTCCCTGTCCTCGCGACTGAGAATTTCATCAACGAGGTCTCTGGTTTTATCAGACACGAATACTGTCATAGCTAACTGTATAGTCGAGGGACCTTCTAGCTATTTGCGCACTGAATCTCACAGGTCCACTTTTGAAGTGTCGTTTCCCCTAACAGCCAATCTAGACGCTCTTTGTCAGCCTTGGACTCACAACGCGATTCTTGCATCTCTTGTTAGGCCACGCGAGGAAGGGATATCGAAAGCCCTGTCGAAACGCCGTGCCGAGTCGCTGCAGCACGCCAAAGACTAGGCCCTCAGACGAGCCACGCAGACTCCCACTTGGATCCCCCGATGACCTCTTTGTCTCTATAGCGGGCATTGTTTTTTTCCTCTTCAGACCCAAAGCCCGCCACCTCCTTTCACACCTCCAGTCTGCGGCCTTAACTCAACTCAATGGCTCACAGTTATGATATTGGAACGAGGGCTTGGCAGCCTGACCCAACTGAAGGTTGGGTAGCCTCAGAGCTCACAGACAAAACAATCAATGGCTCGAAGGCGAGATTGGTGTTCCAACTAGATAATGGCGAGGTGCGATGTTATATGGCCACATAGGTTGAGAATCCTAATGTTCTGACCAAGCTATAGACAAAAACAGTAGAAGTCAACGCTGATGCTCTCGCAACCGGCTCCGATCCCGCACTTCCACCACTCATGAACCCTGCCATGCTCGAAGCGAGTGATGATCTAACTAACTTATCTCACCTGAATGAGCCCGCTGGTTTGTGGATTTCGATTGTGCTGCCTTCTACAGTTTCCAAAAGTGCTAATCTTGTATGGAAACTTGTTAGTGCTCCAAGCCATCCGACTCAGATACGCTCAAAAGGAAATCTACACTTATAGTGGCATTGTGTTAATCGCAACAAATCCCTTCGCAAGAGTTGATTCCCTATACGTCCCGGGAATGGTACAGGTTTATGCGGGCAAACAGAGGGCAACGCAAGCCCCGCATTTGTTCGCAATCGCTGAAGAAGCATTCATGTAAGGCTGGATCCAGAAAGCGCAAGCTTTATCATTCTATAACAATCCGCGTCATACTGATCACTATGAATACACAGGGATATGCTTCGAAGTGGGAAGAACCAGACGATTGTTGTCTCTGGGGAATCAGGTGCGGGAAAAACCGTCAGCGCCAAGTATATCATGCGATATTTTGCCACGAGAGAGTCACCCGATAATCCCGGGACCCGGTCCAAGAAAGGGCCAGAAGCTATGAGTGAAACGGAAGAGCAAATTCTAGCCACGAATCCGATCATGGAAGCGTTTGGGAATGCGAAGACGACCCGGAACGACAACTCATCTAGATTCGGGAAATATATCGAGATAATGTTCGACAAGCAGACGAACATTATCGGAGCAAAGATTCGAACATATCTGTTAGAGCGGTCAAGGCTTGTTTTCCAACCCCTGAAGGAAAGAAACTACCATATTTTCTATCAACTGGTGGCCGGTGCCCCTGACAAGCTACGCCAGGAACTCAATATTCTACCAATTGAACAGTTTGACTATTTGAATCAGGGTAATTGTCCAACAATCGATGGAGTCGACGACAAGGCCGAGTTTGAAGCAACAAGACAATCACTAAAAACAGTTGGAGTTAAAGATGATCAGCAAGTGTCCATATTCCAACTTTTAGCTGGGCTGCTACATCTTGGCAACGTCAAGATTACTGCATCGCGCACTGAGAGCGTTCTTTCACCGACTGAACCTTCACTTGAACAAGCTTGTGCTCTCCTTGGTGTAAATGCGGCTGAGTTCGCAAAGTGGATTGTGAAAAAGCAACTGACAACCCGGGGCGAAAAAATTATATCAAATCTCAGCCAAGCACAAGCGGTCGTGGTCCGGGATTCGGTCGCCAAGTTCATCTACTCAAGCTTGTTTGACTGGCTCGTCGAAACCATAAACAGAAGCCTCGCCACCGACGATGTTCTGAATCGTGTTTCCTCATTTATTGGCGTTCTAGATATCTACGGCTTTGAGCATTTCGCGAAAAACTCGTTCGAGCAGTTTTGCATCAACTACGCGAACGAAAAACTCCAGCAAGAATTCAATCAGCACGTTTTCAAGCTTGAACAGGAGGAATATCTAAAGGAGCAAATCGACTGGACCTTTATTGATTTCTCAGACAACCAGCCTTGCATTGATCTGATTGAAGGAAAGATGGGTATTCTCTCCCTCCTTGATGAGGAATCCCGTTTGCCGATGGGCACGGATGACCAGTTCGTAACCAAACTACACCACAACTACGCTGCGGACAAACACAAGTTTTTCAAGAAACCGAGGTTTGGAAAGTCGGCCTTTACAGTGTGCCATTATGCAATCGACGTCACTTATGAGTCTGAAGGTTTTATCGAGAAGAACCGAGACACGGTGCCTGACGAACACATGAAGATTTTACGAGCAACAAGTAACGCATTTCTACGTCAAGTCCTCGATGCAGCATTAGCTGTCCGTGAGAAGGATTTGGCCTCCTCGACCTCTAATGCCGTGAAGCCTGCTGCCGGGAGGAAGATTGGTGTCGCAGTAAACAGGAAGCCTACCCTGGGCGGCATCTTTCGGTCCTCACTCATCGAATTAATGAATACCATTAATAATACTGACGTTCACTACATTCGGTGCATCAAGCCAAACGAGGCTAAGGAATCGTGGAAATTCGAGGGCCCCATGGTTCTCAGCCAACTTCGCGCGTGCGGTGTGCTTGAAACGGTACGCATTAGCTGCGCCGGCTATCCAACCCGTTGGACCTACGAGGAGTTTGCCCTACGCTATTACATGCTCGTCCACTCAACTCAATGGACTTCCGAGATTAAGGACATGGCTGACGCAATCTTGACGAAAGCCCTGGGAATCAGCTCCGGCCAACGTTCTGATAAATACCAGCTTGGTTTAACAAAAATATTCTTCCGAGCTGGTATGCTCGCGTTTCTTGAAAATCTGCGTACCAGCCGTCTCAATGAGTGTGCAGTTCTTATTCAGAAGAACCTCAAGGCTAAGTATTATCGACGCCGATACTTATGGGCACGGGAATCAATTATACTATGTCAGTCTCTCGCTAGGGCTAGGGCAGCGAGGTGCCAGGCTCAAGAGCTTCGAACTGTAAGGGCGGCGACCACTATCCAGCGCATTTGGAGGGTCAACGACAACGCAAAAGTTTCTTCATATCCGCAACAATGTCGTCCTGGCCCAAGCCGCTGCAAAGGGTTACCTTCGAAGAAAAGAAATTTTGGAAACGCGGATTGGAAATGCGGCCCTTATCATTCAGCGTGTCTGGCGGTCCAGGCGGCAGATGCGCGCGTGGCGACAATACCGAAAGAAGATCATTCTTATCCAGAGCTTGTGGCGCGGCAGAAGTGCCCGCCGTGAATATAAGCAGCGACGCGAGGAAGCACGCGATCTCAAGCAAATCTCCTACAAGCTCGAGAATAAGGTTGTGGAACTCACTCAGACCCTGGGCTCCATGAAAACACAGAATAAAACTTTGTTGGCACAGGTTGATAGCTATGAAAGCCAGCTAAAATCATGGAAGGCACGCCACAATGCTCTTGAGGCACGCTCTAAGGAACTTCAGGCCGAGGCAAATCAGGCTGGCATCGCAGTCGCCCGATTACAAGCGATGGAAGATGAGATGAAGAAGCTCCAACTCAATTTCGAAGATTCTACGTCTAATATAAAGCGACTCCAGGAAGAAGAGAAGGCCCTCAGGCAGTCGTTGCGCGCCGCAAATATTGAGCTAGACCAAGCACGAGAGGAAAGACTTCATGTTGAAGATGAGAAGCTCTCTCTTCGTCAGCAACTAGTCGAGCTGCGAGACCAGCTCGAGATCGCGAAACGCACGCCTGCCATGAACGGCGAGGCGGTCAATAACGGAGTGATCAACGCCCCCTCAGTCACGAGTGGCTTAATCAATTTTGTATCGTCCAAAACGCCCAAACGTAGGAGTGCCGGTGCCGAGCCTCGAGAGGTCGACCGTTTCAGTGCCACATACAACCCCCGACCGGTTTCGATGGCGGTTGCATCAGGAATACGTGGGCAGAACTTGCCTGGTGCGGCGTTCATCCCTGGGGTGGACAACATCGAGCTTGAGCTTGAAACTCTGCTCGCAGATGAGGAGGGACTAAACGAAGAGGTGACGATGGGTCTAATTCGAAATCTTAAGATCCCGTCACCTAACACCAACCCACCACCATCCGACAAAGAGGTTCTATTCCCTTCGTATCTGATCAACCTTGTTACATCGGAAATGTGGAACAATGGATTTGTCAAAGAATCGGAACGGTTCTTGGCCAATGTCATGCAGTCCATTCAACAAGAGGTGATGCAACACGACGGTGACGAGGCCATAAGCCCTGGTGCGTTTTGGCTATCTAATGTCCACGAGATGCTATCCTTCGTCTTCCTTGCAGAAGACTGGTACGAAGCCCAAAAGACCGACAATTACGAGTATGACCGTCTACTCGAAATCGTGAAACATGACCTGGAGAGTCTCGAGTTCAATATTTACCACACATGGATGAAGGTTTTGAAGAAAAAACTTCAAAAAATGATCATCCCTGCTATTATTGAATCCCAGTCTCTTCCAGGATTTGTAACAAACGAGAGCAATCGATTTTTGGGCAAACTTCTACAGTCAAACTCCACACCGGCTTACAACATGGATAATCTCTTGAGTCTTCTCAATGGCGTATTCCGGGCTATGAAGGCATACTACCTTGAGGATTCCATCATAACCCAGACGATCACGGAGCTTCTCCACCTCGTTGGCGTGACTGCATTTAATGACCTCCTCATGCGGAGAAACTTCCTTTCTTGGAAACGAGGGCTCCAGATCAATTACAATATTACCCGTATTGAAGAATGGTGCAAAAGCCACGATATGCCGGCCGGTACTCTGCAGCTGGAACACCTTATGGTAAAGCATCTAATCCAACACCAGCCACACGCTCACCCAAAGCTAACCACACTCTTGGTATTTAGCAAGCAACGAAGCTTCTACAATTGAAGAAGGCGACTCTGAACGACATCGAAATCATTCAAGATATCTGTTGGATGTGAGTATAGAACTACACGGGATATCCTTCGCCCATTCACCGCCGTTCACCTCTAACACAAGTGGTCTCATAGGCTTTCGCCCAATCAAATCCAGAAACTCCTTAATCAGTATCTTGTTGCGGATTATGAGCAGCCTATCAATGGTGAAATTATGAAAGCCGTTGCCTCGAAGGTTTCAGAAAAGAATGACACTCTTCTTCTTCCGGCTGTCGATCTAGAGGACAGCGGGCCGTACGAGATTGCGGAGCCTCGGGTCATCACGGCCCTGGAAACATATACACCATCTTGTAAGGCTTCTATGTAATCCCATCCTCGCATAGTGGACTAATACTAGTGTTGCTAACAACTGATTATCACAGGGCTGCAAACTCCCAGGCTCAAACGTTTAGCGGAGATTGTGTCAGCTCAGGCCCTCGCTCAGCAAGAACGTCTTGAATACGGTGATGAAGACGGTGAGTATGCGGAGCACAATTCGGAAACCATGTCCACAGTAGACGAGGGAGATGTGGTCCCCGTGTAACTTCGAGGCAGCCAAGCAGTCGGTCAACACCTAGTGTTGATTCTCAGAATCCCAGCAGATGCTTAGCATCTCTAACGACAACCCAAACATCCGTTTTCAAAGCTTCATATCTGTAAGGCCTCGATAATCAATATATAAATTTTATACCTTGTAGTGCTGTTGATCTACCGAGGTACAATATGTTCTATTTAGACAGCTTGTATATGCTTTATCACCTAGTTCCATTATGTCTAAACAAATACCTCAAATTTGATAACTGAATAATAGTCGAAACCCGGGGTGGCGCTTCCCATTAATTGATCTTAGTCACCATTTGTTTTTTTCTATTAGCATTAACAGCTGATGCTTGAGATGCGCCTAGCAAGGCTTTTAGGGCTTAACATCTATGCCTTCTGAGGTAATCACCCTACCAAAAACTTAGTCTTATCTGATGGAAAGGCTTTCTCCCCTCAATCAAAGCTATGGCTGATCGAGCGAGGCAAAGGGAATCTATTCACGAACAGAAGTATACCTCCTAAATAGGGCACCTAAGAAGAGATAGACCTCTCAGACTGCATCTCAGGTTTATTAGGAGTATCGCTACGTTCAGTAGAGTAAGACGATGAAGCGCTCCTCCCCAAACATTATTATCACAGGCACACCTGGTGTTGGCAAAACAACCCATTGCGAACTTCTTTCACAAAGACTGGTCTTCAGCACATATCTGTGAACCAAGTTGTCAAAGATCAAGGGTGCCATGAGGGATGGGATGAAAGCCTTGCTAGCTGGATTGTCGACGAAGATAAAGTGAGTTTTAAGCCTTGGATTTTTTCAAAAGGTTTCTTTTCAAAATCTCCCCTCACCAAAGGCGGAGCCGATCTATAAAGTCTTCAGGACGAACTCCAATTCTAACCCACTCTCTCTCTCCCCCTCCTTTTTTTTGAGGCAAATGGCGACTAATCCCAAGAGCTTGCTAGCTTTTAGATCACTTAGAAGACCGCGTGCTTATGGGCGGATGCCTGCTAGATTGGCATGCGTGTGATCTGTTCCCTCTAAGCTGGATCGATCTCGTGGTCGTCCTTCGGGTCAGCTCCTCGACCCTCTACGATAGGCTTGCTGCAAGAGGGTATTCAGAGGTCAAGCTGCAATCAAATCTTGATGCTGAGCTCATGGACGTATTGATCGAGGAGGCTCGCGAGTCGTATGACGATGAAATTGTCATTGAGCTAACGAGCGATTCATCAGAAGAGATGGAGGGAAATATTGATCGTATCGAACAATGGGTGCAGCAATGGAGGCTCGACCAAGCGACGGGAAATTTAGATCAGTCTGTCGAATAGATTTAGGGTGATGAACAAAACGGGTGGGGAAAAAGCCGTAAAGACCCTACTACACAATCCCGTCAGGCCCTCACTCAGGGTTTCCTGAAATTGCTACTCGCTCTCTTTGGGCTCCATGCATCAGCCGCCGGAGTTTGGTAGTGTAGATATAAGCAGAGATATTGCCGCCCATGCTTGGGCGGGTGTAATTGATCCATCAAGACCAGGTCAGGTGCACATGGGGTGTTTGCCATCAGAGAGGACCCTCTCTGCCTCTGTACAATTAGAACCCGGTTTCGGGGCGAAACCCCACACTTCGCAGTCGACAGCAGTATTCAGTGGTTTTCCTTATAAATAATTGATAAAATAAAAATATTCCCGAGACGGGCCCAAAAATATATAACCTGATACCCTTTTTCCTCTCTTCTATACTTACAATAAAAACTTCTCAGATGGGGTCCATCGGCCAACCCGTGGTGTATCTTATCACAGGGAATGCTAACAAACTGAGGGAAGTGAAAGAGATGCTTGAGCCAGCCATCTCAGTTCACAGCAGGGACCTTGATATTGTAGAAATCCAAGGCTCTATTGAAGATATCACTCGAACCAAGTGTCAAAAGGCAGCGGACCTAGTATGTAGAGAAACTCGGCTGTAGCCCGGGGCTACGCAAAGCCCCAAAACCGCAAGAAAACTGACTGAGTGTCGAACTAGGTAAACGGGCCTGTTCTTGTTGAGGATACTGCGCTCTGCTTCCAGGCGTTGAAGGGGCTACCAGGACCTTACATGTACGTTTATCAAGGTCGCCGGCCTAGACCAGTTTGGTCTTCCTGCCTTTTCTCCATCTGTACCTCCATAACTCGATATCCTAACAACCATGATGCTGAAAGCAAATGGTTTCTACGAACCTCGGAAACGATGGCTTGAATAAACTGCTTGCAGGATTCCCTGATAAATCTGCGGAGGCTGTTTGCACATTCGCGTTTTCACATGGGCCTGGACATGAGCCTATTCTGTTCCAAGGACGGACGACAGTTTGTCAAGCCCGATTGTGAATGAATATTAAAGGCGCATGAGAATAACCTAAGGTACTCGCCGAAAGGCAGCACCTTGGCTTTTCTTGGTACTAATATCATATAGGGTACTATAGTGCCGCCGCGAGGGCCGCAAAACTTTGGTGAGTCTTAGTAACGACATCTGTTCAGCCATCCAAGGACTAACCCTCTTATACAAACGAGCAAAGGCTGGGATGCATGTTTCGAGTACGGTGGTAAAACGTACAGTTCCTACCCTTCCATACTACACATTCCTTTGTGGTAGGACTTACGCTCATCTGTGCTATGTAGATTTGCCGAGATGGCGGCACACGAGAAGAACGCAATATCACATAGAGCACTTGCGCTTATACGACTTCGAGCGTGGATTCTCGAAGGTGGTTCCTAGCTTAGTCCGCGCTCCCATTCTAGGGCAGACACCCCAATAAGATGGCGTTGTGTGGCCCTATAAATACTTGCGACTACTTATTCCGAGTTATTCAGACACATAATGATTTCAAATTCACGATAGCTTTTCAAGTCGGATACGCCTCGACGATACAGACGGAGGAACCTAAGGACGTCCTTGCCTTTGAGTGCACGCTCCATAGCGAGGTCCCATTTTTCAGTGTAGTAGTATTTCGGGTCAAAAACGAGGAGGCTTAGCCCCCCTGTCTTAACTTTTCGACTCCTACGATAGTCATCGAATGTTCTTATGAGATAGGTTAGAGAGTCCATATATGATTGAGGCAGTTAGCTTACTCGGTGTTTGGAGATAGAGAGGCGGCAACTGAGTGCATCTAAGTGAATTTGGATCTTGCGGTGAGAATTGAGAGCGTCTCTCAAAGTATGTGAGGACTGCGTTCAAAACTTCGTCATGCGCCGCCTTAGTCTTAGACCCGCGGAAGACGTGAACGGCATAGCTGACAATCCTATTAGTTATATGTATAAGTATCGATTATAGGGAGGTTGATGGCATACGGGATACCTAAACCTTTCAAAACAGCTTCAACCTATATCAAATGGTAGGAATGAGTGATATGCGAGCACAAACATGGCTAGGACCTCATCACCTCTGGGGTGCCGATGAACTTCCTAGTTCCTCTAATCCCGCCAGTCTGAATACGACCTTCAGGGCGAATCCCTTTATCCCAGGCTTCTTCTATGCAATCTTGAAGGGCGAAGACAGAAGGAGGGCCGGTGCTGAAACGGCGATTTTCAGGCGCGTGTGTTGCATCAATATGGGAGACTAGCATTTGGATGTTCCTATAACCGCAAAATTGGCCTTTGGAATTTAGTGTTCGCGGGCTTGTGGTAGTAAGGCTACGGATAGTATAGATACCTTCCCATTTCAACTTGAATAGCTGTCGCGTTGCGTGATGGCAGAAATACGCATATTCTGTACTCTCGCTGTTCAGAAGGCATTGCCGCAAGCGGCTTACCACATCTAGATCGCCGTCATTTAGAACACCTGGCGGTCGCACTGCAGATTATGTAGATAGAGGTGAATGAAGAGCGCTTTACCTTCTTTCCAGGTCCCTTGTTCTTTGCGCAGAAGCGTTTCAAGCCATGACGGCATGCGCTTCTCGTAAGCATAAAGTCCCAATTCCCGCATCTACATCGGTACTGAGATCAGCATTTGGAGTCTGCGTAATAATACTTTGATTTCACGGACTCCTAGTCTTCTTACGTCCCCAACAAGGGCGGTAGTAGGGGACACGTTTTGTTGCATCCTGCTTCAGGTGAGCTAAGGTTGTTCCACGTCATAGATAAATGGCCCACGGCACTCTAGATTTGAACAGCAGGTGAAAGAATAAAGGCATACATTATGTCTCAAATAGCGAGAGTGTTCCAGTTCTAGCATCTTTCCCATTCCGTGTCAGCATATACTTCTCCTATGCTGCAACCATGAGGTGTGGTGAATGTCAGGGACGTTCAAAGAGTTAGTCAAAGCGTTTTGGAATTATGCGTCATCCGTGCTCACTCCCTCGGAGCTGAGTATTTTATTGCTTGTACCGAGGTACCTTGTTACAAATAGCCATTTATAAGAGCAAAGTGGGGCAGAAATCGCAGAAGGAATGCGCCAGTGAGAATCATGTATATTGCATAGTCGAGGTTCTACATAAACGTTTGTGATTTATAAGCAAGGCAGACCTAGCGGTTCGTTCCTGTTTCTGAGAGCTCTTCATTTGGATTCTTTCTTCTTAGGGTTGACATTGGCAGTTTTTTGTGATGTCGTGTGTTTCGGCAACTCTTTTGAGTAAGGAATCAGGTCAGGCGAGCCGGGAAGATACTTTTTCAGCGGCTCGGGTACCTTGAACCCCTAGTAGGTTGATCATGGTTAACTTGTTCCTGACAAAGGGATGGCTCCGAGGTCCACTTACATCTTCCGTCTGGTAATTTTCCAAAAGGCAGCAAAGGGTTCTTGTGGTTGCACAAAGGGTCGCATTCAAGCAATGAACATATTTTTCTTGACGTCAGTTTGAGATTTCGCACCAAACCGAATTTCGAGGGCTCTGCTCTGGTAATCGGTACAGTTTGAGCAAGACACAAGCTCCTTGTACTCGCCCTGGAATGGGAACCAGGCTTCTAGGTCGAGCTTCTTCGCTGCAGCGTTATTCAGGGCCCCAGAGACGATGGAAACTATTCGGTATGGCAAACCCAGCGACTGGTAGAACTGTTCTGAGATGGATATCATCTCATCAAATGCTTCCCATGACTTCTCCGGGTCGGTCAACTGAAACTGCTCTACCTATTCCACGCCCTGTTAGTTATTCCGACTTTTGCCAATACGCTTCGATACTTCGATACTTACCTTTGTGAACTCATGTACACGGTAGATCCCCCAAGCGTCTCTTCCATGTGAACCCGCTTCTCTTCGGTAGCAGGTGCTGTAGCCGGCGTACCTAAGTAAAAAGTAAGACGGGTACTCAGGTGGTTGTAAGTATAGGAATTAGATACTTGATAGGAACATCGTTATTCACCAGCCATTCATCCGCGTGGAATGCTGAGATAGGCTGCTCAGATGTAGCAATGAGATACTTGTCATTCTGTGGTTCCCCGTCAACCACTTTATACAGCTCTTCGTCAAACTGAGATAGTTGTGCTGTTTTGGCCATATACTTTTGAGCATCATTTGGGGTGTCTGGAGAGGTATATATTCATGCTGGGCAAGGAACTCGAGACCATAGTTGATAAGTGCCTGGTTTCTACAGGGTCTGCATGTTAGTTGTGGGATGAGTGTGCGGAATAGCGACTTACAGGAAGACACCCCATTGGCGCAGAAAATACCCCCTGTGGCCAGCAACCTTTACTCCTCTATCCTGGTCATATCCGTCAAGACGGAGGAGGACTTCGTGGTGCGAAAGACACTGTTTCTTCTCAACGACAAGTCCTTCTGGAGCCCATGTTTTTGAATTTCGTTATCATCCTAACAATAGACGGCCGACCTTTAGTAGATAACGCTATGCAATTCAGGCCCAACCTACCTCATTATTGCTGACGGGCACGGTTTCATGAACAATGTTTCTAGTTCATTATTAGTTGAAATTCCATCGCTCTGTCTTGGTGGTGTTGTAGTACCCAATAGAAGAAACCTTTGCCTTTAGACTGGCTTCTTTCTCGCTCGCAGCATCGATCAGGGCCTTCTTCTCCAGGTCAAGAGCAACTTTTTGCTCTAAAAGTTCTGAGGCGTCTTCTTTCGCCTGTCAATAAAATTAGTATTGGATAGCTTGGCTCGCGGCCGAGTCTAGGTGTGAGCCGATGGTTCTATACCTTCTTCTTTATGCCAATTTGTTTTTGGACTTCGTTGATCTTCGACCCAACCTGTGTAGCTTGGTAAAGCGTCTAAGTAGGCCCGCTATATTTAGGATATGAAGGCTCAAAAGTAATCGAACGGTGAGATCCATGCCGTACCTTTCGGTGGTCCTCCCAAAGCGCGATCACTTGGTCCACAACTTCGACATCAGCATATCGCCGTCGCTGCGAATCCCGAATCTTTTCTGGGTTACCACCCCGTTCAGAAATGAAGTCTACGACGTCGAGCATGCCGAACTATTTTGTTGTGATGATGGCGGGTGTTGCAAGCCGTTGTTGATGAGAAGGGGACGAGATTTTTCTGTCTTGGTGGGTGCGGGTCAAAGTGGGGTGTCAGGTTGACGTTCCCAATGGAGGGGTAATACCGAGCTCCTGATCAAAGAGTGAACCTCAATGGCGGGGTAAACTCTTGCACACATTGATTTACTTACCTACCAACTCAGATAGGTGAGAATAGTTTCATCTAACCGCGCCCCCCTCCCCCGACAGGACCTAATTTCCAATTGCCACCTGAGTAGGTGCATATGCTAAGCCTATACGTAGTATTTGCATCAATCCTATCCGTCAACGAGGTCATTGAGGATTGAACTATTAAAATAGCATACACAGCGAGGATCGTTTGTTGCTCTCAAACCTGAGGCAATTATGCTGACTATCTGCTTGTGATAGAGTCAGTACCGTTCCGAGTTTAGCAGCTGCCATGCAAGGTCAAGCTGTTCTCGATAGGTTGTATCATTGGCCCTGTCTCCAACCCATGGAATCTGAAAACAAGAATCTACATGTAATAAATAGAGGTCTACAGTAATCCCTTGCTTGTCCTTGAGCCCCACTTAATCAGAAACAGCATGAAAGGAAACAGACAAGTGGTGCTGCGTTTTAAACGAAAACGCGACTTATTAGTCTTGGATGAACTAACTCTTACATGAGTGAACATGCCTTTCCTTCCTGGGTATCGACCGGGCTTTGAGACTTTTCGATTTGTGCAACAAGAAGCTCAAACGCCTTAGAAACGTTTTCGTTGTATCTTGCGCTGGCTTCGGTCCATCCACACTGAAGACGTTCTGACAACTTTCTACCTTCATCCGCACTGACTTGGCGCTGCTCCGGGCGCAAGTCGCTCTTATTGCCGACAATCACAATGGGAACAGAATCAGTGCCCTGGGGAAGAGATGAGTATCTAAGTCTGTGGGTATTTCCTCCTTCCCTAGAAGCATGTGCACTTACAAGATGATTTAAGATCTTATCCCTGACAACCTGTACCATTTCGAAGGATGGCAATGATGCGACTGAATATACAAGCATATAACCATGGATACCAATAAAATGTTTCGAGTTTAGTATGCTGTATTCATCCTGGAGCCAACGCACGGGCAAGTTAATGAAGTGCGGCCACCTCGGAAACACAGACAGGGCTGTGCAGGAGACCTATAAAATACCTGTCCTGCAGTATCAACGATTTCGGTTGTGAAATCTTGACCTCTGTAGCGGATGTTTTTTGTGAACGTATTCTCGATTGTCGGGTAGTAGCTGTCGACGAAATGGCCATCGACGAATTGAACCGCGAGAGATGACTTGCCTACTAGGTGTTAGTTCCTTAGTTTCCTATCTGCTTAACAATATGGGCGAGTAGTTGGCATGGACAGACCGACGGATCTACTCCCGACTATCGCAACCTTTCGTTGCTTTGGCGACGTCATTCGTAAGTTGGGGAAGCACGTCGTTTGAGGGTGCTGGTTGGACTGCTGAGTATATGTTGTCTGAGGACGTGAAAATATAGTTATGGATAACTATGATATGTATTAAGTGCCCTAAATGCCGTGTTGCAGAAAATAGATTATGACAATGAAAATGATAGAAATGATTGCGAAGTACCCCCAGGCTTGTTGTCGCGAGAGCTCCAAGGCTTAAATGTTTTACATGTAGTCATGAGGGGTGGAGTACTTGGAGATATTCTAACCGGTTTTATGCAATGGTGATGGATATAAGAATCACATGTAAATCGAGAAGTGGCATCAACTGGAAGAGAGACTCTTTTCAGCTCCAGCTCCAAAAGATTAGAGGGTAAAATCTAGCGGTGCTTCTCATTCCTAGTTATTGTATAGTACTGCTAACACCAATTCCCGCACACGAATACAACCTGGGTATATCACCAGATCGCCGGAGAGTCAATATCGTCTCGGCTAGATTATGAATGTTAGGGGCTTAAAGGCTTTGTGGTTGGGTATCGGGTCAAGAGGGCAAAACAAATCATTCCTGGAGCTGCGAGTTTAGGGCCCCCTTGGAGGGTATCAACAAGCGCCTTTAGGCGCGTGATTTGGCCGTTTGAATCCATCTTGTTATCGACAGACTGATACAAGGAGATAAACTCCCGTATGGCATCTACAAGAGACACCACATCGCGCGTATTATTCATTGATTTGAACCGCTGCCGCACCGGTGCTGACAGACATAAGTAGCCAAGTGCTAAAGCAATATATCCCACTACCACGTTTAACTGGGATTTTTCAACAGAATCTGCCTATAGTAAAGTGTGAGCCGGTGGTTCTTTCGCGCTAATATAAGGAGTCCGAGGTGTGACCTACCTCACGAGTCAAAGAAGAGTTATCAAGAAAGGTCTGAATGAGATCCTCCAACACTGCATCTTCAAGTGGCGGATCTGCTGGTCTAACATGTTCGCAAATATTGATTGTAACACCGAGGATGAGTAACAACCGATTGTAGAGGTCAGCATTCCATTGACCGTTGGCCACATCCGATTTCACAAGATTGAAATGGCTGGTGGCTGATGCGACAAGGGTTTGGAAGCGTCCAGTATCTTGCCAGATGGAGGCAGCAGGGGCACTATTGTTGGTAGTATTCATTGCCAATTTCAAAATTGAACTCTCAATCGCTCCAAATGTGGTAGCAGGCCGCTTAAGAGCAATATCTAGGGCATTTGATATCGTGTGATGGTGGCCTTCAGGCCACTCCATGGGGCCCGGGTCAGTGACGGCGGCACCGGATAATTCTTCAAGGATCGTAGCAACCATGAGTCTATCATGCGAACTGAGATCTTTCTCATCCTGTTTGGAGGTTTCATGCCGAAACGATGATTTTAAAAGGTACAGGAGGTGCCCGATGACTTGGGATGACGTCTTGAGACACTCTATCCCTTCTTGTGAGCGGCAAGAGATGAACATGAACATAAGAGCAAGCCTATGAGGCGACATTCCAGTCGGTTTTGAGGGCCAAAAACTTAGGCGCCCAACCAATGTGCCTAGTACAGCCACGGCTTGTTGAGATTTCCGCGAGAGCTTCAATTCTTTTCGCGTAGCGATATCGAATATGTCTTCATGATGTTGCAACAACCTTGCAAGAAGCCGGCAAATGCCTGCATCCTGAAGCGTCTTGTAGTTCCAGATGGGTACACTGGCCCCGAGGAGGGTAAGCAGCGCCGAGATGAGTGAAAATGCATTTATCGGGTCCGTTTCAGCAGAAAGGTCATCGAAGAGAGTTCGCGGAGGGCCGTAATCTTTGAACTGACGAAGAAACCGCTTTTCATGTAACTTCGTCGCAATTTCAAGGAGGGCATTCCTTCGAAGGGAAGCTGTCTCGCTCTGTGGGAGGCCGACCCGCTCAAGTAGGTCATCTATCTCATCCGTATACCGATTATTGGCGCCTGCTTGACGAAGCTCGTGTATGCTTTGGACTGCGCCTTTGTGCGACGTGTCCTCGTCGCTATCATCTGATAAAATGGGAACATTAAGGGAGAATAAGTCTCCTTGGTCCGAGGGAAGTGTCGGTTTCATGGCCGGGGATGCTATTAGGGATTGAACTGGATCTGTTGGGTTGACCTCCCTCAGGATTGACCTCCGTGATCCATACGTAACCTTGACCGTAGTAGCTGCTTTATTGACCCGGTTATGCCTTGGTGTTGCATTATGCGCTGGAGAGCAGACATCCATATCAAGCTTGACATCGTCGTTGGGAGAAACGGCATCATCAGCCACAGCGGTACCGTGGTGCTGTTCGACCTGGAGAGCTAAATTATCGATAAGGCGTTCGTGCCTCCGACTGCCAGGTGGGGGATGCCAGGGATGCGTCGGATTACTTGACAACGATCCATCAACCCTAGGGGCTGAAGAGGGTGGGGTTTTATGGCGCAATGGCCGGGTTTGGACGCCGCTGGTTTTCTCAAGCTGGGCTGGGCGTTCTGCTCAACGATTGCCTTTGTTCCTGTACGGGAAGGTTTGCGCAGAGTCGATTTGAGACTCTTTTGGGTGAGAGAATCGACCCTCTTTTCATTTTCGGGTTTCAGCGCTGGTTTGGCTAAGGATGACCTTTGTCCTGCTCGACTAGGACTTGGGACGGAAATAGCAGGGCCATCAAGGCCGGTTAGGTCATAGGGGTCCAAGCCAGGCTCGCATCCAGCTTGATTTCTACTGTTCTTCATGATCGCAGCTCGTGACGCAGCAAAGTTACTTGTCTCTACTTCTAAGGTTCGTTCAGGCGAAACCATCTCATTTGAGGCTGTGGGTGATGAGAAAGGTTGAGGAAAACGAGCGGTATTGGTGTTGGCATACCCATCCTGGCTGAAGGCATTTAGGAAGGAGCGCTTTCTAGGAGCGGTATGCGATTTATGGTGTCTCTCTTTCGATTTCTCCTCCGGGCCCATTGCGAGAGAGGAGTGCGAGCGCGATATGGGATGGTAAGTGGTGGTAGAGTTAGATGGGAAGGTGGATCGGCGCAGTCATAAATAGTCCGCCCAGCCGGAACGATCGAGGTGATACGTGCTCAGGTAGGTTCGATGTTCGTTCTTGCAATACAAATATCGGCATCTGCCAAGCCCTCCAACGAAAACCAAGTCGTTAAGGGCTGGGATAGGGATAATGCGTTCGTTGATGAAAGAAGAGGGTGAACGTGGTTGAAATGCGCCGTTTGACAGTGCAATAGCCAATCGCGTTGAGTACTCCGCGCCATCAGCCTTGCAATACAGTCTGTATTAGCTAAGATCTTGACCCGCCCACTTGCTTTCCCTTTCAATAATACTCGAGAGGAGTCGTTGGGTGCATGCTCCCTCCAACCCGTGAAGATAAACATTAATACAATTTGCCTCGCTATCTCCGTACTTTTCCTTTCCACACGTTGAGTGATCCGCACCCGCCAGCAAGAAATCCTACACATTGCCGACGCCTTTAGTCAAGTTGCCCTTAAATGAGATCGGGAAGAGTCGATCTAGTTCTCCAGTTGTCCTTGCCAAGAGAGCCTTGATGCGAGCTTCAACCTTCAATTAACTTACTATCGCAGTTTCGTATATCTAGGATAAAGATGGATCCACATCATGCGTCGAACTCGCCTCTTGAATCTGTTGGCCCTGATTATCGTGCTGGTAGCCAAAAGCCAAGTGCAACAATTTCCAAAAAGTACCTTTCGAGAATGTCCACGTCCTCACTCAGAGCCCACAGTTGATTGCGCTTCTCACGTAGGCTTTAGGCAAACATGGCAGCAATGGAGCAGGGCGTAGCTAACTGTCTTAGTATCATTCGCGACCGAAACACAGAACGGGCAGACTTTATATTCTACTCAAATAGAATTATACGCCTTCTTGTTGAAGAGGGCCTGAATCATCTGCCAGTCATTGAACAAGCCGTGACCACCCCAGTTGGTAGATCATATAATGGCCTTACTTTTCAAGGCAAAATTTGTGGCGTGTCCATTATGCGCGCAGGGGAGGCCATGGAACAAGGATTAAGAGACTGCTGCCGATCCGTCCGGATAGGAAAAATCCTCATACAGAGAGACGAAGAAACGTCTTGTCCGAGACTCTTCTACGACAAACTTCCTGAGGATATCGCCGACCGCTGGGTTTTGTTACTTGACCCTATGTTTGCTACCGGTAGGTAGAATATTGCAATTCAAACTTAAGCCGATATAGGCACACCGTACTGACGTCTTGACACAATAGGCGGATCTGCCATTATGGCTGTCGAGGTTCTAATTTCTCGTGGCGTGCCGGAAGAGCGAATATTGTTCCTAAACATTATCGCAAGCCCAGAAGGTATAGGGAACTTTGCAAGACGATTTCCAAAGCTGCGGGTCGTTACAGCCTTTGTTGACCAGGTAAGACACTAGAATGTCCCTCACAATCTGTTGAAGTAGGTCCATTCTCTAACGGATATTGATGTCTACATGTAGGGCTTGGACGAGAAAAGTATCTCCCCTCCATCTACTTAACATGGCAAATGACTTCTGTTTACTAATACTGTGATAGTTACATTGTTCCCGGCCTCGGAGATTTCGGTGACCGTTTCTACACCATGTGAGAGTGCGAGGGTACGGTGAAGAATTTCTGGGGACAATACAAAGACGGCGATAATGGCAACCTCGCCCATAACGGTATTGTGTGGTCTGGAAATTCAGGGCCGCCAACTGCTTAGTCTTCCTCGTCATTTAGACCATCATCTGAGGGTTTTCGAGATCGTAGCGATCGAGTTGGAGCATCGGACCCGCTCGCCCGAGTATCAGTCTCCTTCGCAACCAGATCTAGAGGACAGTGAGCAGCTAGGCCGGCTACAGCAACGATAAGATATAAAACTTACCTGCAGCATCCACCCATTCACCATATACATCAACCGCAGCAGAAAGATCTGTAGTATCGTTAGTGGAGGCAGTAGAGGCTAGGCTCCTACTTACAATTTATAGCGCATTGAAATGTCTGACCACATACTGCGCAGTCAAGTTGACCAACTCCACCCTTTTTATCAAGGAGAACAGTGACGGCTTCTTCATGGTTGCAAAATAGACACGTAAATTTCGTTGGCAGTGGATCTTTCTTGAGAGGGATTAGCCACCACTCTAAAATTGCTAAACTGACCAGAAATTAAATCGTCCGTTACTTGATACCTTTCTAGGGCCCTGGGGCCCTCTAGAGCTCTTCTTTCTCTTTCCCATCGCTAAGAAACCTCCCTCAGTGATGTACCAAGCAGAGAATCTACACCTGCAAACTGTCTCGAAGAGGATGACAGTTCAATCCTAGAATCGAAGCCCAGTCAACATAATGATTGCCGCTGGTTAATTATCGGCTAAATCCGCGAACTCCCCACCTCATTGAGCTTCTGCTCTGTTGTTTCTCACACTATACCGTTCTCCCAGGTGGCTTGAGATGATTAGACCATGCTCGTTCCTATCTCTCAACAAACCACTAGAGCTGATAGGCAGGCTTGGTCCCAAAATATGTCACGAGGGAAAATAGAGACCCAACGGCCATTCCCCTCTTTCGAGGCCTGAAGACATCCTCAGCGGCCCCGGCCCCCTCCCCTCCACCAGGGTATATGTACTTGGCCGAACCTCTCTTGTTGACCTTGCAATCCGACTTACACCAGCTCAACTGAGTTTTCGTTGAAAGTGAAAATACATTGAACCACCAATTATTGTGTACTCTCTTAGCTTAAGATAGCAGATCACAACGCAGCTTGCACGCACATTAAAACCATGGCGCATACTTCCCCAGATATGTCTCTGTTGGGGATGCTAGATGACATCCGTCAAGCCCAGGCCCAACTTGCAGCCTCGGTCGAGTCTTTTGAAGAAAAATGGGAGCAAGCTGCTCGGGATACTCGTTTCTTAGGTATGCGGCGTCGGTGTCTGAGATTTGAATGTTGATGAGCGGTAACACTCAGCTTGCTTACAGGACCAGACACCGCTCCTGAAGAGAAAGCAGTCTCCGAAGGTCTCCCAGGAACATCGACCAGTTCCCGGAATACCATGTCCTCCCGGATCATATTGACGTGTGTTCTGTTTGCAGTTCATTCTAAGCACTGGACTAATAGCAAGAAGGACGTATCCAAAGCAAACCGGAATACAACCTCTCCCGATGAGATGGGGCCACCCTGACCCGAAACAGAGAGGCCCTGTGGTCGTGTCAAGAGCGACATCCACGATTCGAAGACGAAATGGTTTGTCTTGACCGAGTCAACACTATAGAAGCGCCGATGTAATCCCAACAATGTCGCTAACATAATGGCCTGCGTGTTTGACAGCAATCGGAGGTTAGTCGAGCCGCATGATTCTCCTGAACGAGGCTGACACTACAACACTTATGATCATGGCCTTAGCTCAGTAGGTTCAACACTATTCGGCCCATCTTAACTTCAACTGACCACAAGTGCTAAAGCGGCGGTTCGTACTCCATCTACCATGCTTTAGCCGTAGCGAGCAAACAACTCGACGTCAATCATCGGTCAGTGTCCTCAGTCCCAGCTGCCCACATGTCTAACCATGATACTAGACCGGACTTCACGAATACGGAGCCTGCCGTGACCATTGGGCCGTTCTCGCAGTGGAACGATGTTAAGAAGATCGTGGCAATGGACCCCTGGGGCCATATGGCGCCATGGCTTTTCAAGAATCTCATCAAAAATGAGGATAGTCCGTCTTACCCACCAAATATCTTCGCTTGACTCCATACTGACGGTATACAGTTGATGTTCGGCCCACCATAGCCATCACAAAAGCTCATATGAAGGTAATCGACACTATTGCATTATTATGTACAATCCATTCACAGTACCTTTCTTCTAGCTGCCAGAACTCGAAGAGAGCGTAAAGTCGGGACGTTTGTAAGTACCTCCCGGAGTATAGCATTTACGGATAATTAAATATCAGTAGGGTGCCAGATGGAAAGGTGTGTCTCAACAGCGCTGGTGAGCTTGCCGTAACAAAGGTTGCTGTAGAACCTGTGAGTTGGAGTCCTTAGTTCATGATTCCTGAAGGCTACCTAACCTCCTCTAGGTTTGGTACTTGCCAGGCGTGGCGGAACGGTTCGAATCGGTAAGGCCCCACAGCTTACCGCCTGTTTTATACACGTATGTCCTAACCCGCAACATAGACGAGGGGACTCTTCGTCGATCACTGTTCGAAAACACTGGAGGGAGCTATCCGGAGGTATCTTGGCCCACCTCTTTTACTTATACTCTTGGTCTTGGGTTTACAATGATATGATGCTGCTAGCTGATTACCCGAGGCGATATCAAGCTGTTCCTCCCCCTATCGGTAAGGCCGGCCCCAACTAACCGCAGTGGCCTGCCATCTGGCGAGGATCTGTGGGGCTGCATTTACTAACATCCCAATGTAAAGGCGGCCTGACTGTCTATTGCTTTGGCGACCCCGCAAAGATGTCCGATGAAAATTCCAGATTAGCCCTAAGAATACACGACGAGGTATGCTATCTGTCACGCTTGCCCCGAGTCATGACTGACCACCCGCCAGTGCAACGGCAGTGACGTATTTTGTTCTGATATATGCACCTGCCGGCCTTACCTAATCTTCGGAATTGAAGAAGCCGTCAAAGAGGCACAAAACGGCGGTAGTGGTGTCGTGATCTACTTCCGAAAAGAGGGGCGTGCACTAGGCGAGGTGACAAAGGTATGTTCCATGCGACATCTTCCGCTTTTGCTCTTGGTATCACTAACATTTACTTCCTAGTACCGTATGTTTTCCCAACATCAGGCTGCCCGCCTACCTTAATCGCCATACTGGTGGGGAAATGCTTAGGGGTCTATTCGCGTTGTAAGTAAGGCTTTTGAATGTGCTACTTACAATAATCTCATCATAGTGGTCTACAACGCTCGCAAGAGGGGCGAGGATAAGGCGTCCGATTATTTCCGGCGCACGGAGAACATCGCTGGGGTGAAGGACATGCGATTCCAGGCTTTGATGCCTGATATTTTGCATTGGCTTGGGATCAAAAAGATCGACAGAATGCTAAGCATGAGCAAGTGAGTTTCATGCCCAACGCAGCCCGCGATTGTCGGAGCTAATTAGGGCAGCATGAAACATGATGCTATCGTTGAGCAAGGGTTAGTCATTCGGTCTTGACACTTTGGGACCTCTCGTTAACATAGGATAGGATTCCCATCCATGAGCGAGTGGAGCTTCCCGAGGATAGGATTCCCGAGGATTCTCGGGTTGAGATCGATGCCAAGATAACCGCTGGTGGGTCACCGCAATTGATATATAGATCTAAGATCCGTTGCTCACTCGGGTTGAATACAGGCTACTTCACAGCAGGGAAAAGACTAACCGACCAAGAGCTCGAAGCTGTACAGGGAAGACTCTGGGAGGAGTATGTCAAGAACCCAACCACAACCCCTACCCCCACCCCCATGTATCACACTCTTCAGCCATTTACGCAATCATGTCATTAACGCAAAAACAGTATCGACCACTGAGCGGGAGGCCGCCCCTCGATATTGAAAGTGGGAGATTTGAGGGACTCGGCCCGAGCTCTTCACTTCCTAAGCATTATCCCATGATATTGGCACTAAGCCATCCGACCAGTAGTTTATTCTCACACCCCATAGAGCGAAGTAATCTGTGCTTCAATTGATTATCGCTTCCTCCAAAATTTGTATATATACATGTATATATACAAAGTATCCCTCCATCACCTTTCTGTCTCTTCGTGAAGCGAGCTGGGAAAAATCTAGCTCGAAGTCTTCGGACGAACCTGTGGTGCCAAATTTAAAAAGAAAATGAAAAAAATGAAAAAAAAACTTCGTCTATTACATTATAAGCTTCCTCGCGTGTAGTAATGAGAATCACCTCGGTAGATAGGTCGAATTTTTAAGAGTACTGTTCGGAAGTGAGAAGACAGTGTTAGAGGAACTTGGTCCAGGACTGAGGTTCTCGAGTATACTCAAACCAATACAGTGCGAAATAGCAGCACCAGTCACGTGTGGTTATGTAATGAGAAGCCTGCCAGCACACCCCACCCTCGCAACTTTTGAATTGGCACACAACTTTCAAATGACAAAATCGAACTGACTATTTTCACATCCGCTTGCGATTCTTTCCTCGAACAATCCTTACCGGATAATAACTACGAACAGTTCGCCGGTCTCCCTATCTCGCCCAGCATGGCCGTCGGAAAGTAAGCCTTTTTTATCTTTTAATCCTTATGTTAACCCTCTCACAACTTTTAAATATAAAATTGTATGAAAGCAGCAACTGACCTGTTAAGGAACAAACGACTCTCCAAGGGCAAGAAGGGCTTGAAGAAGAAGACTCAGGATCCCTTCTCCCGCAAGGACTGGTACTCTATCAAGGTACGATGCCTGACAAATGGAAAATCTATATGACCCGCTCGAAACTAATCATAGGAGTTAGGCTCCTTCGCCCTTTAACATCCGAGAGTAAGTTTTGAGAACACGGATATGGCTTACATTCACTAACTCAGTAGCTAGTGTGGGAAAGACATTGGTGAACCGGACTACCGGTTTAAAGAACGCCAACGACGCTCTCAAGGGCCGTGTTCTTGAGGTCTCCCTCGCCGACCTCCAAAAGATGAGGACCACTCGTTCCGCAAGATCCGCCTTCGGGTAGACGAAATCCAAGGCAAGAATTGCCTGACAAACTTCCACGGCCTTGATTTCACCACCGATAAACTCCGGTCTCTCGTCCGCAAGTGGCAAACCCTCATCGAAGCAAACATCACCGTCAAGACTACCGATGATTACCTGCTTCGACTTTTTGCCATCGCATTCACTAAGCGCCGCCCGAACCAAGTGAAGAAGACCACATACGCTGCCTCTTCCCAAATCCGTGCCATCCGTCGAAAGATGATGGAGATTATGCAGCGCGAGGCGTCGAGCTGCACGCTCACCCAGCTCACCGCCAAGCTTATCCCCGAAGTGATCGGCCGCGAAATCGAGAAGGCGACCCAGGGTATTTACCCTCTTCAGAACGTATGTAGCTGCCAAAACAAATCAGTCTTATCGATTCCGCATGCCCGATAATGTGCTAACCAGAATCTAGGTCCATATCCGGAAGGTCAAGCTTCTGAAACAGCCCAAATTCGACCTTGGCTCGTTGATGGCTCTGCATGGCGAGTCTGGGACGGACGAAAAGGGCCAGCGGGTTGACCGAGAATTCCAAGAGCGTGTCTTGGAGGAGGTATGATGCATCGAGGAGCATCCGAAGGTGACAACATGAATCTCGGGGTCGTCGTTCGGTTACGGGTTATTGTTAAAAGTATTAGGCTTCATGTTCCTCCAAGGTGATGCAGCATTAGTTGGTTTCGGGACTAGAGTACACGTTCATCCAAATTCTTAAATTTAAGCTTAGACCCGATGCCAACAAACAAGTAGTGAAACGCCTCGGTGCACTTGTGTGACCTACGTTTTCAAGAAGTCCACCACCGCTGTACAACAATTACAAAACAGCTTATTAGCCAGGTCCTCCACGTCAAAGGTTGTGGGTCTAGACCAAGATACATCTTAGATTAAAACTTACCTGCTCTAAATTCCTCAGGTTTCTCTGAAATTACCCAGTGACCGGCATCAATATCGACGAGCCGAAACAGTGGGAAAAATTGCCCGATTAAAGGCAGAACCTCGTCGGGAACGTAGTGGCTCTGGGTTCCCCGCACAAATAACGCCGGCTTTTCGAATCTGACAATGGCCGGATCCTTCAAGGGAAAATCGCCCATATTGTGGATGGATTTCTCTAAAATTGGCAAAGGAATTCGGAACTGCCGTGCGGTAGTGCCAGTGGGTTGAAAAAGATTACCAAGAAGAAACTGCCGGATGGACGGAGACTACAAACAATGTGAGTAAGGTCGACGAGCGCGGGGGCTTCATACGGATACAACCTCTTCATAGTCTTTCAGGATTTTATCTGCATCCGCCTGTCGAGTGACCCGAGCTGCCTCGACCTTCTTCATTCCACGGATATACTGTGCGAATTTAGACGCGATGGCGGCGTCTAGGGTGCGTTATCCACTGCAACCAGTTGAGAGACGTGGCCGGGCCATCGAAGAGCCACCGTCATTGCTGCTTTTGCTCCCCTGTAACTGAATGAGCTCAGAGACCAAGGCAGGCTTTAGGAGAGGACTGACATAGAATGGCCGATGAGGACGGGTGCTTCAAGGTTATGGTCCTCAATGAATGCAACAACGTCTGACGCCATAGAATCGTAGTCGTGGGTCGCATCTTGTGGCGATTCTCCATGATTTCTAAGGTCCTATCGAACCGGTTTCAGCGGGCGGAACCTCTGAGGAGACACTCATAGTCGTACCAAAGCGTACACAGGACGTGAAAGATCCTTTGCCAATACCCTTTTCAACATACATCAGCGAAGATACATCATCTCTCAAGGGAGAGGAGAAAGACTTACTTGCTTATCGCTCGATTGTTTTTCTTGGAGCCGAAAAGCCCATGTAAAAAAGTATTGCTGTTGCTGGTTCAGGATTGTGAATGACGGGAAGATGTAATTCAAACGCAAGAGGTCTAACTGGCTTTATAACTCTGGAGCTGGTATAAAGTCTCACATTAGCAAAGGGCATGCGATTTAAGAAGTGGCTTAAATATTTTAACATCTTCAGTAGGAGGTTTATGAAAAGAATAAAAAACAGCAAATATATTGTTGTGGAGTTTAGATAAGCTTGCCTCTAAGACCCTTTAAAAATGAAGGCGACAACAGCTCTCTAAGAAAATTCTCAGGCCTTTCAAAGAACGAAACACACAAGTTATTGAACCCATTTATATAGCCATAATGGAACTAATAGTTTTCTCTATGCAGGATAAGAGAGGAATTATTCAAGGTTTCAAAGTTGAAGAGAACCAGAAAAAGGCTCAGAAGCATCCTGGGCCTATGATTGGGGACACCTCGGATGTGATGGAGCGGCTGATAGGCGGGTTTTCCGGGCATATGCCGAAGTGGCCAGCTTGCAGAGATGATAACACACCTCCTTTTCAATGCGCGTCGTCGCGACAAAGGTTTCTCTCCCAACTAACCAACATCTTGCAACTTTCCAGCCACCACAAGCTCTAACCTTCACAAGCCCAACCTCCAAATATGTCAGATCAAATACAAGAGATTCTTGAAGTGCCCAGGGAGTTCTAAAAGATGGAATGCAATTCATCAACAGGAGCCAGAAACGTACGTAAACCCACCCAGATCACGCAGTTCTAGGAGTTTCTAACTAAAACAATTATAAGCCGACCGCAAGGAGTTTATTCGCATCTGCCAGGCAGTAGGCACCGGCTTCCTAATCATGGGCTTCGTGGGATATATCGTCAAGCTTAGTATGTGGAAGGTTCCCGAGCAAAGGGCCAGTAGCTAACAAACAGTAGTCCATATCCCAGTTAATAATGTCCTGGTTGGAGCTGCATAAGGGGAAGCGATTCAACAGGCTGTTTATTTAGTTGTATTTTTACATCCAAAGTTTAATTGATCAAGTTTCAATATTTATAAGCTTAAATATATATACACTACTATATTAAATCGATCTACTATAAGAGAACTTATATATAATATACTTAGTATAAGTAGTATTACTTAAGCTAATAAAACTAAGTAATAATATAATTAATATTAATTTATACATAAGTTTATATTTTACTATTTAGTTTAACTATATATTATTAATTACCTAAAATAATAGTCTTAATTATTAGTTTACTAAATATATAATTATATAGAAAAATATATATACTTATAAATATAAGTCAAAGTTAATATAAAATAGTATTAATATTATTATTATTATTATTAGTATTATATTATTTTACTATCTTTACTATAATATATAATTCTAAGAGCTTTTTTTACTTTATTATTACTAAAGAAAAGAGGGATTATAATATATTATATTAAGTAAAAGTTATAATATTTATAACTATATAAAATAATAAGATAAATAATTATTTTATTTTATTATAAAATCTATTTTATATAAATTTCTTATATATAAAAAAACTGAATTTTTATCTTTTACTATATAATTATATAATTTTTCTTATAGTTTTTATATCTTTATTTTTACTTTCTATATATTTTAGATTTTCTTTTTCTTTTTTTATATTTTATAAATATTATAACTTTTATTTAATATTAGATCATATATATATAATAATAAATCTCTTTTTTTCTATTTAGTTATATTTTTTCTAACCTTAATTTTAAGATATATAAAACTATTATCTTTATATAATATATTATAAAGTTACTAAAGGTTTAGTAAAATATATATTCTCCTACTTTTACTATCTCTAATCTATTTAATATTAGTAGTTTTTTTAATTAAATTTATTTATAATAACTTTTATTATAATAAAAGGTTATATTAGCTAGTTTACTAATAACTAAGCTATTAGTAAGTTATTAAAGAGATAATAATATCCCTAGAGAGATCTAGCTTATTTACCTATAGTTCTATTTATAATTACTATCTTAGAGTATAGCTTACTATTAAAGGTAATTCCTACTTATTAATATTTACTAACTAAGCTAGGATTATAAGCTAATATTAAAGTTATAGTTTCTAATAGATTAAAATTATTAATTTATAAAATCTATTATCTCTTTATATTATTAGCTAGATAATAGCTTTAATTAATATAATAATATAAGAGGAGAGGTTATATTTACTTATTTATTTAAATAGTATAAATAATTATTTTAATAAATATCTTAAATTAGTTCTTTTCTCTCCTTCCCTCTTTTAATATTAGCTAGCTATCCTCTAGCTTTATCTAAAGCTCTTTTATACCTTCTAATAAAGGGTTTATTTTTATATTTTCCTTTAACTAGTTTAATAACTATATTAAATAATTTCTAAATCTACTTATCTAGTTTATTATATAGTTTTTATTAGGTTATAAACTCTTTTTAATTTCTAGATTTTATTATTATAGTAGTTAGCTAAATACTATAATGATAACCTAATCCCTACTTTTAGAAGGTATCCTCTTATACTATTAGCTATATCCTTAAATTAATAACTTTAATTAATTCTATTAATATCTATTAAGGTTTATTTAATTAAATTATAAGCTTAAGACTATTTTTTATAATCTAATTAGTAATTTAAAAAGAAAGAAGGCTCTTAGAGAGGTTAGTTTGAAAAGTAAAAGTTTAGACTATAAATAGATATTAATACTTAACTTCTAATATTAAAATTTAAATTAATATACTAACTAATAAACTCTATAGAAGGTATACTCTAGAAGTAAGATTTAGGTTATATTTATAATATTTAGCTTATTATTATATATAGTAGGGTAGCTTATATAAAAATATATTAGAGAGCTTAAATAATATATTAGTTAGCTAAGCTTAATTATTATATTATTTATTAATATAAAATTAGTTATAACTTTTTAATAACTTTTAATATTATAATTATTATATATATATTATTTAGAGGAAAAACTATTATCTATTATATTAATATAATTTTATTATTATTATCTTTAAATATAATTTTATATATTTTATTATTATTATAAATATCTTTTAATATTTTACTATCTTACCTTTTTTATTAATTAATCTTAAAATTAAAATTAATTATTATATTATTTATAATAAGTTATAGATATTTTATTATATTTTATTTACTACTATTAAATTATATCTAGTTATCTAATCTATTATTTATATATATAAAAGGCTAACTTTACTTAAATTAATATTATTATCTATAATAACCCCTTTTTACTCTCTTTACCTTATTTATATTAACCTTTTTCTAAGTTAATAATATTATTTTTACTAATATAGATTAAGTTATTAAGACTAATAACTAATATAAGAAGCTATATTATACCTTTTCTAGCTTTATTAGATTTAACTTCCCTCTTTTACTAAGTCTACTATTATTATTACTTTTACTATTATAGTTATTATATTACTTCTCATATCTTTTATTATTATAAATATTATAATTATTATTACTACCTCTATTATTCCTACTATTTCTTTTACCTTTATTACTATTTCTATCTTTACTATCTCTCTTACCTCTATTATTTTAGCTTTTACTACTTTCATTATTCTTAATTATAATAAGCTATTTATAGTTATATTACCCCCCTCTTTTTATTTTCCTCTTCTTATTTTAATTAGATATTATTTTTATCTTTATTATTATAATTAAATTATAAAATATATAAATT